GGCTGGTCCACTGTCCCTCTGACCTTGTGGTGGGCTGGACTTTATTTTTTTGGGGGGGGGAATGAACGAATTCCTATGCCCCACAAATAACCCAGAGATGCATTTTAAATAAAATCATACATTCTACTCATGTAAAAACACCAGGCAGGCCCCACAAATAACCCAGAGATGCATTTTAAATAAAAGGACATATTCTACTCATGTAAAAACATGCTGATTCCCGGACCGTCCGTGGGCCGGATTCAGAAGGCAGTTGGGCCAGATCCGGCCCCCAGGCCTTAGTTTGCCTACCCACGGTTTAGGGTGCCATATTACCAAAGTCTACCCCTGGTTCTAGACAGCCAAACAAGTCCTCTTTCAGGATACTCTGTTTGTCCCAGTCTGGGCTGGGAGTCCCATGCAAGCTATGATTGCAGAGGGACATAAGAAACGGCCTTAGGTGCCACCTGCACTACGCAGTCCAAGGAGGATCGTGCCGGGTTAAACAGTTACTCCTTCCCCCAAAGGATTCTGGGAGTGGCAGTTTGCTAAGAGTTGTGAGGATACTTCCCTATTTCCTTCCCAGAGCTGCAATTCCCAGAGTGGTTGAACAACCAACCCCTCTTCCTGGGAAGCCACAGCTGCTTAGAGTAGCAGGATACTGCTTTGAATGTATTGTGCCAATGGGGCCTCGTATTGCGCCAGACTCACCGGGTCATTGCCTGCACTAACCGGCAGCAGCTCACCAAACTTGCAGGCCTGATATTCCCAGCCTTCCGTGGAGATGCTGGGGATTGAACCTGCAACCTTCTGAATCATAGAATTGTAGAGCTGGAAGGGACCGTGAGAGTCATTGAGTCCAACCCACTGCAATGCAGGAATGTTTTGGCCCGGCGCGGGGCTCGAACCCACAACCCTGAGATTCAAAGGCTCATGCTCTATCAGCAGGGGATGTATGCAAAGCAGATGCTCTGTTCATTCTGTCCCAGCAGCTGGGTAGCCCAACTGTTCTTATATGCCCACCCACTTCCTTCCATCCATGCCTGTTCTCTTTTCCACCTCATCCCCTGTTATGATATGATACGATACGATACAATACAATATGATAATCTTTATTGTCATTGTCCCATACAGAACAACGAAATTGGAAAAAAAAATCTACGTAAGACATTCAAGACCAACAAGCCTGCTATCCCAGCTATCCCAACCTGGTTAGCCCCCTAAAAACTCTGATACCCCATTTTAAAAATACAATATACTCCCATAGAGACTCCGTACACTGCGTTTAAAACCAAAAGCGCATTTGGATAGAAACTGTTTCTCAGGCGGCTAGTCCTAGTCTTTATAACCCTGTACCTTCTTCCAGAAGGCAGAAGCTGAAAGAGATCATTTCCGGGGTCCACCCTATCCTGCACTATCTCTGCAGCTTCCTTATGACACCTGGAAGCATAGATTTGATCCAAGGTGGGAAGAGTGCACCCAATTATTCTCTCTGCAGTCTTTACAACCCTGGACAGTATTGTTTATTCCCTGACCGTGCAGCTCCCACACCACACACACAGACCATAAGTTAATGCACTCTCAACAGTGCAATGGTAAAATGCTTTGCCAAGGCCCGGCCAAGGCTGATTCATGGTCTCCCTCGGAGGTGGTAGACTCTCCTTCCCTGGGGGTTTCCAAGCAGAGGTTGGATGGCCATCTGTCTCCGGTGCTTTAGCTAAGATTCCTGCATTGCAACGGTAGATTCTATGATTCTATGATTAATGCAAATGGGGCATTGCCAGCCGGCCTTCTTACTTGGATGGCCATTGCTGCCAGCTTCTTCCTCCTCCTTAGTCTCCTTATTAGAACTGAGCAGGCTGCTAAGGAGGATGGGGAGAGGGGGAATCAGAATCCATTGGTGGCTCTATCCTTGGTCATTGCCTCTGGCTCCTCTGTCTTGCCTTCCACTCCATCAGTCTTAGGGGGCAGCAGCTACCACTGCCCAGGCCCCCTCAGTGTAATCTCTGAACCTCTCTGGATTTGCTTGCTCCACGGGGCTGAGAAGTGTCTGTTTTTAGGGATAAGCCACAGATCTGCCGGCTGACTCCGCTCCTCTTCCTCCAAGGTGAGTCACCAAAGTCCTATTGCAGTGTCTCACATCCTGCCAGATCTCGAAGGAAGAGATTCATGTCATCCCTTGAAGGGTTTTTTTATTTGTAAAACATTAGGGAGTTCCCTCTGCCCTGGGAGTTTTCAGAGACTTTGGACCCTGAGCCCTGACAGTGGAAGACAATGTTTTATTCCTGGAGTAGTGAGACAAACACTTCCAACTCTGGTCCGGATAAGGCTGCATCTCATATGGTTAGAATTAGCAGGCGTGTGTGCTCTCCCAAGGCTGCTCTCCCTGTCTGTTTTCCTCTCTTTGCTCAAGCCTCAGTTTCCTCATTCTGTACAATGGGAACAGAGCTGTGCAAAGGGGATCGCTGTGCAATGAGAACTGGGGAAACATCTGCCTTGCATGCGGAAGGTCCCCAATTCAATCCCCATCATCTCCAGGCAGGGCAGGGAGAAAACTCTGTCTAAAAACCCTGGAGAGCCCCTGCCAGTCAGTGTGGACAATACTGGGCTAGATGGAACAGTGGTCTGACCCAGCTTCCTATGGCGTTCATAAAAGTGGCCTCCTTCACAAGCACATTCAAAGTGTTGCGTAGGTGGGGACCAATGATAATAGATGTACATGCACTCTGTTTGCATTTCTCAATGAGGTTTCCCCAGAAGACCCTCTAACCCAGAAACTGCCCCTCTCCCCCACTTCTATCAGCCTTTAATGGTTTGCTGTACTTGATTACACATGCCTAGGGGAATTCTTCACTTTCGGGCCCCAGGGTAAAATCTGGGGAAAAAAACTTTTAAATATCAACAGCATCCCCCCCCCCATTGTGCAGTCAGCCTTGCTTCAAAGGATCACCTACGTGTGAGTGTGTGTGTGTGTGTGTGTGTATATACAGGATGCTGAGGGGGAGTCCTGCTTTCACTACCTTCACTTTCTCTATTCAGAAGTTGCCTTTTTAATCACTTTCTATTCCTGCCTCTTGAGGCCAAAAGCCAGGAACAGAAAAATGGAAAAATCCTGCTGCCTGGTTCTTCTGCTCATTACTCATAAACTCTTCCCCCGTTCACATGCTGAGAAGGTTTGAAGCTCAGCTAGAAGTGTTGCGTTAGTGTGGGGCGGCTAAGGGACCAGTAGCCACATCACGCCATCTCTGCTCCAATCTTTCCTCTGGCGCGACCTCAACAGGTGACCTTAATTCACCGCCTCCCATTTTTAAAATTTTTAATTTTTGCACAGGGTGGGAGGACAACAAACGTGGTCTCCCTAGCAGGACTGTTGTACACTGCCTTGATCTCCGGACAAGAAAGGTAGGATACAAAAATGTGTAATGAATGAATGAATAACCATTATTGTTACTGATAGTGACATTGATGGTGGTGATGACAGTTGTATTTTGCTTCTCTCACGTTTGTCATTGTGTAAAGTGCTTTACACACAGTCTTTGTACACTTTCCTGGGAGGAGTAAGTGCCTTTGAAATACAAGGGGCTTATGCCTTAGTAGAGATAAGCATGGCTTTAGACAGAACAATACCAAAGGATTTCTTCAGAAGAGGCTGCTTGAAGCTCTGGTTTTCTGCCAGTTCCCACTCTGTCAAGAAAAGAACCCAGGCATCCTAGTGCACCTCCCCTTCCGATTTCAGTGATGGAGACACCAGCTGTCCCAGGTCTAAACAATCCAACACGCTGACCACTAGGCCACACTGCATCATAAAACTTCTCCCACCCTCACGAACAAGTCAGGGATTCCAGCTTCTATCCCACCAATGGACTCCACAGCTCTTTGTGAGATGGGGAAAGGACCCAGGAGTCCACATATCCCTGTACTACTGTTTAACATAGGAACAGGGAATTTATGGCAGAGATTATTGGATTTCAACTTCCATCACCACAGCCCAGTGATTTGGGATGATGGGATTTGCAGTTCAGCAACCTTCGGAGGGTCACAGGTTCCCCCAACCCTGATTTGAAAGATCCCACTTTTTGAACCCTGATGGGGTGTGTGTGTGTGTGTGTGTGTGTCTTCTTCCATTAGCTGAATGGAACAAGATACTTTCTCTATCTAGGTTTACGGCCTGGCTCTATTCCCAGTGGGGAAATGATGGGGATTTCCCTGCTAATTGCCCACGGGGGTATGAGTCACCCCCGTGAAGAATATGAAACGCCATCTGGATTTGACCGGTACGGTGAGCACGTGCCTGATGGAAAAAAAGATGGGGGGTGGCGAATAGAGAGCAAATAAATTTTATTTTCACCCACTCCTGAAGTCTGTCGCCCCCCAGTTCTCTCCCCACCCCTCTCCGCGCTGTGAGCAAGGTGTCCAGCTCCGAAACCCTCTTTTCCCAAGAACAAAATTCAGCCCTAGAGCTGATTTTTCTTTTTATTAAGAAAAATAACAATCCTAAAAGTGCTTCCGAGCATGTGCAGAGTGCCCCATTCTCCATTGTAAGTGAACTATTCAGATTAAGAAGAGCTGGACTATGAGGCCGAAAGGAGGGATTTTCCAGCGAGGTTTGAATCTCTGAACCTCTCATCTCAGTCTCCCAAATTGTGTCCTTCCTAATCCAAAAGCGCTCTCGGTCGAAACAGGGTTTCTACCACACACGTGAAAGCTTGGGCAAAGGGAATCCTTTTCGAGGAACGCCAAACAGGAAGAAATCAGGCCATTTAAGGGCATCTACGTCACCGCTCTCTGACTCACTTCTTGGAATGAACCAAGTGCGGCTTTAGCTAGGGGAGGCTGCAGTCCACTGAACCTTTAGATTGTATTTTAAGAGGTCTTTCTTGCCCGCAGGGGGTGTCATCTCTACAGTTCATCGGGTTCCCTGTCGAAATGAGGTCTCAGGGGAGGGGTTTCCTACCCGAATACGCCGAGTGGCAGCTTAGCGATGTCTCATCCCCACCTCCTTAGAGAATAGCGTGGGCTGGGAGCTCCCATTCATAAAAATCAGGCAAATGGAAAGCGCTCTTTTCAGCGTGTGAGACAGTTCGCTGGGCTGAGGCTGGGTAGAGATGTACAAAGGTTACGGAGCGGGAAGGGCACCTGCTCCCGGGAGTCATCGGCCCTCCACTCTGCGCCCAGGGACGCAGCAGGTAAGGCTTTTCTCCCTACTCTCTCCTAACTCTGGACACTCTTTAGTGTGCCATTGCCGGGCAAATGATCCCTCCCCACGCGTCTTCCAGGGCAGAGGCTTGAAACTGATGATTGCCCCAAAGACAGAAGCCTCAGGAGCCAGGGGTGCCAACTTGAATAAAATATTGGGGGGGGCAGGTATAATCGATCACAAGACGTGGGTCACGCACACTATTTGAATGGCAATGCCAATCAGCGGAGGGGGGGCGCTGACCCCCTCCAATATTTTATTAGGGGACGAAGGGACCGCGGCTCCTATGTCAGGAGTCCCATGGGGAGGAGAGGGGTTTATAGTTCCAGGGTATGATATAGTTCCCGCGCCCCCGGTTTGAAATTTCTGAATAAGTGCTCGGGTTTCCCTGTTCCTGGGGAGCCCCAGTCTGCCTCTGATCTCAAGCGCCTTTCCCCCTAAATCGGGGGTGGAGAGGGGTTGCTTCTGTCAAATGGGTGGTGTAAGAGAGAGAAGTATTTGTTGTGTTGTATTGCCTGTCCAAACGCTTAAAATGAAGCGATGGCGTTGTGGGAATTTTGTGGCCCTTTTTTTTATAGGTGCCTCTATGCCGGGTTTATTTCCATTCGATAATTTATTGTGTGTGTGTTTTCTAGGTTATTTAATATAGTTATCTACTAAAATTATAAACACGTTTTATTATATTGCAATATGATTTCCAGCTATAGAAAAAAGAATACTCTCAATGTGCTCAGAGGCACGGGCAAGGGAGGTCAAACTAAACAAGGAGCGGGAGCAAATCCGGGTTTAAGAAGCCGCGTTGCTCGCTTTGGCTATTGGAGCAGTGCCGGTTTTGGCCGCTAGGGGGTAGCTCACGCCCGGCTTCCATAGTGGGTAAAAGCGCCTTGCATCTGATTTTTCTCTCAAATGAAGGTTTGGCTATTCAGTGTCAGCTCTGAAAAGAGATTACAGAGAGGTGGGTTCTTCGAATGGCTTTGACAACTGGTGGTTTTGCAAGAGGGAAGCTGCAGGGAAAGAGATAGCAGGAGTTTAGTTTTGAACCCCATCCACAGCAAGCGTATGTGTACAGCGCCTGGCACACAGCAGAGGTTTAAAAATGTAAGTTTTGGGTGCGTTTTCATCATTTCTTATGATTAAGCAGCATAGAAATCCTATTAGATAAAAATAAATATTTTATTTTGGGGAGGGGGGGCGAGGGGAACCAGAATAACAACATCTGGTTTTTATCCATAATTTTAGAGTTTCTTTAAGATTAAGTGATATATAAATCTTGTTCGATACAAAAAATAAAATAGAACCCAAGATTCCTGCATACAGTGGAATGGGGAGATAACTCTACAGGGGACACGAAGGAGGATCTGGGAATCATTATGGGATGTTCGCATGTTGCAGTCAACAAGCGTACAATCTGTGTGCACAAATAGCTGTACTGTACACCCATTTGGTTACTCACATTGAGAGTACGGTCTGTGTACCTTGCGCACAGAGTAGGTGAGCTGTTACCAATCAACAAAGTGTACCCTTTCTCACGCAAAACACTATATAGAGATTGCTTGAGCCTAGGTCAGTGTAATGTGCGAACAAGCCTAATGTCTCATCTGTCCTTTATTCTGGTTGCAAATGGGGATTTGGGGTTAAGGGGAAGAGCTGGGCCTATAAGAAGAGACAGACGGGGTGGATTTTAGTGGATTGCTGTATGTGTGTGGTGTTTGGTGACTAAATCCACAGAGATGTGGCTAGATTGAATAAAACAGAGTCATCATTATGTGTTGGCATTGATAATTCTGGGGGCCTTTCACCCAGAAAACAAGATAAATTGATGACTCAAACTAGCTACTGTTGGCGAGAAAGTAAATATGCCAGCATCTAAACCCCATGGGGCTCTTCATCAGGCAGAGGAAGGTCTGGTGGAAGGCAAAGTGTGAGGGATTGGTGGAAGAGAGCCTTGGATCTCAAGGATGGGCGACCTGCAACCCTCGAGAAGTTGTTCAGTTGCTATCTTCCCTGACCATTGGGCATGCTGGCTGGGGCTGATGGGACCCAGAGTCCAGCAACATCTTGAGGGCCACAGATTCCCTCCATCCCTTACATAGACTTTTCCTCAATGAATTTGCAATACCCCCCCCCCAATCTGTTGGTGGCTTCCATCCTGCCTTGTGGCAAGGAGTTCCTTAAGCCGATCGTGCTTTCAGAAATTGCCCAGGAATAACCTGAGTTCCTGCAACTCATCATGAGTAAGCAGGAAGGGAGATCATGGCTTCAACCAGGAACATGAAACTGCCACCTTGGGGATTGGGAGAGAATTTTCTGCCTTGTGCAGGGATCCTAGGATAAATAATGTTGGTATATTATCATTTTTAAAATACAGTTTGGATCAGAAACGCTCTACTGGAGGAAAAAATAAATAGAGATTTTAATATTGAGAAATAAGGGGGAAGAGTCATAGCTTGGGGGTCCCCGGTTCAATCCCTGGCGGGACCTCCAGGAAAGGCTGGGAACGAAACCTCCCACCTAATACAGTCAAAGTCACTGTTCCCCTTTCATAGGACTGTAGAGCGGGAAGGGACCCCAAGGGTCATCTAGTCCAACCCCCGGCCATGCAGGAATCTTTTGCCCGAAGTGGGACTCGAAACCACGACCCTGAGTCTCATGCTCGACCGACTGAGTCATCCCTTCACAACAAGAATCTTATTTGGGGAAGGCCCACAGCTCAGTGGGAGAGCTTCTGCCTTGCAAGCAGAAGATTCCCACGTTCAATCTCTGGCATCTCCAGGTGGGGCTGAGAATGCCCCTCCCCGGAAACCCCTGAAGAGCTGCTGCCAGTCCGTGCAGACAATACTGAGCTAGATGGACCATTGGATCTGACCGGCTATAAGGCAGCTTCCTCTGTTCCTACATCCATATTCTAGCAGAGAGGGGGGAAATTCAGGTTCGTGTATTTAAATGGGGGGCAGACGGTCCTTGCTCGGTGGCGACTTCTCTCTGCCCCCCCCCCCCCGCAAAAAAATCCACACCTGGGTCGTTTCCCTGGGACAGGACGGGAGGGGCCGCGCTCTCCTTTTTTTCTGCTGTGTCATCTTGTGCTGTGTCATAACAAGGTGAGTCATCAGAACAGTCGTCAGTGCGAGTCACCCGCTCGACAGACAGCGAGGGTGGGGCGCCCTTCCCCTCTCCCGTTCCTTCCTCAGATCCCGTTTCAAAGGCAGCTGGGAGTTTTGTTCTTCCCCAATCCGCCTTCCTCTCCTCTTGCGAAATGCCCCTGGGAACCGGCTCAACGTAATAAAAAATAAATTTAAAAAATCTGCCAGCTCTCGTCCTACCTTGCAAGGCTGGCGGATGATGCGCATGGAAGAACTGTTGCACTCCATCTCTTAGCATCCCTAGCCAGTCTGGACAATGGTCAGGGAGGATGGGACTTGGGGGGTCGAGGGCACCCAATTCCCCACCCCTGACCCCCTATGCGATGTGCTCTCTAAACCCAGCAGGGAGAGTTAAATTAAGTAGTCCTGGTAGTTATTTGTTACAGCACCTCCTTGTGGGGGGTCCTTCTGTCTCCGTCTTCTGTCTTTCCATGACGCTGTCTGTCTTTAAAATCTGCCAGGGTAATGTTCTCTTAAAAACACCAACAAAAGGGGGTGTCCGAGAGCGGAATGTAAACTCTTTCCCCTTTGTGTCAGATGTGTGTTGTGGGGATGGTGCTTTCCAGAGGAGAGTCACTGCTGTTTCATCTGTCTGGCAGCTGAACCCTTCTGAAAAGTGGGTCTATCCAGTCCAATATGTTGCCTGCCGGAAGCCCTCTAGCCGAGGCATGACTTGCCCTCCACATCTGGCACCCAGGCTGAGGTAGACTTCTTGTGGACATGGAGGTTTGCCTCAGAGATCGTGATAGACCAGGGGTCAGCAAACTTTTTCAGCAGGGGGCCGGTCCACTGTCACTCAGACCTTGTGGGGGGCCAGACTATATTTTTTGGGGGGGAAATGAACAAGTTCCTATGCCCCACAAATAACCCAGAGATGCATTTTAAATAAAAGCACACATTCTACTCATGTAATAGCACACTGATTCCCAGACAGTCCGTGGGCCGGATTTAGAAGGCAATTGGGTGGATTTGGCCCCCGGGCCTTAGGTTGCCTACCCATGTGATAGCCCCTACCTTCTGTGAATCAGCAGAACAGCATCAGCATGTCTGATGGCAGTGGGTTGTATCCAAAGAGAATCTGACACAGAGTTGGAATTTATAAACATGAAAAACTTGGGTGCATTAATGCCAAGGGGGCCTACTCTGAGTAGGACTCAGTTGCATGCAGCCCACTGCACGTTCAGTATGATGAGAGAGGGAGCGGTGTCTCTCTGCAGCAGTGACTGGGGAACCTCTGGGTGTTGCAGGACTCCAACTCCCATCATCCCTCACTGCTGGCCATGCTGGCTGAGGCTGATGGAAGTTGGAGTCCAACAGCATCCAGAGGCTGATAGCCACTCCCCTCCCCCATTCTTGGCCCTGCAGCATCCAGGTTTTTCCGCCTGGGCCTCTACCAGTGTAATGTGCCATGGTCAGAGTGTTGGGCTAGGACCTGGGAGACCAGGGTTCGAATCCCGACACAGCCACAGGGTTGCTTTTAAGGATAAGGTGGAGAGGAGGAGAATAATGTGCTCCACCTTGAACTCCTTACAAGAAAGGTGGGCTATAAATGTGTTTTTTATATGTTGAACTCATGCCCTGTGTTGTTCTAACCACTGCGCATCACTCCCCTTGAGGAGCAGGGTGTATTACCCAAGAGACCCAACTTATCCTGCAAGGGAGAGTGGCGGCCTTGCAGTGAAATTGCAGACAGTGTAGTTAGTGGTTAGCGTGTTAGACTAGGACATGGAAGATGCAGATGGCAGCAGCACCCACTCAGTCAGTCTTGAAGCTCACTGGTTGACTAAACAGAAAATGGAAAGAATAAAATCTGCTGTTCTCATCCTCTTACAATTAGAACTGTAGAGTTGGAAGGGACCCTGAGGATCATCTAGTCCAACCCCTGCAATGCAACTGTCCCATATGGGGATCGAACCTGCAACCTTGGTACCACACTCTAGTCAACTGAGCTGTTGGTATACCAAGGATCTTGGTATAATTGGTTCTTGGTGGAAGGGTGCAATTTTGCCAGTAATGTCCCCCCTGCCCCCCGTTAAGTGGTGTACAAATTTTACGAAATAAATAAAGCAAATTAAAAGTGTAATAAAACGAAGTTTTCCGATCGTGACTCTCCCCTCCAAAAAATTGGGAAGTAGGCACTTTCAGGTTGCTCTAACCCTTCCCCCAACCCCGATTCTGGCCAAGAACCCAGAAGTCCTGCTTCCTAGCAGGCTACCTGGGCCTGTGCAACAGCCTTGTCTCGAGACAGGTGGCTCTGGGTTTCCCCCACCCTCACCTGGGCTGGAGGTAGGATGTGTCAGAGAAACAGCAGGCAATGAGTCTGTGTAGGTTTTGAGGCCGCTCCCAGCGAGTCGGCTGAGATGACGCCAGCTGCCCCACGTAGAAGGCCAGGGCGGGCCTCCCCGGAGGTGTACCAACATGCCTCAGGGAAAGGCAGAGGCTACTGGGGAAGTAGGTCAAGGGGTGTGTGAAAAGGGCACTGGGTGCGTAATTCCGGGGGGTAGAGAGGCAGCTGTCTCCTCTCTGCCCTGGGGCTTAATGGCTCCACTGTGCAGGGTGGGGGAATAGACTGGGAACTGAGCTCTGCTGCAGTCCTTCCTTTGACTATGTGAGGTGACAAGTGTTCCTGAGCATGTGCAGAGGGCCAGCATGCAGCCTCACACAGCTGGGATATGAGGGGAAAGGCAGATTGCTATCTCAAGGCAGTTCGGCTCCAGAGGTGGGAAATAAAAAAAGCAGCTTGTTCCTGCAAGATTGAGAGGTGGTCACTGGCTTGGATGACTTGTCAAAGAGAGCTAGACAAATATCATGGGGAATAAAGGTTAATAATGGCGGCTAGCTGCTATGGCTGTGCTCTCTCTGCCTCTGAGTAACCCTTGTTGGGCACTGCAAGCCGGGAAAGTTGCATTGCGCTCTGGTTCCTGTTTGGTGACCTCTCCCAGGCATCTAGATGGGACGCGGGTGGCGCTGTGGGTTAAACCACAGAGCCTAGGGCTTGCCGATCAGAAGGTCGGTGGTTTGAATCCCCATGACGGGGTGAGCTCCCTTTGCTTGGTCCCTGCTCCTGCCAACCTAGCAGTTTGAAAGCACATCAAAGTGCAAGTAGATAAATAGGTACCACTCCAGCGGGAAGGTAAATGGCATTTCCGTGTGCTGCTCTGGTTCGCCAGAAGCGGCTCAGTCATGCTGGCCACATGACCCGGAAGCTGTACGCCGGCTCCCTTAGCCAATAAAGCGAGATGAGCGCCGCAACCCCAGAGTCTGTCACGACTGGACCTAATGGTCAGGGGTCCCTTTACCTTTTACCCAGGCATCTATTTGACCACTGAGAGGACAGGATGCTGGACTCACTGGGCAGTTGGCCGGATCCAGCAGATCTCTTTTCATATTCTTTCTTCCTTAAGTATCTTGGGCAGGCAAGGGCTCTGTCTTCCAGGAAATTATTTTGCACGAGGTTCATGGAAACGAATCTCCCATTATTGTGCAACTCTTCCTGGTCCTAGAATCATAGAATCGTCTATGGAAGGGAACCACGAGGGTCCAGTAGTCCAACCCCTTGCCATGCAGGAATCTTCTGCTCACGACCCTGAGGTTAAGAGTCTTGTGGTCTACCCATCGAGCTATCCTATGCACGTGGTTTGTGCAGGAGAAGGTTACCAGTGGATTGGGCCCTGCGGGTCAAGTCTGCCGCTCTCAATGCTGTCCCGAAATCTACAGCCAGTGTTTAAAAAAGTTCCATATGCTCAGAGACTTTGCTTCTGTTCATTGGGGGATATAGGAAGCTCAGAGCACTTTAGATGTCCCTTTTATGAAGAGGCACGTAGTGAGACCATTGATCCCCTGCTGGTGAGGCTCACTGACCTCCCAAAAAAGCAAAAATTTGACCTTTTCCTGTTAGGCAAAGATCATAAGACGACCCGGATGGTTGCCAGATTCTGTGTACAGATCTGTAGGCGCAGACCATCCCCCAATCCAAACTAGTTCATTAAGAAAATCCCCAAACTCGGTTCCATGGGTGACTCTGGGTCATCTCTCTGCGGTAGCTTATCTTAAAGTTTTAAGTGTCTATATGCTTATTGCATTTATAAAATTTAAATTTATTGTTGTACATTGAATTAAATGTTTGTTTTCCTTCTGGGATTGTACCCCCAAGTGTGTTTTATAATCTGGTCTCCGACCGTAATAAATTATCTGTCTGTCTGTCTATCTATTTACAGCCTGTGTGAGATGGGAGAAGGGCTTCCAGATTTAAGAGGCCATTTGATGCCTGGGAGGTTCTGGCAACCTTGAATTTATTTTCTATGAGGGTATCTGTATAGGGCTATTGGTGGCTCCCAGTGGCTCTGCTGTGGCTCTGCTGTTGGAAGGTAGCAAGCAAATTGCTGGAATTATAATGGGGGCTGATCTAGTTGCCAGGTTTATCTTATGTTCTTATGCTATTTGATTTTTTATTTAATGTTTTAAAATTGATTGTACTGTTTTCATTGTTGTTGTCTGCACCACTGGGCACCTTTGGTGGGGTGGAAATTGAAGGAAGGAAGGCTATGATGAAGAGAGGCTTGTTCTCTTTTCAGAAGAAGCCCTTGTTATCGAAGAATAGAATTCTATAGTTGGGTCTATGTCCATCAGTGGCGTGTGGGTCAGCGGACTAGGTGGACAAGGCTAGTTCCCTAAATGTTCCCTTGGTGCTTCCTTCCCAAAGCCCAGGAAGCTTCTATCTGGTTTAGGGAGGGAGGTACAATACGCACACATGGGACATTGTTGTGATGTTGTGACATTGTGACATCACCAGGGCCGGATTTAGGTTTGATGAGGCCCTAAGCTACTGAAGGTAGTGGGGCCCTTTATAGGTCCAACAAATTGCCGCTGTTTTTTGTGTTGAATATATGCTATATGGTAATTTATGGACCTAATAGGTATCTAAAGCCATTTGCACATATTGCCATGCAACCAGTCCATGCAGAATGTAGGCACCCTATTTTAGGGAGCAAGCTAGCAGGCGGGGCTCCTTACTTACATCATAGGAGCCTACACAACACAAAACACTGTTGCTGTATGTAGTTTTAATTTTATTTGTTTTTTATCTTATATTTTGGAAATGTACATCCAGGTTTTTTTTCGTTTTTTTTGGGGGGGGGCCAAGAGAGTGGGGCCCTAAGCTATAGCTTGTTTAGCTTATACGTAAATCCGGCACTGGATGTCACTGTTGTGACGTCACCCTTCCAATTGCCCTCACAAGCTGGTTCCCTCTGGCGCTAACTGTTCCCCTACGAAAAATTTCACCACACGCCACTGTTTATCCATGCTACCCTGAACATGCCCAATCTCGTCTGATCTCGGAAGCTAATCAGGGGCAGGTCTGGTTAGTACTTGGATGGGAGAATTGTAGAGGATCATCTATGCAGAAATCTTTTGCCCAATGTGGGACTCAAACCCATGACCCATAGATTAAGAGTCTTGCGTTCTACTGACTGAGCTATGGGCCCAGTTGCACCTGCATGCCTCTGTGCTTGGTTTTGAAACTCAGCCAGTTCCAAAAGCTGTGGAGGTGAAGTCAATGCAAAAGGGGGCAAGAGCAGCCTGCCTTTTAAAAAAGGGAGAAAAATGTTTTTTTTAATTATTTTGTGTAGTAAAATGGGGAAGAGGTGGCAAAATACTTCTCTCCTCTACCAGCAGCTTCACTGTCATTGGTCAGAACACCGGAAGGGAGGAGTAAATTAGTAATCTGGATGAGAATTTGAGTAGAGCAACCTTCACCAATGTAGTGTTTTGGACTACAACTCCCATCAGGCATGCAACATGACTGCCAGCCGCGGCTGATGGGAGATGTAGTCCAAAACATCTGGAGGGAACCTTATTGGTGAAGTCTAGGGTAACATGTCCAGCAACCTTCCCCTGACCTGGTGCCATTTTAATTTTGCTAAGCTCGTGATTTGCTGCGCCCCCCTGCTCCAGCAGGGTTAAAAGGGGGGCAAGGGGGGGGACTTCCTTTTGAGGCAGGCATGCAAAACCTCAGAACATACAAAGCGCTTGAAAGAGTGCCTTTAGGCATGCCCAGAGTGCAGTCTCTAAAATGGCCAATCTGTTGCAGTCCAACTCATCTGGAAGGCACCAAGGACTCAGCTGTACAGCTGCAAATATAATGTTTTAAGTGCATTATACAAATGTGACACTAGATGGCGATGGTGAGCTAATGGCAAATTCAATTTTTCTTAAAAAGCATTTTCACAGCGGTTTTTTATACATGTCTAGATTCCACCCAGGCTGCGAAAGGAGGCCTTTTCCTCCTAGGAAAGTTTGTGCGCTCGTTGGTGGCTTCTGAGCTCTGGCAGATCTCTCCGCAGAGACGCCCAAGCTCTGTTTGTGACCCTCTTTGTCTTCTTCCCCTCCAGCAGAAGTACCCGTCTGATCCCGGGGCCGGCAGCAGCAGCAGTGCCGCCGGCGGCTTTGTCCCCAACCTCAACACCATCACCACCAGCCACGAGCTACAGTGGATGGTTCAGCCCACCATCATGGGCGCTTCTCCAGGAATCCCCCCTTACCCGCGACCCTACCGTTGCCCGCACTATCCTCCAGGCATTCGGCCGGGTGTGATCCGCACTGCTGGGCCAATCCTGACACCGCGGAGGCGTCATTCGGAGCATGTGAGTATTGGGGGGGTGGGCAGGGAGGGAATGTGGAAGGCCCAGTGGGTAGATGACAGCAGAAGGTTCCTGAAAAATATGTGAAGCTTAGTGCATTTGTGCAGCGACATTTCAGTGTGGCAAAGATCTGCTGTTGTCTCCTAGATAGAGGAGGTTAAAAAGGAGGGAAGACTCTGAGGGCAGGCTTGGAACATGCAAAGAATGCACAAGAGGCAGGATTAAGAGGCCTGAAGCACTTAAAAGATTTTGGTGCCCCCATATATGTCAAAATACAGTGGTACCTCAGGTTACAGACGCTTCATATTACAGACTCCGCTAACCCAGAAATATTACCTCAGGTTAAGAACTTTGCTTCAGGATGAGAACAGAAATTGCGCAGCGGCGACAGCGGGAGGCCCCATTAGCTGAAGTGGTGCTTCAGGTTAAGAACAGTTTCAGGTTAAGAACGGACCTCCGGAACGAATTAAGTTCTTAACCCGAGGTAGCACCGTATAAGCAAATAATAAACCGTAAAATGAAATTCTATTAAAAAACAAAAAAAACCCTACAATAAGATGGATAAGAATCTTTGGTTTTGTATACAGTGGTACTTTGAGTTACAAACGCCTCAGGTTACAAATGCTTCAGGTTACAAACTCTGCTAATCTGGAAGAGTTACCATGAGTTGAGAACTTTGCCCCAGGATGAGAACGGAAATCGTGTGCCGGCAGCAAGAAGCCCCATTAGTGAAAGCACGCCTCTAGTTAAGAACAGTACCACTGTACTTCTACTTTATATTTGAAAAAATGTTCTCCTGCTTTTTCTTATGGCATTGACTTTGATCAGGTCCTCAGCAGGGCCGTCTTTACCTGGGGGTGCAAGGGGTGCGGGGCACCCGGGTGCCGAATTCTGGGGGGCACCAGGTGCCTGCCGCCGAAGCTGCCTAAGCTCTAAACTATCTACCTGTTATTAAATAATAAATAATTTTGATCAAGCTAGAAAAAACAAAATACACATATACCTAGGTATTACCGAAATGTATACCTACTGGTTCACTAAAGGACTTTTGACTTTGTGCACTCATCTACCAAAGACGCACTGCACCAGCAGCGGCGCTTGTCATTCACAACGATGCCGTGCATGCGAAATTAACTCTTACATCAAAATATTATGTTACGTATTGTATTGAGCTGCTATGCGGCAGCAGGGTCAGTGGCACCTTTGACACGACGATGTTTCTCCTAAGTCGGTGCCTAAACAATACTTATAAGTTTGTGTGTGGTGGAGCTAATTTGGGGGCTAAACTAAATTTGGGGGCGCTGGGTGGATCTTTGCAGCCCAGCGGCACATAGGCTAAAGACAGCCCTGGTCCTCAGAATGAATATTACGTAGTACATCTGCTCCTATGCTTGGTAGAGAGATACGGCATCCAGCCTGCCTTGTTCTTCCGTTGGGATTTTTTAATAAACTTCAACTGAGAAAAGAAACACTCAGCTGAGTAATTTATTACCATTAATGTTAAAAATCCGGCAATGAAAATTTCCCTGCTTCCCTTGATGCCCTAAGCCAGCCTTTCTCAACCTGTGGGTCCCCAGATGTTGTTGAACTACAAATCCCATCACCCCTAGCTAGCAAGGCCAGAGCTCAGGGATGATGGGAGTTGTAGTCCAACAACATCTTGAGAACCACATGGGTGGGCAAACTAAGGCCCGGGGGCCAGATCTGGCCCAGTCGCCTTCTAAATCCAGCCCGCGAACGGTCCGGGAATCAGTGTGTTTTTACATTAGTAGAATGTGTCCTTTCATTTAAAATGCATCTCTGGGTTGTTTGTGGGGCATAGGAATTCGTCCATTCCCCCCCCCCCCAAAAAAATTTTAGTCCGGCCCCCTGATGAAAAAGTTTGCTGACCCCTGATCTAAAGCATGCTCTTTGGGAAACATTTTACTCCATTTTGGAACAAGAATGTGCTTCTCAAGCACTTGTTGCCCCTTCATGGCCACAGAAACCATTTTCTTAGGTCTACTCCTATTAGGTTGGGCCCAGGGATGCTGTAGGGCTGTGTCACCCACACGAGGGTTGCCATATGTCCGGAATTTCCCGGACATAGCTGGGATCCGGCCATCGGAAACAGTGTCCTGGCGGAAATCGCTGAAATGTGTAGGAAAATTCAGATGTATGGCAACTAATGCCGGAAGTCTAGATTTTCCCTGATTTCCTTAAAAATAGCTCCAAAACTTCATTTTATTTTTTTAGATTTTGCAAAAAAAGTAAAATAAAAAAGGTCAGCTTTGGGCAAAACTAAAACTTTGGTTAGAGTGTGTTGCTGATAATATGGGTGCATTAGTCCATTGCAGGGGGTTGGACTTGATGATCTGTGGGATCCCTTCCAACTCTAGGATTCGCCTTTATACATATATAAAGGTGAGGTTGGAACAGCCTGGTTGCAAGGTGTGGCGTCCTATGGGTGGACTAACTAAGGGGAGGGGAGCACAGAACATGATACAAGCCGATATCCTTTGAAACACCCAACTGCATGGGCAGACAGCATGGGCAGACCATGTTAAGCAATATGATAACACAAAGGGATGTACTGTTGCAAAGCACGATGCACAAAGCACTCTGGGAAGAAAACCAGCCCTGCACATTTCAAAGTCTTCATGTGTACATAGCTTTGTATATCCTCAGCATGTTGATAAACTCAGCAGGCCTGCACTCTGGACATGGCCAAAGGCTCTCTTGTCAGGGTTGGATTAACCATTATGCAAAATAAGCATGTGCTTAGGCCAGGGGTCAGCAAACATTTTCAACAGGGGACCGGTCCACTGTCCCTCGGACCTTGTGGGGGGCTGGACTATATTTTTTGGGGGGGGAATGATCAGCCCATAGTGTGGGGTGGGGATTATGTCATGTGCACAGTACCCCTGAAATGCACCTGCGTCCAGCACTGAATGAACATTATCACACAGTCTGTAGATGCCTCAAGAGGGCCTCTGGGCATGCACAGAGTGCAGGCCTGCTAAACCTTGGCACATGCAAGGAAAGTGCAAGAGGGCGCTTCCAGCAGAGTCCAGTCTCCAAAAACGGCTGAGCCACTAGTGTAAATTAAACATGGCCTGCTTTTTGATCTGCCTGGTGGGATCTTTCATAGCCGTGCAACAGGCATAGGTTTGACAGCTATCTCTTTTTGATGGCCTGGAGAGGCGGTAGCAGGAGGGGGGCCTGTTTAGCTTTTCTGCCCATCACATAGCTGCGGAAGGGCACAGAAGCAGCACTGGAAGAAAAGGACACATATTTTCACTAGAGATTCGCTAGAGATTAAGGCCAAGATGCTGTTGGTGGGCCATCTCAGCTGCGTTTCTGTAGGCACTTGCGCCCTCTGCTGTCCATGAAGCGCATAGACGGTACTCCAGTTTGGAGAGAGAGCTGCCTCCAGTCATAGACTCGTGGAATTATAGAGTTGGAAGGGATCCTGAGGATCATCTACTCCAGAGTCTCTCAAACTTGGGTCTCCAGCTGTTTTTGAACTACAATTCCCATCATCTCTGACCACCGATTCCACAAGCTAGGGATGATGGGAGTTGTAGTCCAAAAACAGCTGGAGACCCAAGTTTGAGAGACCCTGCTCTAGCCCAACCCAATATGCAGCTGTCCCATCCGGGGATCAACCTTGCAAGCTTGGCATTATCAGCACCAACTGAGCTATGATGAGTCAACTTCCTGTTTAAATCAACTCAGTTCAGGACCATGTGGACTAGCAACTTTATTTCAAGGGGGAAAGGCCATAGCTCAGCGGTAGAGCACCTGCTTTCCATGGGAAAGGATCTGGGTTCAATCCCTACCATTTCCCAGGTAGGGCTTGGACAGACTCCTGTCTGAAACTCTGGAGACAAAACTGAGCTAGGTGGATGAATGGGGTTTGTGATTTGGTGTGAAGCAGACTCTGACGCGTCCGTCTTCTGCAGCTGACACCCGAGGAGGAGGAGCGGCGGCGGCTGCGGAGGGAGAGGAACAAGCTGGCAGCAGCCAAGTGCCGGAATCGCCGGAAGGAATTAACTGACACCTTGCAAGCCGTAAGTGACTCTCCCATGCTGTCCCTGGTGCTTCTGGAAGGTGGACTCTTTTATTTAGTGACCGGTATTTAGAGTGTTTGCACCCCAATTTTCAGCCAAAAAAAAAAGGCTCCCAGAGCAGATTGCACAGAATCAGAACCAAGACAATCACTACCAACAGGCATACAATCTTCTTTTCTTTTATATAATCCTATTTACTGATTTTTCACAAAGAAAACAAGAATCTTTACAAATTTTAACATAAGCCGTAAGTTACTTTATCCATTGACTTCCCATCCTCCACTTCCATGGTTTCCATAAGGTAAAGGTAAAGGGACTCCTGACCATTAGGTCCAGTTGTGACCGACTCTGGGGTTGTGGCGCTCATCTTGCTTTACTGGCCGAGGGAGCCGGCGTACAGCTTCCGGGTCATGTGGCCAGCATGACTAAGCCACTTCTAGCGAACCAGAGCAGCGCATGGAAACGCCGTTTACCTTGCACTTATCTACTTGCACTTTGACGTGCTTTCGAACTGCTAGGTTGGCAGGAGCAGGAACCGAGCAATGGGAGCTCACCCTGTCATGGGGATTTGAACCACTGACCATTGGCAAGTCCTAGGCTCTGTGATTTAACCCACAGCGCCACATATTTACCCTTAAATGCTGCTTATTTCGCCTATACCATTCAATGCATTCCACTGGACCTATTTGTCTTAATAATAAGATTGCTCCTATTTCCAGTCCTGCTCGCGTTTTCAGCTACCTATAGTAGTTCTTTAAATACTCAGTGGGAAGTTTCCAGTCCCCGAGAAATACAATCTACAAAAACAGACAGGGAGCCCTCTTAGTGAAGTGGTAGAAGCAATATGTGGCCCCCTGGGCCTTCATACCTGGCCCTTGATCCTCTCCACAGGCCCCAACCCTCCCCATCTTGCTTGGCACTCTCCTTGCCTGAAGTATCATCCTTGAACTCTGACCACGCCTCTTGGTTCACCAGCTGTGGTGGCTGTTTTGCTTCTGGCCCCACCCACCACTGGCTTGTGGCCCCTGGAGATTGCCTAGAAAGGAATGTGAAGAGGGTCTTCTACACTCTGCCCTAGGGCGTGTTATTGTACTCAACAGTTCCCTTTTGCCTGTTTCTCTCCTGCCCTCTTTGAAAAAGTTAAGAAATCTGCATTTTTCCCCCTCCCCAGGAGACGGACCAGCTGGAGGCTGAGCAATCTGGGCTGAAGAAGGAGATTGCGGAACTGCAGAAGCAGAAGGAGCGGCTGGAGCTGGTCCTGGAGGCTCATCGACCGGCCTGCAAAGTCCCTGAGGAGTCCTCGGGAGAAGAGGAAGAGGGCCAAAGCCGGCCGGAGACCCTCGCCCAGCTTCCGGTCAAGTGGGAGTCCCCGCCGGGCCCCAGCGCCCCTCGCAGAGCGGCTCCAGTGCCTCCCAGCATCACTCTGCCCCCCAGCGGCCTGCTGGAGCCAGAGGCTCTGCACACCCCGACCCTGATGCCCACGCCGTCCCTCACCCCCTTCACCCCAAGCCTGGTCTTCACCTACCCCACACCGGGGGACCCCGATGGCCCCTCGGGCTCGGGCTTCCCGCACGAGGCCTGCTCCTCTGCCCACCGGCGCAGCAGCAGCGGCGACCACTCCTCTGATTCGCTCAACTCCCCCACCTTGTTGGCGCTCTGAGGACCAGGAGAGACACCCTGGCTCCGTGGCGGGACAGTCCGGAGAGCGGCGTCTCCAGACCGTTGCGGTTTCTAGGCCGCTTCTGCCCAGGGTTGGGGGGTTTTTTTTGCTGCCAACGGTTCTCCTGGTCATCTGTATACATACCTCATTCAGGGTCCTTGCCTCCTCTGCTGGCCGGAGACCTCACAGGCCTCTCGTTCTGCCGCCTGCGCCCAAGTGCTTGGAGCCAAGTTGCCGGTCCTCAAGAAGGACCAGACCATCTTCCCTCCCACCCTACCAGAACTCAAGTCATTCCTTGTTTCTCCTTGCTGGTGGCCGAGGCAGGACAACCATCTCTTTGTGGGGTGGGCTCTAGTTTGGGATTTCCTGCTTCGGCCAAGGGGGGTGGAACTCAATGGCCTCAAATGTCCCCCTCCAATTGTTTTATGACTTTTCACAACACTTAAAAAAACACACAACCCTTACCCTTGATATCCTAGTGGTTTTAGAATAAACAAGCCTTTTACTGTGCACCTTTCCACTTCCTTTTCTCAAACTATTGTAGAATCTGCTTTCTTCAAAGCCAGGCATAGAAACACTGATGTTAATCTTCCGTGAACCACCAAAGACTGATCTTTGTGCCCCAAATTATTTCCCATCTCCTGGATGAGGTGGGATACCCTTATGTCGCCCAGGGGTGGAGCTGGTTGAAGACAGATATTTTTTATTATAAACTCACACGTCCCACTGCTTCGCCTTGTCTTAATGTCTCATTTAGTTAATTTGGGTGTTGTTTTGCTCTTCTAAGAGGGTGCATCCTTTGTCAACAAAGCCTGTGGCAAAATGAAGGCGGCAACTTCATTGGTTCGGAACAATTATCCTGCTAAAGATGAACAGGAGGAGTGTTTGTTGTGCTGTTGGGAGGGCAGGAGGAGAGGAATCCCCTGCGAATTGATCAGGCAGCTGATCAAAGTCTCCTTTAGCACAAACCACAAGTCTGGGTTTGTGGAAGGGATTTTTCTGAGGGAAAATACGGGGAGCCTTATGGGCTCTGTGGATGTCAGGGAATCTGGATCTGTCTATCCTGGGTACAGGAAAGTTTGCTTTGTAGAACTGAAAAGCTTGGGCTTTCTAGAAGACAAACACCCAAGTTTCTAGTCCTCATGAGCCGCTGGTTAAAAATAGAGAGCGGAGTCGAAATTCCTCAGATGTTTTAAAAATAACGCTTGGGGGTTTCTTTTTCTTGCCTCCCTGGAAAAGGTCACTTTGAAGATTTCTCCCAAAATATTGTCTGCCATCCCCCACCCCCAGTTTTTCTCCCACAATACCCTGGGGCAATGCTAGTTCTGGGGCATTATGGGGGATGTAAAATGGTAACCTGGGTGCCCACAGTTGGCAGACAAGATAGAAGTTCTGGTACTGTCGTGTGACAGGTGAACCCCAGATACCGAGAAACAGGATCTCCCCTCTACCTGGAGAAATTCAGTGAAATTTGTGCCCTCAATTTATTTGCCTACATGGGATGGGGAAACATGGCAGGACCAATGTTTTGGCAAAGGCTAAAAAGTAGCATCAGTAGAGGAGTGTCTTCCCTCAGCTTCTGTTGCCTATGCTCTGATAACCTCCTGTGTTAGATTACTGCAATGCGGTATACATGGAGCTGCCCTTGAAGGTTGTTCGGGAACTGCAGCTAGTGCAGAATTTAGCAGCTGGATTGCTGACCCCGGAGGCAAGATGGTCTGAGCATGTATCACAAATCCTCAAGGACCACTACCCACATGAACCAACTTGCACACTCCACATCGTGGAGGATGGCAACATGGGAACGGGCCTTTTCGGTGGTGGCTCTCTGCATCTGGAACGCTCTCTCTCGGAGGAAGCATGCCTGGTGCCCTGGTTGCCTGTCCTCAGGAGCCCAGTAAAACTATTTCTGTTTACTCAGGCAGGTGTTTGGTTCTTAACCAGAAGAGTAACTAGTTATGTCTGCGGCCTCTTTTTGTGCTCATTGTTTTCAATGTGGTGGGATTTGTTTATATATATATATGTGATTGTCTTGGATGAGCACTTTAGGCTTATTGCTATTTTTTATATTTGGTTTTCATGGCTTCTTCCTGTTTTTTTATTATGCAAGTTGCTTTGAGATGCTTCGGCGTAAAAAGTGACCAATAAAAATTAACACAAATATATATATATATATAAAACACACGGCATGTGCTTTATTTGCAAGTGAGGAGTGGGGTGAGGATCTCCTTTCTTTGGGGGCTGAAGAGTGAACATCAGGATGAGACCAAAAGCCCATCCAGTCCAGCATCCTCTTTGCCACAACTAGATGCCTCTAGGAGGCCACCAGAGGAAACTGAAAGCAAGAGCCCCAGTAGCTGATATTCAGATACACTGCCTCTGCAGCTGAAGGTTTCATACAGCCCTCAATAAACTGTTTTTCCTGCCACATTTGCCTTGAAAGTTGCTTCTTTCAGCCTCTATACCCCACCTAGAAAAGGGGAATCTGACTTTCCTTGCTTTTCAGAAGCTGATTTCTGCCAAGTCAGTTTCGGGACCTTTTTCTGAGCAAACCACCACCACCACTGAAGAACGGGCCTGGCCCTAAATCAGAGGTGATCAACTTCAGGTCTAGGGGCCAACTGTGACCCTCCAGGACTCACTCTCTCTCTCTCTGGCCATGGGGACTCTATGGCCCTACCACAAACCCCACTACTCTGAAAATCTCCTCTGCAAGAGACTTTTGTGCTTTGGCAAATCATCTCTTTGCCCGGCCAGCCAAGAAAGGTTCCTTTGGGCAGCTCCCACCTGCAGTTGCACAGAGAGTGCTTCATACCATGGTGGATTTCCTCCACATCAGCTTGTGGAAACAACTCGGGGCTTTTTTGGTGGGAAGTGATATAGGGAAAGGGAAAGGGACCCCTGACCATTAGGTCCAGTCGTGACCGACTCTGGGGTTGTGGCGCTCATCTTGCTTTATCGGCCGAGGGAGCTGGCGTACAGCTTCCAGGTCATGTGGCCAGCATGACTAAGCCGCTTCTGGCTAACCAGAGCAGCACATGGAAACGCCGTTTACCTTCCCGCTGGAGCGGTACCTATTTATCTACTTGCACTTTGATGTGCTTTCAAACTGCTAGGTTGGCAGGAGCATGGACTGAGCTCATGCCGTTGCGGGGATTTGAACCACCGACCTTCTGATCAGCAAGTCCTAGGCTCTGTGGTTTAACCCACAGCGCCACCCATATCCCTTGGGAAGCGATATACACCTTTTAAATTAAAACCGAAACCTTCTGTGCGTTCCACGGCGTGGGGCCACAGCAGATTCCTTCTCTCCAGCAGGATGAGAACATCTGAGGTTAGAACTCACACACTCACAAGCCAGCCCTTTTTGAGCCTGGGGAGATCCAGCTGCAGAGCAACAAGCATGTCCGGTGATTGTTGAGGTTGACTCCTCGTTATCGGAGAGCCAGGATCCGGCCATCTGCTTCCTGGCTGGAGACCCTTTGTCTCCACTTTGGCTGGGCAGGAAGCAGAGGGGTGGTGGTGGGGGTGGACAGGGGCTCTTCCTTGCTTGCCCTCTCTTTTCAGCCTTGCGGGTTGGTTCTTGACAACGGCAAAATGAAATTTGGGGGGGGGGACATGCTGACCAGCGCTTGTGCCACAGCCACGTCCGCAGGGTGCCTTGTTCCCACAACGGCAAAAGTAGGAAACACAGAAGCAGTGGTACCATCAGAGTAGGGATCTGGGGGCAGATTCGGGGGGCCCCTTTCAGCGGAATGGGCACAGGGGTCCCCAAACACAACAGTGCAAGGGCGATCGTCACCAACACAGGACGGTTTTACAGTGGTACCTCGGGTTACAAACACTTCAGGTTACAGACTCCGCTAACCCAGAAGTACAGTGCTACCTCGGGTTAAGAACTTAATTCATTCTGGAGGTCTGTTCTTAACCTGAAACTGTTCTTAACCTGAGGTACCACTTTAGCTAATGGGGCCTCTCGCTGATGCAGCTGTGTGATTTCTGTTCTCATCCTGAAGCAAAGTTCTTAACCCGAGGTACTATTTCTGGGTTAGCGGAGTCTGTAACCGGAAGTGTATGCAACCTGAAGCGTATGTAACCTGAGGTACCACTGTATTTGTATTTCCTGTTCAAAATGTTGGTCTTTAATTGCTTCTACTTAATTTGATAATGCGAAAAGAGGTATGTTTATATGATGTATAAAGAATTTATATAGTTAAACACAGCCAGTTATATTGTGGGTGCTATTGTTCAGGGAGGGGAGCAGCAAGACCACCAACCCCAAAGATACTAAGTGTGTCACGTGCAGAGAGTCGCAGAGGTCAGCTTAACACACCCTCTTCTCCAATGGTCTCTGTGTTTAAAGAGCTCAAGTTGGCCTGCACGGTTCTTTGCCTCCTCATTTTGACAAAAGCTGTTGAGGTCCTTTTTGAAAAATCTAAAAAAACCCACCATTTAATTTTTTTAAAAAAAGGAAATTCACCAAAATCTACACTTCTGACATGGGTTTCCATCCAGGGGCACTGTTTCCAGTGACTGAATCCCGGTTATGTTTAGGAAATTCCAGACATATGGCAACCCTACCTCATTAAATCCCCCATAACAACCCTGCGGGTTAGGTGGAGAAAAGACAGGGACTGGCCCAAGAGGAGTTTTGCGACCAAGTGGCGACTTGAACCCTGGTCTCTCCGGTTATCTAACCACTACACTGCTTTAGGGAACCTACTGCATACTGTGGCTGAATGGACGCTGTAAATCCAGTCCTTCTAGGCTCTAGCCACTATACCACACTGCCATGGGGGAAGGGATCTTTTTAAGCCTTTGGGAGCTGCCTCAAAACTCCCCAGCCAGCAACCTGCCAGGAATGTATTCCACCCCTTCTCCACCGGCCTCTGAGGAACATTTCTCTCTTATCCGGTTTTCCATCCAACCCGCCCCCCCCACCATGGCTGGCCTTCTCCTGACCCCGGTGCACCAGGATTAAGTTTAGTACTGGAGGAAGGAAGAAGCACAGCGCCCATTTCTCTCTTCCACACACACCCTCCCGCCGCCCTCCCTGAACAAGCAGCTGAAATGTGGGCAGGAGGACGGACTCTGCCACTAACTTCACGCACAAAATATGGGAGCTTCCAGACGGTTGCCATTTCCATGTGAGATGCAGTCATGATCTGGCAAATTCAGGTTTCAGAATGAAAGCCAGTACAGAATGAAAGCCAAAAATCCGCCCCACCCCCCGTGTTTTCGTAAGAAGGGAAGTACAGTGGTACCTCGGGTTACATACGCTTCAGGTTACAGACTCCGCTAACCCAGAAATAGTACCTTGGGTTAAGAACATTGCTTCAGGATGAGAACAGAAATCGTGCTCCGGCAGCGCAGCGGCAGGAGGCCCCATTAGCTAAAGTGGTGCTTCAGGTTAAGAACAGTTTCAGGTTAAGAACGGACCTCCGGAATGAATTAAGTACTTAACCCGAGGTACCACTGTAACAGGGAAATGTGGAAATGCGGGATAACTCTTGAGTTGATGAAGTGCTGTCTGACCTCTCCACAAAAATCAGGATGAATGTTCAATAAACTGGCTGACTAGAATTGACTGTTACGGGGTGGGGTGTGTGTGGCATTTTGGTAACAAGGAATTCCTTGAGCTTCAAATCCATACAAAACACAAGGCATTATTCTCCCCACACCACCCCAGCTGCAAAGCTGATAGATGGGAGTTGTAGTTCAAAACATCTGCAGTGTACCAGGTCAAGGAAGGCTAGGCAAAATAGGAATAAATTGACCCTACACATGTGCAAAGTACTCTTAATAGTTTAGGGATAGTTTTCACACAAGCTTCCAACACAAAGCCATCCACGCCTACTCAGAAGTCACACAGAGTTCAATGCGGCTAGAATTCCTACAAAAATGTGTGCAGGAGCGCAACCTAAATATGCTCTGTTTAGTTGTTAATTATGTTTTACAGAATGTGGAAAACCCCTGGAATTATATTTATATTCATATATATATATATATGCACTTGCTGTTTATTTAAGATGTTGTAAACTGCTTAAGAGTTTTGTTTAAATATAAGCAGTACTGTATATAAATTAATTAATTAAGTTTCCCTCTATGGAACTACTAAGCACTCGAGGGGTTTAGACCTCCAGACAGCAACACACACTTGCACAAATTAACTCTCTCTCACCCACACACACCCAATTTGCTCCACACCGAGTAGCTGGCTGATAAAAGAGCTTAAAAAGAGTACCAGAAATCAGGACATACACGAAGCAGAATGAGGCCCTCTCCAAAAGTGACAATTTAATACATTTATTAACACCCTGAAAGAAAGAGGAGATTGCTCAAGTCCTGGGTTTCTTTTCAGGGTGGGAGGGGTGTGTGTGTGTATCCTTTCCATTCTGAGGGTGACAAACATAAACATCATACAATGGATATCCTCCGCGCCATTTGCTACACCCTGGAAAGGAGATGGAGCAAGGAGACCTGGTTGGGGCATGGATGCCTTTTCCCCAGCCTCTGTGTCCTGTAGTCCCAGGATGTTGACAAAAAGAAACACTATTAACAGAGGCAGACGTTTCTTCCAGGTCTCTTGCGTTACACAGAGTTCTGTGCATGGTGGAAGCTTGCTGCTTTCACCACCATTTCTCCAACAAAGAGCAGCATCGCAACAATTTCTCATCCTCTCTCCACGGGGGACCATCGCAGCAGCCCCTCACGGAAAGGTTAAAATATCCTCCACCCTTCCAGCATATATCCTGCCACAAAGGGCCTAGTGTTTCAAGTGGAGGAGAGTTCCAAGGACCACCACGTTTAACCATGTTCTCAGTCAAAACTGAATCATGGAAGCTATTGCTATTCAGAAGTTCACTTTCAAGTTGCGGGGAGTCGTTGGCTCGGGGACCCAGCAGCCAACTCCCCCCTCCCCCCACGACCCCTGTTTATTCCCTAAGGAGCAGGAGAAGGGCGCATTTTCAAAAACAGGATAATGGTTCCTTTTGAGGTCCTACCCTCCAAGGAGAGAGAGTTGCAGCCTCTTGGATCCTGCTCCAATATGAGGTTCCCAAATAGTTTTTGAGGGGCCGTTGTTTTCAAGGGATGGTGGTGTTCCCTCCAGGCAGTTCCAGCCAACTGAGCCTCTGAGTTCCTTTCCAATTTCAATAAATGAGAGGAGCGGGGACAGAAGCATGCAAAGTGGGCGGGGGGGGGGGGGTCCTGAAAAATCCTGCAGTGTGGCCTGACTCTCTCATCCCCTCTTGCACAAGAAACCGGCCTTCTTAGGCACTCCAGCCAAATTCAGACGCCACAAAAGCACCACCTCCAAACACCCCCCCTCCCTTCGAAGCAGCCAGGATCAAATTATCATCACTGCTGCTTTCCCCTACCCCCTCCAACCCTGTGTACACACAGAATCGTGAGAGTTGCAAGGGACCCCCGCCAGGGTCATCTAGTCCAACCCCCTGCAATGCAGGAAATCCAATTTGAAACCTGCTTAGCTTTGCAAAGGTCCTAGTAGTTTTATTGCTGCACAAGGAGGAGACGCACACAATGGAGGATTTTTCCAGGGCAGGGAGAAAGAGGCTCATCACCCACACCTCTCCTTTCAAGAGGGGAAGCCCACTGCCAGAATCAGCGCACCATTTCTAAATACTGCCAAGTGCAGCCATGGAATTGCAGACGCCCCTCCAAAAGCGTGCTACCTCCCCCCCCCCCTCGCTACCAAAATGGTTCATGACATATAAAGGTCTCACTCCGGTAAAGCGGGAATGTGGCAGCAGAGAGACCCTTGCTGTACCCGACCTTGCTAGATTGGAACAATGGCCCCATTTCCATTGGGACGATTTAGAAGTCCCTGTTTCTCCAGGGGAGTGTTAGGATGTCAGCCACGGGGGTGGCAAGATGGGGGTGGGAGGGGCCCTCCAACGATATTTTATGGCTTTATTTAAAAAAACGAAACACCTCCTTGTAATCAATCCAAAAGCTCTGTACACTGGCCAGAGTTATGGCTTTATATATTTTTTGAAAAAACACGAGCTCTGTGTGATGTCGAAGCTTGCTGCGTTCACCGATGCAGCATGGACCACACAGGAACCACTTTTTAAGAAAACGGAAAAAAACCGGTGGCAATAAATTAAATGCATCCACCGTTGCCCTGCTTTGGGATGTGGGGGGACGGGCGGGTTCTCGTCTCCCCGAGGCGTGAAATCTTCAGCGACAGGGGCTGGGGATGGGAAGAGAAGGCGAGGAAGGCCGGGCGCCCAGTCCTGGCTGACCCGAGTCGACGGGCCGGGCGGCGCGAGGGGTTCAGTCGTCGGGGGTGCAGGCGGGGTGCAGCTGGTCGGGGCTGCCGACGCTGCCGGTGCTGGAGCTGCCGTCGCCCAAGTCGCGGGGCCCGCAGGGCAGGTTGAGCTCGGAGGAGCCTCCGCCGGGGCTGGGGCTGGCGTCGGGCCGGGCGGAGGCGCACTCCTCCTCCAGGGCCAGGCAGAGCTCCTTGAGCTCCAGGTTGTCCTTGGCCAGGCGCTCCTGGAGGCCCTCGAGGCCGGCCAGCTTGCGCAGGCAGGCGGCCACCTCGTCGCGCAGCACCTGCGCCGCGTGGTGCCCGAAGAGCTGCCAGTGGCGCGCCAGGCGCTTGGCCTTCAGGCGGTCCTCGTCGAGGAAGCAGCACAGGTCGCGCAGCTCGCGGTTCTCGGTCTGCAGGCGCCCGTTGACGGCCTTCAGCTCGCGGATCTCGCGGAGGTGCTCCTGCAGCTGCCGGTTGACGCCCTGGATGAGCCGGCCGCGCTGCACCAGCGCCGCCAGCTTCTCGGCCTCCTCGTGGCGCAAGCGGCGCACCAGCTCCTCCTTGCTGCACACGCCCAGCTCGGCGTCGCTCAGCTCGGCCAAGGCAGGGCAGCAGACCCCCGGCGTCGTCGGAGGCGTCTCCGGGCTCTGGGGGGGTCCGGCCGGCGGCGCGGCCTCGCGGGCGGCGGGGAACATCGCCGGGGCGCACAGAGGACTCGCTCCTCCGCGGCGCGCTCACCTCCAGCCAAGGCGCAGCAGCAGCGACATCTTGCACGATTCCCCTCCTCGCCCTGCTCAGCAGCACCAGCAGCAGGACATCCTGCCCGGCGGCGGAGATTCCCCTCTCTCCTTCCTCCTCCTGCTGCTGCTTCCCCGGGATAACGGGACGCACGGACGGGAGGCCCGCCAAATGAGCGACGCCAAAAGCCGACGCGCTGCCTCGGCGTTGCAAATGCACGGGTTAAACGGTAGGGGAGCAGGTGCATGGTTGCGAGAGGGGCGCCTGCGCCGAATGGGGGCGGAGTGGGGTGGGGGTAGAGGAGAGAGAAAAGAAAGGGGGGCGGGCGGACATAGGGGAGCGTTAGCGGGTGTGTGAATGCGCGGACTCCCCTTCTGGAAGGGGCGAGAGGGGCGCTGGCGGGATGCAAAGGCTGGCAGAGAGAAGGAAGCGGCAGCAGGAATGCATTTGCAGCAGCTTCGGAATCCCGTCCAAGCGCCCGGCAGGGCGCCTTCCTCCCGCCGGCAGAAGGATTAAGAGGCCGCGCAAATGGCTTTAATCCGGATTAATGAAGACTGCCGCCGCCATCACTCAGAGGCCCTGGCTTCTCTTGTACAAAATCGTGAAGCCAGTCATCATAAGGCCGCGAGGCTCGGCAAAGCGCAGCACAAGCAAAAACCTTTCCAAAATGCAAAGGAGACGGGGGGGGGGGGAGAGAAAACCGCACCCGCTTTAATTATGGCGGATTAACTGGCAGGACTCCAGCAGCATCGCATTCTCCCCTGTTCGTGTCTACTGGGGTGTAAGCCCCGTTGACTTCAGCTCCATTTGCGCCTAGGCAGGTCCCGCTGAATTGACCCTATGCAGCTAGCTAGGATTTACTTCTGAGTGGACAGTATTAGGGTTACAGGGGCTCAGATTGAAATAATTGGTCTAAGATATTCATTATCTTCGTTGACTGTCCGTGAGTTCCAAAGAGGAAGAAAAAAAGGTTCTCTGTCCACTTTCTCCACGCCATTTTGCATAATTTAATAAGCTACCTCTTGCTTGTCTTTTCTCTAAACGAAAAAGTTCCAAACGCTGCAACGTTTCTTCATTACGTAGTCACTATACCCCCCCTTGATAATTTTGGTTGCCCTTTTCCAAAACTTCCCCAACGTTATCCTTTTTCAGGTGAGGCGAACAGACCTGGGCACTACAATATTCCGAAGGCAGTCGCACCATTATGATGCCTGCAGTTTGATTTGTAATTCCTTTCCTAACGATCCCTAGAGTGGAGTTTGCTTTTCTCACAGCTGCTGCCCAGTGGGTCAACATCCTCATCAAGCTATCCATTAGGACCCCCAATGTCTCCTTCCTGGTCAGTCACTGCCAATTCAGACCCCATGTGAAGTTCAGGTTTTTGTGTGTGTGCCAACATGCACCAGTTTGCACTTGTATACATTGAACTGCATTTGCCATTTTGCCACCCCTTCACTCAGCTAGGAGAGAGGTCTTTCTGGAGACCTTCACAGTCTCTTTGTTTCAATAACCCTGTACGTTTTAGTATCACTAGCAAAGCTGGCCACCTCATGGCTCACCCATCTTGATCGTTTGTGCACAAGTTCCCAAAGCCAAATCTTTGGGGGAATTCCACTTTCTAGTCCTCTCCATTTAGAAAACTGTCCGCCTATTCCTGCTTGCTGCTTCCTCCAATTAACAGGTTCCTGATCCACAAGGGGCTTCCTGGAGAAGCTTCACCTGTTGAACTGTTACATTGACACACTGCTATGAATGGGACAGGAGTCCTGCCAGAAATTGTAGGCGGGAGGGAACAGATCCAAGATTCTGGAATGCCTGTGTGACGTGGGGGTGGGAAAAGCCTTTGTTTTCAGCTGGGTTTTTTGGCACTGGGACTGGTGCCATCAGATGTGGGGCGCGTCTGCAATGGGTCACATGCTGCACACCGCCCCCCTTTTGGAAGAGAAAGGAGAAACCCACAAACTCCATGGAGAGCAAAGTCAGGCACTGCTTCTAGGGTGCTGCCAGGGGCAGTCAGTGCAGGATATATTGTTTATGGCACTTGCTGGCTTTGTTGAAAAGCTCTCCAAGGAACTTGCAGAATTCTAGAATAACTGGGGAGATGGGGCAAAGCTCAGTGGTGGTAGTAGCAGCACCTTTGCATGCAGAAGGTACCAGGAATCTCCAGGTAGGGTCGGACAGTGGCGTAGCGTAGGGCGGGTGCACAGGGGCAGTTGCCCTGGGCACAAATTTGTTCAGGGAGCACAATTTCAACACCCAGTGCTGCCTCAATACAGCTGCACGCTTCCATCGCTGGGCTCCGTTGAAAACAGCTTCTTCAAGTGAACCAGAAAGTGACCTCTCCAAACAATGGAATGACTCTCCTTTTTTTACTTCTGTGGCTGCAACCTCCTGGGTGATGCGGGCACCATTAGGCGGTTGAATGCGCATGCGTACTCCGTCTGTTTCCCTCCCTCCTACCCAGCCTTCCACATGGCCACAGGCACTGGCAACCATGCTATGTCACTGCCTCTTTAGGAGAAGGAGGCACCATCCCAGCCCCAAAGGCCCGGCCCCTGCACGGCTTGCCTCTGAAGGACATCTGTCATGGAGGTGCCTCGTTGCACCCTCTTGCACCCTCTCAGAATCCAGTGGCATCGGAGGGCTCTGTTCACCCTCTGCACCCCACCCCTGGCATCAGCCTATTGATGCCCAAATGATTAAGGTTTTAAATGACAATTTTAGGTTATATTTTAATGATCAAAATTATATATATATATATTTAACTGCCGCTATATCTGAATTGATTCTGTTATACCCAATTGCAATCCAATGTATTCCTGTTGTGTTTTATGATTTTTCTGATATTGTAAGTGAGCTGGGAACTGGTCTGTGACTGTAATAATAAAATTCAACAGATGGCAAAGCAGCTCTAAACTCTGCCATTTCACAGCACCCAAAAGCAACTTCCTGAAGCAGCCTCCTCACTCTACCTAATGACAGGATCAGGTTCCTGTGCATTTCTAGGGACTGGCCTGTTGATCTATGCAGAATTCAGATGAGCTTTGCTGGCTGATGGTGGCATGTAGACTAGATTACATCGAAAGAGAAGCATGTGAATGAACTCCGATACGAACCCCCAACGGTCATCTGGTCCATCCCCCTTCAATGGAGGAATCTCAACTAGATCATATATGACAGGTGGATCTCCAACCTCTGCTTAAAAACCTCCAAGGAAGGCGAGTCCAGCACCAGAGTGAAGTATTTAATTAGCCATTTCTGGCAGTCCTGCTCTCAGAGTGCACCTTTCATATTTCTGTATCTCGACTTATTATTCAATATTGAAGCTTACAGAAGATTCAGAAGTTTTCAAAGCCTAACGGCATGCTTAGCAGCAGGTATTACACAGTGTCAGAAGACATTAGAGAGAATCTAACATCTCAAGCTTAATGGTTCATGGCACCTAATTATTTTAGGTGCTTGGGGAGCAGGAACAGGAGGAGGGCGTTGGCTGCATTTGGGTTTCTCTCTCCAGTCCTAATGCTTCGGAGGCTAACTGATTTGTTGCATCATTTGCAAAGGCCCCAGCAGAGGCATACCTGGGCTCCCTTGTGGCCTTGCCAAGGAGCTGCATTGGTGGCCCCTATGCCTTGCATCCTCCATAAGGAGATATATCTGTGCCACTGAAGCTGGGAGAGACCATGGGCCAGAAACTCCAAAAGTGTGCTTTTCAGCATCTTTCGCACTGCGCCAGTGACTTCCTTCGCAGCCACTGGGGTCTGCTGTGCTCTGCCTCTCCTCCTCCTCCTCCTCGATGGTCCATCTGCCTGCTTGCCCTCTGCTCACTGCTTTGTCTTCTGCCTCCTTCCTCCATTGCTTTCTTTTTCTTCCTGCCACTCACGACCACTCTCTCCATCTTTCTTCCCTCTGAGCTCCGCTGGGTGCTCTGTTCACACTTCTAATAGTGCCATATGCCAGCCACCGGATTCCTTTGCTGAGGCACCCAGAGGAGTCCGTGTGCCTTGCCTGGCCCACCGAGAGCAGCGGCCTGGGGAGTGCACATATGGCCAGGTGGGCTCCTAGCCCAGACCCTCCTATTTTCCAGGAACAGTCTCAGATTTACAGAAGCCGACCCAGTTTCTGATTTGATCCTGGAATGTCCTGTTTTTACTTAGGACGTCCCTATTTTCTTTGGAAAAATGTTGGAGGGTATGGAGTTATGCAACCCCCAAGCCCAGGAGATAAGTAACTATACAAGAACACATCTGAAGGCAGCCCTGTGTAGGAAAGTTTTTAAATGTGCAGTGTTTTATTTTGTTTTCATATATGTTGGAAGCCACCCAGAATGGCTGGGGCAGCTCAGTCAGATGGGTGGGATATAATAATAATAATAATAATAATAATAATAATAATATATTTCATCAGGGAAATGTTGGAGGTTATACTAACCAGGGGTCAGCAACCCTTTTCAGCCATGGGCCAATTCACCCTCCCTCAGACCATGTGGTGGGCCGGATTATATTTTGAAAAAAAATATGAACGAATTCCTATGCCCCACAAATAACCCAGAGATGCATTTTAAATAAAAGAACACATTCTACTCATGTAAAAACACGCTGATTCCTGGACCGTACGCGGGCCGGATTGAGAAGACGAATGGGCTGCATATGGCCTTAGGTTGCCTACCCCTGTACAGTGGTATCTCGGGTTAAGTACTGAATTCATTCTGGCGGTCTGTTCTTAACCTGAAACTATTCTTAACCTGAAGCCCCACTTTAGCTGATGGGGCTTCCCGCTGCCGCCGGGCCGCCGGAGCACGATTTCTATTCTCATCCTGAAGCAAAGTTCTTAACCCGAGGTACTATTTCTGGGTTAGTGGAGTCTGTTACCTGAAGCGTATGTAACCCGAGGTACCACTGTACTAACCGCTCCAAGCCAGATTGGAGAGGCATGGTTTTTGCGCGCCCCTCCCCCCCCCCCGGGCCTGCACCCTTGGTGGAGGGCAACTTAGACAGCCCCTAGGTATGTCGCTGGGTGCCAGAGAATTAGAGACATTTGTAGAGGATAAGGCTATCAACGGTTACTGAGCATGATGGCCATGTTCTCCTTCCAGTGTCGGAGGCAGTGAAGTGCCTCTGAATCCAGTCGCAGGGAATCGCAAGTAAGGGAGCGTTGCTGTAGCGCTCAGGTCCCGCCTGTGGGCATCCTAAAAGAGGCATCTGTGAGAAAGCGATGCTGGACTGGACGGGCCCCAGCAGCCAGGGTCTTAGAATCATGGAATTGGAGAGTTGGAATAAAGGGACCCCAAGGGCCATCCAGTCTAACCCCCTGCCATGCTTGCGTTCTTCCCTCCGCGTTCGCAAATAAAACACGCAAATAAGACACAGTGCTGCGCACTGAAAAAAAATGTGTTACAAGCGAATAAATGATGCTTCCAGCCCCGGAGAAGGTATAAAAGCAAAGCACCAATGCAGGCGCAACGAGGCTCCTGGTCCTCAGCCCATCGCTGCATCCCAGCGCGCTTTAACGCTTTGATGCCAGTTCCCAATACCGCGCCAGTCACAAAGATGGAGTGCCCGTCCCGTTTGGCAGCGAGGGCGCGTGCGCAGAGAGAGACTCCGGCATATGCGTGAGCCGGAAGAGGATCGCTCCGGCGGGGTCATGTGCAAAGGCTCTATCCAACTCTGGGGCAGCTGAAAGGGGGCCGGTACCAGTTGCTGGAAGGGGGCGAATGGCCGGCGCGAGGAGAGGGGCTCGGCGCCCGGGTTCTCTTGGAGGGCGAGAGCCGACCCAGGTTTGCCGAGTGGCCGGAGGAGTCGGAGCTGCTGGGTTTACTATGCAAAAGGGAGGGGAGGGGAAATGGGGTGGGTGGGGGCCATGGGGTTTGCTCTCTCCGCCACCCCATAGGATTTAGTGCTGCAGGCTGGGTGACTCTGAACACGTGCAGAGTGCCAAGAGAAGCGGGAAATGTGAAGGTTCTGAGTGTTTTCTCGTTTCCCCCACATAAATTCTGGTGCCACAGGCTGGGTGCCTCTGAGCACGGGCAGAGTGCCAGGGGAAGGGGGGAATGCGAAGGTGCTGGACTTTGCCATTCCTCCCCCAAAATTTCTGGTGCTCCTGACTGGGTGCCTGCGAGCATGTACAGAGTGCCACCTTTCTTGGGCAAAGCCATTTGGATCTTTTCCCAAGGGCAGTGTGCTTCTGGGGATGGGCAGGTTATCTTTCTTTTCAGACGGGGTGGGCGGGCATGAAGGCTGAGTCCGTGTTCCTCACTCTACCCCTGCTGCAAAGTGCTGTCCTTTCTTCCTTTTTTATTATTAAATTTTTTTATCCTACAGAATATAAAGTACAATAAACATTGAATACTCTTTCTCTCTCTCTCTGAGTGTATTTACATCTCTTCCTGTTGTGTGTTGTTACCACTCTTTCTGTACCACTCTTTGATTTAAAATGCACAGGGCAAATTACAATTCATTAAATTGTCAGGGTGGGGGGAAACAATAAACCAGCAGTAACCAAGGAAGTGATGGCCATGACGGTAGGATTCTGGGTCTGGGAGGCACCCTTGGGTGAAGATGGAGTGCTTACACCCAACATATTTGACCCTTAGATGAGTATTACTCATGAACTGGGAGCACTGCTGCCAGAGGCAGTATGGTCGCATCCATTCTTTAACAGTCATGGCTCCCCCCAAAAGAATCCTGGGAACTGTAGTTTATTAGAGGTGCTGGGAACTGCAGCTCTCCGAGGGGGTCTCCTAGCAACTCTCAGCATCCTTAACAAACCACAGTTCCCAGGATTCTTTGGGGGAAGCCATGACGCTAAGATGTGGATGTGATCTATGCCCCTGAGCATGAGACCAGTTGTGGGGATTGTGGAAAAGGCTATTTATTCGTGTTCTTGTGTCCTGGGCTTCCCAGAGGCATCTGTTTGGCCACTATGAGAACAGGGGGTTGGGACTATGTGGCCCTTTGGCCTGATCCAGTAGCCAAGCTTTCCTGATGTTCATTATTGTCCCGACAGCTGCCTGTCTGATCTCCTGAGACCCGGTTTGGGAACTAGTGCCAGATCCCAAAGTTCTCCAAGAGAACTTGATTACCTGGGCCATGACGAGCAACCTGGACATCTTTGTGGGCAACACCACCCTGATTGATGAGGAGGTCTACCAACTCTGGCTGGATGGCTACACAGGTAAGGCTGGATCCTGTTTTTTGTTCGCTCATTCATTCACAGGTAGGGTGTAATGGTTTAAGTCACAGAGGTGGATAACCTTTTCCAGTCTGAGGGCCACATTCCCTTCTAGGCAGACTTCTGGGAGCCGCACGCCAGTGGTAGTCACAATACCTCCAGGGCCGCCTCTCTCCATATGAACTTACCTGGACCCTGAGATCATCTTCTGAGGCCTTTCTTCATGTGCCTTCTCCATGAGAGGTCTGGAGGGTGGCAACATGAGAACGGGCCTTTTCTGTGACGGCCCCTCGCTTGTGAAATGCTCTCCCCAGGGAGGTTCTCCTGGTGCCTTCATTATGCGCCTTTAGGTACCAGGCAAAAAATGATCCTCTTTACCCAGGCCTTTGGCTGATTAACACCCAGTGCCTTTTAAAAATGTGTTGGAAGGGGGGTTATTGGGTTCGGCTGGCTGACATTTTTTACCTGGCGCCTAACGATGTCTTCTTCTTTGGCGATCACTCGTAGCCGAGTAAAATTGTCTTCCATAATATAATGAAGGCAGCAGCTGAACCTCTCTGGGGAGAGCATTCCACAAACGGGGAGCCACTGCAGAAAAAGCCCGTTCAACGGAACAAAACAAAACAAAACAGAAACCCTGGAGAGCCAGTGCAGACAATATGGAGCTAGATAGACTCATTGCTGTGCCCTGACATAAGGCAGCTTCCTTTTGTCCTGAAGGAAAGTGGGAGCAGAGAGTCATGAATGGGGTTATAAGCTGTATTTTGGGAATGGTGGCTCTCCAAGTGATTTGGGGCTACAGCTCCCTGACCCCTGGTCCTGCTGCTGTAAGTTGCAACCCCGCTGCACCCAGAGGGGCTTGAGAGGCTTCCCCACCCCCTTCTGTGGATTTCACCCATCACATGTTTCCGGATACGGACACTTGCCTCCTGCCCCCGCAGTGAACGACGCGGTGACGCGCCGCATCCGCAGCGGGATCCTGGAGCAGACGGGGGCCACGGTTGACGTGCTCCAGAGCGACACCATGGACCACTACCGCACTTTCTACATGCTGGAACGCCTCCTGCACTCGCCTCCCAAGCTGCTGAACCAGCTGCTCTTCCAGATCCCCCCTTGTCGCCAGACCATGCTGATCGAGAGGTGGGGCAGGGCAGCTGGCGAAGAAGCCAAGGGTGGCGTGGGCGAGGGGGCAGGGATGTTAAGGGGGAGCCAGAGGGGGGATTGGGGCAGGATTCTTGGTGGAGGATCCCTCGGGGGAAAGGCAAAGGTTGGAGGGTGAGGCAGGCGTATTCATACATCAGCATGGGTTGATTGATCGATTGAATTTCTATGCCACTTTTTTCTTCTTTTCTATTTTTCAATAAAGAATACAGTCAAACCTCGGTTGTTGAACGTAATCCGTTCTGGAAGCCCGTCCGGCTTCCAAAATGTTTGACAACCGAGGCTCAGCTTCTGATGGGTTGCAGGAGCTTCCTGCACTCAAGCAGAAGCTGTATCAGATGTTTGGCTTTCAAAATACCGTATTTTTCGCTCTATAACACGCACCCGACCATAACACGCACGTAGTTTTTAGAGGAGGAAAATCCGTAGGCATGCCACCCGTAGGCATCCCCTCCATAACACGCACAGACATTTCCCCTTACTTTGTAGGAGGAAAAAAGTGAGTGTTATGGTGCAAAAAATACGGTACATTCAAAAACCAGAACACTTACTTCCGGGTTTGTGGCATTCAGGAGCCGAAACGTTTCAAAACGGAGGCGTTTGGGAGCCGAGGTTTGACTGTGTGTGTGTGTGTGTGTGTGTGTGTATGAATTTCTGTGCCACTTCAAATGAATCCCGCAGTGGCTTACAAACAATAAATAACAATAACATGATACAACATCACCTGTGCAGCACAAACCATATAAAATAATTAACAAACCACCAATAAAAGAATTACAATCTATGAAACGCTATTGACACAGCAGTTACTAATAATAAGCTGAGTCACAAGTACAGCAAAAGTCATAGGATTAACAGATCAATATGGTGTTTATCTATAAAGCAATATCAATGCTATTGACAAAACAGTAACTAAAAATGAGCTAAGCATCTCAATTGCAGCAGAAGGTGTAGTAACAGATCCATACGGCATCTATAAAACAATATAGGGCAGCAGGGAATGATGGGAGTTGTAGTCTGGCTGTATCGGGAGGGCCACAGGTACTAAGCTTACCTTCTGTTGTCTTGTCCTGTTCCTTGCCTGCCCCTTCTGGCGGCAGGTATTACGCCTTCGACGAGGCCTTTGTACGGGAGGTGCTGGGCAAAAAGCTCTCCAAAGGCACCAAGAAAGACCTGGACGACATCAGCGTCAAAACCGGGGTGACCCTCAAGAGTTGTCGGCGGCAGGTAATCTCTCGTCCCTTTGTGGGTGGCAGGGGAACCCCATGGAACACCTCTGACTCTTTTCCCAGGATGCCTGGGCAGGGTGGAAATAAAAGGGCACTGCCTGGGTGTCAGAAGTGTAGGAATGTCGCACAGGGCACCTTTCCCCCAACCTGGCACCCTCCGGTTGTTCTGAACTACAACTCCAACCACCCGCTTTCTCAAAAGATTTATCAGAGGTTGCTTGTCCTGCGTTTCCCTCGGTGAGGCTGTTGAACCTATTTAAGCCTGTGGTGTCGATGAGGCCTGTCTGTTTCTGCTCTGTTTTAGTTTGACAATTTCAAGCGGGTCTTTAAAGCCGTGGAAGAGCTCCGTGGGTCTCTGGTGGAAAACATTCAGCAGCATTTCCTGCTCTCGGACCGGTTAGCCGGGTAAGGGGCAGTGGGAGGGCACTGTGCCCTGGGATTTTTGTTTGTTCGTTTCAGTATATTTAAATATATTATCTTCCGATCTCAGGGCAGGTAGCAAATCAGTTTATGTTCAGGCAACCTAAGAAATGTGTCTAAAATCAGCTGTACAAAACATCAGACATAACAACCTTCTATGGGGCCAGCCCAGCTCCTTACAGCAGCAGAGGCTAATGCTAGGCACTCAAAGGAGCCCCACAACATGGTTGTGTGAGGCCCTTGACTTGTCTAGGATGTTCCACAAAAAGGTTTATGGGGTGACAGGGAGGCAATGGCTGAGATTTAGTGGAGTGGCTTTCTTAGTAGCATTAAACCTCCCCTCCATCTGTCCGTCCGCCCCACAGGGACTACGCAGCCATCGTTTTCTTCGCCAACAGCCGATTTGAGACAGGCAAAAAGAAGCTGCAGTACCTGACGTTTGAAGACTTTGCGTACTGTGCTGAGCAGATGATTCAGAACTGGACTTTGGGGGCGGTGGGTGAGTTTTGGACCCACGTAGCAAGATTCCCCTCGTGTTTGTGAAGCGGAAACTGGGAAGTTACGCCACCTTTCCTTATATCTGTCTTGGAAAAGATTTGTGGTTTGTCTGGAGGGAGCTAAATTGTGGGTCCAGGCATGCCAAGTAGGATGGGGAATCCTTTTTGATCTTCATCTCCCTGCTCCCAGCCCCACCACACACACATGCTCGGCAGGTCTACTTTGCAAGGTCAGTGGGACCACCCACCTGTCAAAGTTGACTCGCGGGGGTCAGGAGGGAGATTGCTCTTAACTCCTCCTTCGTCATCTGACATGCAGGCAGCTCAATCCTGCTTCATCCAGCTGCACCGCTGTCTGGGGTCGTGGGTCTGAGTCCTACATTGGGCAAAAAGATTCCAGCATTTTAGGGGGTTGGACGAGATGATCCTTGGGGTCACTTCCAATGCTACAATTCTGTGACATCGCCTATGACATCAGGCTGCTGGGCATGGCTAGAGGGAAACAGTCTCACAGTCCAGCTGGAGAGGCCCAGCGGACTAAGTTCGGCCTTTGGGTCATCGATTCTCCACCGCCATGCTAAGCCAAACCGTGACTTAGCTCAGCAGCAGAAGGGCTGTAGAAAGAGCAAAATGTCTCCTCCCTGGGAGACCTGGGCATTTGTCCATTTGTGTCCAGCCTCTCTCTCCAAATGCCCTCTGTCTTGCCTTGGCAGATACAAACGTGGATGATATGGATGTCGACCTGGACAAGGAATTCTTGCAGGGCCTGAAGGAGCTAAAGATTCTGATTGCTGACAAAGACTTGTTAGATCTGCACAAGAGGTACCTCGGATGCAGCCTTAGCCGAGTGGGGTGGGGGCTGTTTGCAAAACAACCAGGACGTGGTTGGAGCAAAGGGGAATTTGGCACTTTGCCATTTGCCCTTTGAGGTTTCAGGGCTAGAGCCCGGGTTGTAGGGAGCCTACGTCTCCTCCTAGATGTTAGACTACAACTCCCATCAGCCACAACCAGCATGGCCAATGGCCAGGGACAATGGGAGTGCAGTAGCTTCTGGAGGGCCCCAGGAACCCCCACCCTGCTTCTAGAGCCCTAATCATAAGCCACCGTAAAATAAGACACTTAAGGCCTTCTCTGACCTCTCCTCCTTATTCCCTCCTCATCCAGTTTGGTGTGCACAGCCTTGCGGGGAAAGATTTCTGTGTACAACGAGGTGGAAGCTAATTTCAAGGTATGGCATGGAGGGACCCTCACTGGGATACATTCTTTAGTTTCGGGACCCTCTTTCCAGCAGCTCCTCCCTCCCTCCAAGTGGCTGATACGAACTTTGCGCTTGATATTTGTTGGTGCACTTGGCCTGCTACTTCACTCCTGGCCATCAGAGGGGGCTGTTGTCCTTTGGAAAATCTCAATCCCGCAGACACAAACTGGGGTGGGGTGGGTTGGCAGCAGCAGAAGAAGGCTCTCTTGTGACCCTTCCGTTAACCCTTGCAGAACCTCTCCCGAGCCCTGATCAACATTGCCTCAAAGCTCACCCACAGCAAAGATGTCCGTGACTTTTTTGTGGATCTGGTGGAGAAGGTAAGCAGTCTCCCCTCCCCTCCCCATCTGAGCACCCCCTCCCGCCAGTGGATCGTGCCTGAATCACTGGGGATGGAGGCTGGGATGTCAAAATAAAAAATAAAAAATCACCAATGAATTAAATGATGATTAAATGTGTTTAGAGCCTAAGCATGCCTGCCACTTTTCAGAGTATAAGAAGGCAGGTCCCTGTCCCAAGGAGCTAACAATTAGAAAAAAATCATATAGGGATAAAAAAACAGGTGTGTGGACCAGGGACAGGGGGCGTGGCTGGGGAGGGGATGCGGGGAGGGTCCTGAGGGTCATGCAGAGAGACTTGGAGGCCCTCATTTGTTCCTTAGGCCTGAGGTCCTGTGAGATGTGCTGCCGCACTCTTGCCTTGACGCTTGTCATCTCCCATTGCAGTTTGTTGAGCCTTTTCGGTCGGACAAATGGAGCCCAAACGACGTGCGTCTCTTTCTGACACAGTACACGGCTTGTGCTCACACGCTGGATGCCTTCAGGTTTGTAGGAACGCCAGCGCCCAACCAGCTCCCAACACCTGGATTCTCCTCTGTTCCCTCCCTCCCCACCTTTGCCAGTGAATTGTTTACTTGCACTAGTAAAGCCTTATATAATTGTCCTTTTCTTTGCCTTTATACTTGCCCTTCTTCCTGCAAAACAGCCCCCCTCCGTATTATTATTTTTTTAAGGGGGAAAGATCCCACTCTCAGTCTTCCAGCAAAAACATTTTCTCCCTTTCTCACACAGGATTGCTTCCAAATAAGTTGTATTTAAAGCAGGTCCACTGACACGAATTAAGCTAGCCACGTCCATTAATTTCAACCGGTCTACTCTATAAGTAGGGCTAACTTTTGCAAAAGACCCACACCTTTTGAGTAAAACTGTGGGATCTGCTAACACAAGATAACCACCAGCTTGGACAGCTTTAAAAAGCTGTTCAGAAAGATGCTTAGGAGGTTGAGGTAATTTTAATCCATATTAGTATTTTAACTATTGTATGTTTTAAAAGTAGTGTTGTGATTTTTCCCCCTTGCATTTTACTGCTTCAACTTTTGTAAACCGCTTTGAGGGTGTTTAATTTTTTGTAGTATTTTTTTTTTACAACCAAATAGTGTATAAATTTTATGAAATAAATAAACAATAAAAGCTCAGACAAGTTGCTGGAGGGCAAGGTGATGCGCTAACTGCAGGATCACTGTGCCAGTATCACTGAATACCAGTTATTGGGAGGCAAGAGTGGGAGAGGGCTGTTGTCCTCCTCTCATAAGACAAGCCCTGGTGGATCAGGCCCATTGCCCATCTAATCCAGCATCCTTGTTCTCATTCTGGACATTAGATGCCAATGGGACGCTTGAAAGCAGGACCTGTGTGCCACGGCGACTCTCCCCAGCAACCGGTAGAAACTTAACAGCCTCCAACAGTGGAGGGGAGAACATAGCCATTGTGGCTGGTAGCCACAGATTAGCAGCCTTCCGTTCCATGAATTTGCCAAATCCCCTCTTAAAGCCATCCAAGATGGCGGCCATGAGGTCATGTTGTCCTGCCGTCTGGTTAACCTCTTCCCCCCTCCCCTTCTCCTGCAGGCATCAAGCTCTCTGGGAAAGATACATGGGGACGCTGAAAGCTTGCCTTCTGAAGATGTACCATGACTGAGCTCTGCACTTAGTTCTTTATTTTTTGGGGGGGGGAGGAAATCACCTTTAGGTGCAACAAGTTCCAGGCCAAAGAGAACCCGGAGCCCTTCAGGGGAGACGTTTGCTGTTCGCTTGCTGGCTGCGGCCGTCCTGCACAGACACACACAGTTGTGTGTCCACACACGGCGCGACCACCAAGTGTCACTCTTTTCTCTCTACATCTTCAGCAATTAAGGGTTAAAACTGTTGTTGGCGTTGAGAAATAAAGGAGGAGTCCTCACGGATGTTGCTTGATTTGTCTGATTCTGGATGGCCTGACTGTGAAAAGGCCCCACGGCAAATCATCTATTTTTCCTTCTCTTGTTTTCTTGTTTTCCCCATGTTGAGTTACGTTCTCCATGTTTCCACAACCATTTGCAATATTTTGTTGCAAACTGTTCGCTAGCATTATGATGTAATTTGCTCCTCATCTCCAATGTTTGTATGCAGTTCTGCCAAACGCCCACATTTTTGCAAAGCGATTTTTTTGCTAATATAATACAGTTGCGGGGTTTTGGTTTTGGTTTTTATTTTCATGAACCCATGCACGCTTTCCCTCAGTCTGTGCATTTTTTATACACATAACTTGCCTGGACATTGCAAAATTTGGACAGGTGCAGATTTCAAAGGCTGCCTATGTTTCGCTTCTCATATAGTTTTGGAAAGTGGAGGCTTGGATAGGTTCACCTTTTAAATGTAAACTGAATCATAGTCCCTCTCCCCGACTCCCACATTTCCTACTTAAGAGCATTTGATCTGAGGTAGCTTGAATTTTCTCTTCAGCACATCAAACCGGTGTGCATCTTTAGTACATAGGAAACTGCCCAGAGCCAGACGCTTGGTGCATGTAGCTCAGTGCTGTGAACCCATGGGGTAGGGGGCAGATGCATCCTTCTAGACCTTTCCTCCTGGCCTTTGGGACTCTCCCCAAGCCACCTTGTGTCCAGTGTGGCATGATGGTTATAGAGTGTTGGGCTAGGACCTGGGAGAGCCGGGTTCAAATCCTTTCTCAGCCATGAAGCTTGCTGGGTGACCTTGGGCCAGTCACTGCCTCTCAGACTAATCTACCTCACAAGGTGGTTGTGAAGATGAAATGGGGAGGAGAACGATATGCACCACCTTGAGGTCCTTGGAAGATAAAGGTGATATATAAATGCAATAAATAAAATATTAATGACTCGTGTATGCCTGCATGGGGGAATAGAGTGCTGTGTGTGAAACTGACTTACTGTACATAGGTAAATTTGCCTGTTTTTCCCCCTTTGTCCCTGGTGGGTTCTGACTACTCTTCCTCCCCCCCCCCCCAATTTTTCAAATTAATTTTCCAAATTTATAACAAACCTATCAACAAATAAGAAAAGAAAACATCAAAAAACAAACAAGCAAACATAAATCCCAACTGTAATAATTCCACTTTTGTTAACATTGTTGGGTGACTTCCTCAAATCCCCCTGGCTGAATTTCTATATATATCATTGTAGCAGTTTTCCAAAACTAATTTCCCCTAAAATTTACTTAATCAATTAACCTCTTTTCTTTCTTATCATTTTAACTTTAAACATATTATTCTATAACATCACATATTTAAATCCTAAGCCAATCCAATACTTGCAAGTAATTCCATTTAAGTTATCTTAACATATTTAGCTAAATAGTCTTTAAATTTCTTCCATTCCTCCTGGTACTCCTCCTCCTTCTGGTCACAGACTCTTCCGGTCAGATCGGCTAGCTCCCAAAAGTCCATCATCTTCATCTGCCACTGACTACTTTTCCTTTTACATCCTGTACAACCCTGTACATCTCACCCCCTCCTGTGCACCTGCCCTGCTGGAGGAGACAGAAACCGGGATGTTACAGGCAGGTTAATCGTGCCCCCCAGCCAGCTGCCTCCCTTCCTCATTCCTTTCTAGCAACCCTGCGGGCGGGAACAGTTTTCTCTCCATCATTGCACCTGGCATGGGCCTGCAAGGAGTTCTCTGTAGCAGAGGAGAAGCAGGAAGCCCAGATTCTAGGCCTAGTGATCAGATGGGAGCAGGGCCTAGCAGTGAGGCAGAGCTGGTGGTGCAGAGTGGAGGGGTGGGGTGGCCTGCCTTTTACCCACCAACCCCAATTCCACTTTGTGGGTATGGAGAAGTGCGGTTACTCAGGAGTAAAAGGGATTCTAGTTTCACAGGCCCAAGTTGGGGAGGCAGTAGGGACAGACTAAAGGCCGTGGTTCAGTGCTAGAGCATCTGCTTTTCAGCGATAAGGCCCTGAGTTCAGTCCTCTGCATCTCCAGGTGAGGCTTGCAAGAGATTCCGGGCCTGACACCCTGGAGAGCTGCTGACAGTCGATGTTGACATTCAGTGAGCCAATGGTCAGAACTGTTCCCATATTCCCATGTTCCCATATTCCTATTTAAGTCAGCATCGCCACCCATAAAAAAACAGGTTTGTTTCATGTGTATGTCATGAAATTCTACTCAATATTGATCCAGAGCAGAACTCCAGTGTATAGTTAGCAGGATAAAACTTAAACATGTTGCAGGATTCCCCAAAAATAGACCAGCGGCAATTATATTTCATCCAGCAGAGCTTGACTGCTACTGAAAGCAAATGAGCATAATGGTCACAAATCCAATACATTCAGGATTGGCCCTGTCCACAAGAAATCCAGTTACAGCAGACTTAAACTTACAATAACTTATAAGACTAAACCTTAATCCTATATACAGAACACCACACCAGAAAGAAGAGAGATGGAAAGAGAAAGTCTGAGGTCTGGGATTGCCACCATGGAAGGGCAAGGGAGAAACGGAGGTGGGGGTAGTTATTATTGGCGAAGGATTTTGCGATGCGGTGATGCTTGAACCCCTTCCAATCTACACCCCATCCCAAGGGACGTGGGTAGGGTGAGCAGGGATTACCCACCTCCGTCATTGGTGCTGTGAGCAATAAAATGTGATAAAATCGATGACAATAAAAGCAATTTCCAATCCAATATAAATTTATTTATATTGGGATTTAATAACAAACAAAAAAACACCACTTAATATTTATTTCATTTCATTTGTGAAAATTTTCCCCAAAGCAGGTTTTTAAAAATCAAGTACAATGGCATCTAACATTTCCCTTCGTGCAGTTCCCTTGAAATGCAGTGGAAGCCATTCCTAGAGCGAAGATGTCCTCTTTCTGTCGTTGCTCACAGATTTCGTTACAGTTCTTCCGCTCCTCCCATCGAAGCCCGCTCTTGCGCCTTGAGGACTAGAAAGATGCTTTTGCGAAGACGGCGCTCAGGCTTCCAAGGCTGCCCTGGGCCGATTCCTGCGCCCGTGGGGCAACTGGCAAGAGGAAGGCGAGATACCCTGGCCCAAGCCAGATGGTCCCATAGCACCGGGGCGCCGACCTTAACGCAGCTTTCTGCCCGGGCGTGCGCGGCGCCTTTGGGATTCAACCCTGCTGCCCTTTGCAGGGGAGGCTGGGCGATGAGGGCTGCGAACAGCTGGCCAGGAAAGGGTGTTCGCTGGGAGCTAAGTGGAACCAGATGTTGGGTGGAATCCTTTTGGCAACTCCGGCTGCCTGGCGGGGGGCCAGGAATTCAGCGTGGGGGGCTGGAGAGGGGAGCCAGCGCACAGTCTCCCAGGGAGCCCGCGCCTAACACTTCGCGCTCTGCACGCAGCCGGGATCGGGGCGCGTTTGGAGAAGGCAAGAGAGGGTGCCGGGGGGTGCCAGGCGGCTGCCAGCGTGGTGAGTGACGGGATGTGGGGTTTGGGGGTGGGGAGGGAGAAGGGGCTGGAGGAAGAAGGAGAAGGCCCGGGCCTGAAAGAGAGAGAAAGAGCGTGCGCCAGAGGAAAACATCCCTGCGCACTCTCCCAAAGTTGGTGATCCCATCCTGGGGAGAGCCCAGATTCACTGCCGTGGGAGGTGCCAGGCAGGCCCCCTCTCACTGTGCCAAGCCAAAGATGTTTGAGGAGGGGGAGAGAGACCTGATGCTTCCTTTGAACTAAGTGAAAAGTTTCAAGGTGCCTTCTTACATCGGAGACAATGTAGGATCTCGGCTTCTCCAGATCTCCAGGGATCACTTTGCTTGCCCCCACCCCCGGCACCCTGTGCCCCTCTCTCGCTGGGTGAAGGTGGCGGCTCCGTCTAGGCTTGTTTTGCCCTCCTGAATTGCTTCTGAAGTTTTCCTCCGCCCAGGGCCAGCCAGCCTTCCAGGGCTGTCCAGCCCAGCTTCGGAAACCACAGAAAGCGATGCCTCCTTAACAGCCAGGGCTTTCCTCAAATAAACCTGGGAACTGTAGTTTTCTGAGAGTTGTTAAGAGGCTCCTGTGCCCGTCACGGAGCTTCAATTCCCAGCTGTGGTGTACCTCACCGTAACTATGCCGGTGCAAAACAGTGTTAGGTCCAGATTAGGTCGTCATATTTAGAATTAGAATTAAATAAGAAAGTTTGCTGTCAGTGGTGCTTGGTAACATTCGACTTGGTAGGGCTGCAATTTTTAACCCTGCTGTTTTCATCACAATAGGATGACTTCGTATAGAAATGTGTTCCACATGTATATTAAGATCAGCTTCCTCAAAAATAGATAACACTGCAAGTGGGGCAGAAGAGATAATATAGCAAATCAAAATTGTATTGATTGCTTTTAAAACTGCATTTCTTTTCAAACTGCATTTCTTTTATTCCTCCCCCCACCCCCCAAAAAAAGAATATATGATTCAGTAACTGGGCCAGCATCTTGGGAAAAGAGAAAGGTTGATGTACAACAGACATTGGGGAGTTATATACCATTTATGAACTGCATGTAGGAACAATTCCTTACATTTTGCTGAAACGGAGTGGAGAGGGGGCTTAGCCCACATTCTCTGCCAGGTGTTGTCCTCTGTGTCCCAACCCATGTCTTGGCTCCATGCTAATCTTAAACCAAGCTGCTTATTCGGTTCCTGTTTCAGTGAAAGTTTACATAACCCAGAAACCAAACCCTTCGAGTCTTTAGAAGTGGATATAATTTAAGCTCTCAAAATTGGTCAACTTATGGGTCGCAGTGCATTTTCACTGAGCTGTTGTTTAAAAATGCAAACATTTGATGCCATGACAACCGTGGGATAGAGGTAGGCCCCAGTTTTTTCTCCATTTCCATCTTCATTGTGGGTTTGCTATTTTTTTATAAAAATCACAGAGACAGTAAAGTCTCCTAACCCTCCACTCACCCAGATCAAATGTGTGGTTCTGGAAGTCAAAGGAGTTAGAGGAAGATTCTGGACAAGGATTCCAAGCCACCAGTACCAACACTGATACGTCACTTGTAAGAGCCTATTATGAAAGTGAGTTTTATTCTTGAGATTGGATGATAAAAACAAGAATGCACTAAAGGGAATGCCATTTACCTGCTCAGATTTTTGGGGTGTCCACGACTTAGTACCACCCTCATTAATCAAAGAGAGGATATGTCTCAGCTGGCTAGCCAAATAATATAGCTGTAAATTAGGTAAATCCCATCCACCCTCTAACCAAACAATAAACCATTCCCCCCACCCCGATTCTCAGAGATTTTTCATCAAAGGGAAATGGATTAATGTTTTTCTGCCAAATCCTAAACTGAGTAGAGGGAATTGATGTAGTGAATTACTCCTACACATCCATTGCCAGAACGCTAAACACACGAAAGCTTTTGAAATGTGAGGAACACTTGTTTCTAGTCGCATGCGGTTTTCCTCACTGCAAAAATCAGTTTTATTTTTTCATTATCCAAAAGATTTCCTTTTCTAAATTAAAAGAACAAAGTATTCCAACCAGCGAAAATGATTGTTTCATTTGATCCAGCATGGCTCCGTCCTGAAAATGTGAAGTAATAATCTGTTTATGTGCACCAGAGCAATTACAATGTCTTTTTGCTTGTGCACAATGTCCACCTTTCTCTCTCGCTCCTGACTTCTAGGGCACCCTCGCCGTCTTCCCCCTGCCCGCAATGTCCCATATGACTCTCTTTGCTCTTTGTCTCCCACCTGCTGACCTGAGCTTTGCAAAAACGCAAAGCTCTTCAGACTTCAGCTCTTATTTTGAGGGGTGAGTGAGTCACCGTTCTCACCAGGGTGGAGTTGGCACTGGGTGAGGAAGAGGCTTCCTGGGCACCAGGAAAAGTCCTGCACCCATGGGTGCCATCTCGGTGACCCCAGCTAGGAGCATTTGTCCCAGACAAATGTGCAGCCTTCGACTTGACGGTGGTGGAAACTCGCTCGCCCTCTGTCCTCATTTGCCCCCAAGGAGACTCCTTCTGGTGACCTGGAACTCCCAGGGCCTCGTCTCTTTCTTGGCACCCATGGAGGTGGGTGCCAACCATCGGCACCCCTGTTTTCCTCCGAGAGGCTGGCTGTTGCCTCATCCACTCTTCCTGCGAGACCCAGAGGATGCTTGATGATGGGGTTTAGCCGTGCCCGAGGCAAAACTCAGCGAGTTGGCTGTATTTTAGGTATATATACATTAGCCCAAACAAGGGTTATATTTAGCACTGCCTGGAGACCATTTCTGCCTTGAAGCAACATTCAACACACGGGGCCCTTTCATCACCTGAAAGAGGTGCATTCCTGCAATAACAAGCCAAGACCCAGACCTGCATTTATTCCTAACTACTCCTTTGATACTGACTCAATTCTAGTGCTCAGGGGACGGTGCAATTGCAAGTGGGGAGGAGAGCTGTTCTTGCCCTCGGATCCTGTTTGCAGGGGGTGGGCATGTGATTGGCCCCTGTGCTGGGCGAGATACTGGCGTCTTAGTTATATGTTTTTAGGTGCCAGGCAAAAAACGTTCCTCCTAATCGGCCAGGCCTTTGGCTAATTAATATTTGACAGCCTTTTAAATGTGTTTGTGGGAGGGGGGTATTGCTATGTTGTTTTAACTGTTTATTTGTTGCTTTTTCCTTGTATTTTTATTTTTGAGATCTTTTGATGAAGGGTGGTATATCAGTCAATCAATCAATGATGGCTCCTCTTCTTTACGCTAGGTTCCCCATCACCTCTCTGATGGAATGTTATCTCTGCCTTGCCAGGTTTTGTTCTGTTTTTAATGAAAGGCTGGAGGAGGAGGAGGAGGAGGAGGAGGCAGGGCTGGATTGGAGTCAGGGCCTGGCAGGGAGTCAGGGGCCTGATCCGAGTCAGGGAGGTGACATGCCCGATATCTGCAACATGAAAAGGGACAAACCTTTTGGTCTACGGTTTTTAAAGCAATCAATACAATTTTGAACTGCTATGTTATTCCTCCTGCCCACCTTGCAGTGCTATCTATTTTTGAGGAAGCTGATCTTAGAGTATATAATAAAAAGCTAGCTGTTCTGTTTGGGGTGGCACAATGGCTTGTTTCTGGAGAGATCCACATGGAGCCAATACTTCTTTTTGGTATTCTGAAGTTTGGGAACTTCATTTAGAAAAGTTGACCAACAAGCTATGCATTTCCAGAGGGAAAATGCGAAAAGGATAGATTTTCAGGGGTTTGGTTTGATTTTATTAAATATATCATGGTCTGTTACCTCCCTCTGCTTGTTATCAATGGATTGGGTTGAGTAAAAAATATATTTTTCCTCTTTTAAGATTAATCCCACCCATGACAGCAGTGGGTTTTATTTTATTTTACCTTTAAAAGTATACCCAGCCTTTTATTCTCTGGTACCAGCCTGATGTGTCTTTTTCTTGCTGTCATTGTGGTTAGCTCAATAAAGAAACAAAACAAAATAGAGGAGTTGTCTGCTCCAATTCCAGTGCAATAATAAAGAAGGGTGAGCATGAGAGGGCCTTGCCATTGTCCTTCTACTGTTAGTAGCACCTGAACTGCAAATTTGGGAGCCCATATTTCATCCTAGGGTGCTCCTAGGCAGGGGATTAATATTTCACATGGGTCTGTCGGTTATCGCAAACAGACCGTTGGCAACAGGTGATTTTTTTTATAAAAAAAGGTTCTGGATTTTCCACAAAAATAGTAAATTTGAATTAAATGGGGGAGGGAATTAGAGTGGCGCTTGTGGGTTAAACCACAGAGCCTAGGACTTGCCGATCAGAAGGTCGGCGGTTCGAATCCCCGCGACGGGGTGAGCTCCCGTTGCTCGGTCCCTGCTCCTGACAACCTAGCAGTGCGAAAGTGCAAGTCAAAGTGCAAGTAGATAAATAGGTACCGCTCCGGCAGGAAGGTAAACGGCATGCGCTGCTCTGGTTCGCCAGAAGCGGCTTAGTCAATAAAGTGAGATGAGCACCGCAACCCCAGAGTCACGACTGGACCTAATGGTCAGGGGTCCCTTTACCTTTACCTTTTATGTTGATGCCAACGCAGTCATGTGGGCACTGCGAACAGCTTGCATGAATGAGGAGAGCACCACTCCTGCAATAAACACCCCTCTGGAAGCAACCCTAGTCGCAGCCATCCTTGCTTCTACAGTAAGATATATTGGATTTCTGTTTAAATCGCAGTGATCATTTCTAAATTGTTGCCCACGCATATAAAATGTTGATCTGCAGATTTTGAAGCTAAGTCTGGATCAGGAAGCTTGTTCTTCTAATCCCTGGGAGCTGGGAGCTCCCTGTACTTACTTTTCTGGGGTACTTCACTGGAAGCTGCAGGGGGGATTACAGTGGACTTTGCATCATACACTGGCTGATGCGGTATAGTGGCTAAGAGACTAGCTCATGGCTTATCTGGAGAGAGGACATTCTCCCTAGCCACACCCCCTCTCTGCAGGCCACACCCCTCACTGCCACTGCTTTGCAGTGTTGTTCCGACCCCCCCCCTTTCCCCTAGCTGGAATATACCGTAATTTTCTGTGTATAACACGCCTCCATGTATAAGACACCCCCTACTTTGGGGGACTCCAAATTATGAAAATATTACTATCCGTGTATAAGAAGACCCCCCCCCATTTTTAACAGTAAAAAAAACCTAGTCTTATACACGGAAAAGTACGGTAAATTCTGCCCCTGCCTTTTGCTTGCCTTGAAGGAAGGAGAGAGAGAGGTCTGTGTGCAGAAACTGGTCTTTTGCAGCCCTCTCTGGCACTGCATGCAAAGCAGGTGCTTGGCCACTGAACTCTGTGGATCGTTTCCTTTAAAATCTCGTATTTCAATTTCCCCCCTTTTCTACTCTACCTTATGAACAGCTCCTGAGAACTCAGAAGCCTGCCTATCCCCAACTTGGGTACAAGCACCTTGAGTTGCCACCTGGGCGTAATATCCACCCATTCTTCTACTTTTCAGTCCTGATCAGCCCTGTAAAGGTTTTCTCTTGGGGAGAGATGCGCTCTGCACATTCACAGAGGCTCTTAGTGTCTCAGTACTATGGAGAGCAGCCAAAAAGCAGCCTCCCTTTTGGGACATAGAAAGGCGGTCACTTGGCACCCCACTTTGCGTCTTGCCTACCATTCGGGCAAATAACTGCTGCTTGCTGTCACTGCCCTTAACCTCTAACCGGCCTCCTTTCCCCCAGGCAGAACAATGAGGTCTGTTTCATGTCTCCTCTTGGCAACGCTTCTGAGAGCTGCAGTTTCACAGGAACTGGAGGAACCCGACACTTACACGGTAAATGGCCTGGGCCTCCCACCATGCCAGAGTGGATGCTGTAGGGCAGGAGGGGTTCCAGCTGCAAAACAGGCATGCAGACACACACAGAGGTGCGCCCAGGAGGTGGTTGTTAATGCTGCTCAGCTTCGATGCAAGTGATGCATCCTCATCTGGGGTGGAGCATGACAGGGGCTAGAGAGCCAGCGTGGCAGTGAAAGAGGTGGACTAGGAGAACAGGGGGAACCTGAGTTCAAATCCCCACTTGGCCGTGAAGCTCACTGCATCATCTGCCACAGACTTTATCTCTCACCGTGGCGTAACTCATAGGGCTGTTATTTGGGTAATATGGAGGGAGGATGCTACCTTGAGCATCTTGGAAGAAAGGCGGGCTACAAATGTCACATGTCACAGTGTGGAGTGCTTCTGTTTATAGGGTGCCAGCTGCCAAGCCAGCCATGCCTCCTTGCAGGATACTCCATTCCATCGCCCTCCCACCCCCAACAGAGTTCCCATAAACCCTCAATAGTCAGTAAGCATTCCATGCTATCTGGGTATCTGGACTGCTTTGGAGCTCCCTCATTCCAACCCTTTCCGGTTTTTGTTTTCTAAATACAGTGGTACTTCGGGTTACAGACACTTCAGGTTACAGACTCCACTAACCCAGAAATAGTACGTCAGGTGAAGAACTTTGCTTCAGGATGAGAACAGAAATCATGCTCCGGCGGAGCGGCAGCAATGGGAGGCCCCATTAGCTAAAGTGGTACCTCAGGTTAGGGACGTGGGTGGCGCTGTGGGTTAAGCCACAGAGCCTAGGACTTGCCGATCAGAAGGTCAGCGGTTTGAATCCCCGTGACGGGGTGAGCTCCAGTTGCTCGGTCCCTGCTCCTGGCAACATAGCAGTTTGAAAGCACGTCAAAGTGCAAGTAGATAAATAGGTAGCATTCCGGCAGGAAGGTAAATAGCATTTCCGTGCGCTGCTCTGGTTCGCCAGAAGTGGCTTAGTCATGCTGGCCACATGACCGGAAGCTGTACGCCGGCTCCCTCGGCCAATAAAGCGAGATGAGCGCCACAACCCCAGAGTCGGTCACGACTGGACCTAATGGTCAGGGGTCCCTTTACCTTTACCTTTTACCTCAGGTTAAGAACAGTTTGAGGTTAAGAACAGACCTCTGGAACGAATTAAGTTCTTAACCCGAGGTACCACTGTATGTTTTTGTAGTTCTGCAAACCTTGGAGTCTGCCCCCTCCTCCAGCCTCCTGGTCCCTCCCTCTTGGGTGTGGGTGGGGATGATTTGGCTGCATAATGACTACACACTAGGAGCCCTTATTAGTGTATAAGATGATATAACAATTTGGCGCAAATGAAGATGGCCCAACAGTCTCATAGAAGGGGGGCCCCTGTACCCCCCTCCACCAAACTATTTTGGGGGCACAGGACTGGGGTGCACAAAACTCTGGATATACAGTAACGCCTCTGAGCAAGCGTAGGCCGGAAAATAGAAAGGGGCTCCTGCCCCTTTAATAGTGCACTCCTTGAAATGCCCTGTTCTACACTACTATTAAAGGGGCAGGAGCTCCACCCTATTTTGCCTTAGCAGTGGTGATGGTGGTTTCTAGGTCAGTGTTGTTTCTGGCTTAGAGCTGCACACATGCCAGGCCTTAGCCCCAGAATACATTTTCGATATGTTCTGTAATACGTTGGCTCTTAATGGCCACTAAATATTCATGGGCAGACCAAAAAGGAAGAGGACTTGCAAGACAGAAGATGGTGTTTTAAGCAGGGCTGAGCATCCTTCACCGGTTGTCTTGCAGTGTGGCAAAGGGGATGGTAGTCCCCAAGTCGGGGGCCTGATTGATATCTTTAACTCATTCCTATATGTCCTCCCTCTGCCCTAGGAATGCACTGACGGCTACCAGTGGGATGCGGAGAGTCAACATTGCAAAGGTACAGCCTGGCATTCCAGATAGCCATCTTGTTGAGGACAGGAACAGGGAAATTGGACAGTTTGGGTTTCTTTTGGTTCCTTATTCTTTCCATTTTAAGGTTTTGTGTTTTTTTAAAAAGAAAACTCCTCTTGAAAATTTGTGCACATGCGTGAGGTCAAACTGTGGACCGAAATGCGTGTATTAGTATAAACGCACATGAAAATTTTTATAGATTGCCTTCATACATGTTGTTTTCCCAGTTATCGTAATTTTTTTGCATGCTTTTCTCACTTTGGTGCACAATTTCCCCACCAAACATTTCCCCATGTTTTTGTGTGCGTTCCTTGGTTAGAGAACCACATTTTTAAACAAGGGGGGTGGGGACTGCGAATTTTGAGGGACAGTTTGGTTTCGGTTTGCATATTGGCTTCGGAAGTGCAAGTACAGTGGTGTCCGCATTAACATGTGAGCAGAGCAAATCTCTTCCTCCTACCTGGTTGGGGGAATAATACGCATTGTGGGAGGAAGGTTGTAGGTCAACCTGGGTGAGCCTCCCATCCTCTTGGGTGTCTTTGTTGGCATCCTAGTGCCTAGAGACCAAGGATGGGGAACCTTGGGCCCAGGAACCAAATGTGGCCCTGCAGCACTCTTGGCTGGCCCTTGGGTCTCTCCCCAGCCACACCCCCTAACTGCCCAGGCTCCCCACCTTTCTTGAGTGTTTTTCTCTGGCCATAATGTGTCCTTGCATGCTGACGAAGCCCCTTTCTGGCCTGGGTGGAAGCTAGAGAGAGTCTGTAGAAACCAGCCTACAAGCAAAATTTACATCTGTAGCCCTGCCCACTTTTACCTCTGTCCAACCACTGCTGTCCTGCGGCCCTCAGGAAATTGCCCAGAAGGGAATGTGGCCCTCAGGCTGTGGCACAGGCTGGGTAAGCAGCAGTGTTAAAAGCTCAGATACATCAGCCAGGCACCAAATGGCTCCTTAAACCAAGGTTTCAATCACCAAAACAGAATGTCTAAAGTCTTATAAAGTCTTATTTTTCAAAAGATGGATTGACTGTGATTGATTAACATCTGGCTGGTTCAGATGACAGGCTTAAGCCTCGGTTAAGAACTTTGAGAACTTAAAGAAGAAAAGTCCCTTGATCCAAAGACAGTCAACATATATATTGGCCTCTTCCGACTTCTTTTTGTTAACAGCGACTGCTCCTGCTCTGGCTGCACAGAAAAAGCATTTGGGTTCCTGGAATTCATTCCAATTGTGCAGATAAAATATAAGTGTTAGAATTCTACAGCATGCGGGATTAGTGTGTGAATACAGTCCAGAACCAAGATCTTAGATGATGGAGATGTCATGCGCCATCCTGGCACCCAGGCATCCTCACGTGGTTGGAAGCTAGGTGCAAAAGGTGCCTGGCTAATTTCAAACACTGGTTCCTAAGTGGTGACAGTGGCAAGGAGTTCAGGCATCGCTGGGGTTGTCTTGGCCTAAGGCCTCCACTGAACGTGGAAACAGCGTTGGCTAGGATGTCTCCTACAGCGAGCTGGAACTGACAAGAAGAAGGAGGGAGCCTGGGTGCCCACCTCCCCCCGTCTCCCCCTTATCCTGTCCCACCTGATTCTGTTTCCTTCCTCTTCCTCCCACGCCACCCGCCTGCCAGATGTGAACGAGTGCGAGACCATTCCCCATGCCTGCAAAGGAGAGATGAAGTGCATCAACCACTATGGGGGGTACCTGTGCCTCCCCCGCTCGGCCTCTGTGATCAACGACGTGAACTCCGAAAGGGCTCCTCCCCCCAGTCCCCCCAGGCCCAGGCCCCCCCAGCAGGCCCAGTACTTCGTACAGAACAACTGCCCCCAGGGCTACGAGCCGGACAGACAAGGATCCTGCATGGGTGAGTAGGGCGGCAGCAGCAACCCGAAGGGCGAGGGAGGAGGGGAGATCTCAGGGCATGGGGCATGTTTAGCCTTGAGGAGAAGAGACTTGAGAGGGGGGGACATGATAGCCATTAGATAGATAGATAGATAGATAGATAGATATAGATATCTGAAGGGCTGTTGTCCCATGGAAGATGGAGCAAGCTTGTTTTCCGCTCCTCCAGTGAGTAAGACCCAAACAAACGGATTCAAAATAAAAGAACGGTGATTACGACTAAACATTAGGAGGGACTTTCCTGCGGTAAATGCTGTTTGACAGTGGAACGGACACTCTCAGAAGGTGGTGGAGGTTTTTAATCAGTGGTTGGATTCTTCTTAAGGGACGTGGGTGGCGCTGTGGGTTAAACCACAGAGCCTAGGACTTGCCGATCAGAAGGTTGGCGGTTTAATCCCCGCGACGGGGTGAGCTCCCGTTGCTCGGTCCCTGCTCCTGCCAACATAGCAGTTCGAAAGCACATCAAAGTGCAAGTAGATAAATAGGTACCACTCCGGCGGGAAGGTAAACGGCGTTTCCGTGCGCTGCTCTGGTTCGCCAGAAGCGGCTTAGTCATGCTGGCCACCTGACCCGGAAGCTCTACACCGGCTCCCTCGGCCAAGAAAGCGAGATGAGCGCTGCAACCCCAGAGTCGGCCATGACTGGACCTAATGGTCAGGGGTCCCTTTACCCTTTACCTATACCTGGATTCTTCTTCTTTCTTTGGCGATCACTCATAGCCGAGTAAGATTGTCTTCCATAAACACGGTTTTAACAGTGAGTCTGTAAGTGACTGTGGAGGCCAATTCTGGATCCACACGTCCTTCCACAGTGGGGACATTGGTTTCTGGGTGGGAGTTGATCACAGTGTGGATTTGCCAAGCGTGCCTTCCTCTTGGAACGTTTCTCCCTTGCGTCCTGAGTTCGAGTCTTCAAAACCCATGACACCTTTGGTAAAGGCTGTTCTCCAACTGGAGCGCTCGCAGGCCAGAGCTTCCCAATTGTTGGTGTTTGTACTACATTTTTTAAGATTTGCCTTGAGACAGTCTTTAAACGTCTTTCGTTGACCACCAGCATTACGCTTTCCATTTTTAAGTGGTGGGCTCTCCTTCCTTGGAGGTTTTTAATCAGAGGTTGGATAGGGCCACCTGTCAAGGGTGCTTTAGTTGCGATTCCTTCATTGCACGGGGTTGGGCTAGATAACCCTTGGGAGAATTCCTTCTGACTTTACAATCTATGCAGACTGGGGCTCTTTGGGCAGGAAAAAGATGATGTGCAACTTAATTTGAAGTTATTGCAGTGATTCGGCCTATATCTGACATGCATTTTTTAAAAATGAGCCAGGAGGGGCTGGGTGTTTCTTGGGTGCTGTAGCGTCTTTGGTGAATGGGATAATAATAATAATAATAATAATAATAATAATAATTTATTATTTATACCCCGCCCATCTGGCTGGGTTTCCCCAGTCACTCTGGGCGGCTTCCAACCGAATATTAAAAACAGTACAGCATCAGACATTAAAAACTTCCCTAAACAGAGCTGCCTTCAGTTGTCTTTTAAAAGTAAAATAGTTGTTTATTGCCTTGACATCTGCTGGCAGGGTGTTCCACGGGGCAGGTGCCACGACCAAGAAGGCCCTCTGCCTGGTTCCCTGTAACCTTACTTCTCACAGCGAGGGAACCGCCAGAAGGCCCTCGGCGCTGGACCTCAGTGTCCGGGCTGGATGATGGGGGTGCACTTTGATTCCAGGAAGCACAAGCAGAGTGGCTGGGCACCCCCTGCCTCTCAACCTCCTTCCTCTGTGTTTTTCTGTCTCTTATTGGGAGCCTGCCCCTTCTCTCCCTCTCCCCTCCCCTTGCTGCCATGCTGGAGCCCCAGCTGTGTTTTTCTTTTTGTCCCATTCAGACGTGGACGAATGTGAATATGATTCGCACGACTGCCAGCCGAGCCAGCAATGCATCAACACGCCTGGGGGCTTCCATTGCCAGTGTCCGGACGGCTATCGGAAGATCGGCACAGAGTGTGTGGGTCAGTGTGCCTGAGGACTGCGCCCATGGGGTGGTCCTCGGTTTCTGCCAGGGAGTGTGCCTTCATCTTGGGCTGCATGCAATGCAATGGGGCTCTGAAAGGAATGGAACATGTGGGTTCGCAACAAAATATTGCAGCGCAGAGGGCCGGCCAGCCTCTTCCTGTATATTCCATTTCATTCCCTCTGCCCCTGTCTTGTTTTTCATTCCCCCTTGGCACCAGCACTCATGGGGCATTCCAAAGCCATTCAGCCTGTGAAATATACTCAGAGTTGAGAGTGGATTTCATGCTCTTTATTCAGCTCATAGTGGTGAGGAGGAATGGAAGTTCCCCCAGAATGTCTGCTTTATATACCTTATTTACACAATGAGCCCCACGTGATTGGCTAATTCCGGGATTCTCCTGTAGGCCAATCAGGTTGCGGATTCACTTCCACCTGGAGCTGGATTGGGTGGCTCCTGTGGATCAGTCAGACTGCTGCATTCTGGATCCTATTGTTCTAGGACCAATCAGACTGCTGCATTTTGGATCCTATTCAACTCAGTACATAACAGCCTGCTCACTCCTCATCCCTTGAGTTTCTCCCGGCCGAACATGATTTCTTGCAGTTCTCCTGGGTAGGGACTCTGTTCATGCTCAGAGGCACAGCAGGGAGGTGGCGGGAGGGGGTCAGAGCCGCTGAGGATTCCCTCTCCTTTCTCCCACTTGCAGACATTGACGAATGCCGCTATCGCTATTGCCAGCACCGCTGCGTCAACTCCCCAGGCTCGTTCTCCTGCCAGTGCGAACCTGGGTTCCAGCTGGCCAGCAACAACCGCTCATGTGTTGGTAAGCAGGGAATGTCCTTGTCCTGCCCTGGTCCCTTGCAGGTCTTCGATGCCCTGGTAGAGATGGCCACCCTATTGGCTTACCCTATTGGAGAGCTGCCGTTCCTTGCAAATCCTGCCAAATGTTGTGGAGGGAAAGAACACAAGCTTCATGTTCAGAAGGTCCCCTGTTCAAAGTACCAGGAAGCACATGATGGACAAGACCCTTCCTTGCTTAAGACCCCGGGGAGCCGCTGCCAGTCAGAGCAGGTGGTATTGGGCTAGGTGGACTGTTAGCTTGATCTGAGCTGTGGTTCGGCAGTCAAAGATCTGCTTTGCATTCAGAAGGTTCAATACCTGGGGCATCTTCAGGTAGGACTGGGAGACACTCTTGCTTGAAACTCTGGCGTGCTGCTGCCAGTCGATGTAGAAAACACTGATCTAGATGGACAAAGAGCCTGATTCTGTGTAAGGCAGCTCTCTATGTTCCAAGGATTAAGGCCTTTGCTCACTGGCAGAAGGATGAGTTCAGTCTCCAGTTTCTTCAGTTAGAAAGGATCAGGTCCCAGCTGATGGGAATGACCTCTCTCTCCCTGGGACCTTGAGAGCTGCTGCCAGTCAGAGTAGACAGTATAAGGGTTGGATGGACACATTGCCTGTCCTGGTAGAAGGCATCTTCCCTGTGTTCCTAAGAGGAAACGGCAGAGGCAAAGGAGGGAATGAATGTGAATGAATGTGGCTATAGGTAAAGGTAAAGGGACCCCTGACCATTAGGTCCAGTCGTGGCCGACTCTGGGGTTGCGGCGCTCATCTCGCTTTAGTGGCCGAGGGAGCCGGCGTACAGCTTCCGGGTCATGTGGCCAGCATGACTAAGCCGCTTCTGGCGAACCGCCGACCTTCTGATCGGCAAGTCCTAGGCTCTGTGGTTTAACCCACAACGCCACCCGCGTCCCAACTGCTTAATTTTAGTTACAGTCAGGCTAAGGAGTTAAGCAAGGCTGGAGGATCATATTAGGCCCACTAGAACTCCCCATTTCACCTGCCGGATCGTTTTGACCAAGCTCTGCTTACCTGCTCAGGTAAAGATGAAGCAGGGCTGGAAGAAAACAAATTGCTTTACATGGAATCCAGCTTTCCATTTAGCTCAGTATTGTCTGCACTGACTGGCAGCAGCTCTCCAGAATTTCAAGCAAGGCCTTCTTGCTCCCCCATCCCGCTCTACTTGGAGATGCTGCAGGGGATTGAAACACAGAACCATAGAATCACAGAATTGTAGAGTTGGAAGGGACTTCCAAGGGTCATCTAGTCTGACCCCTTGCCATGCAGAAATTGTAGCTCAAGAAGCCCTGGCAGGTGGCCACCCAACCTCTGCTTAAAAACAAGGAAGGAGATCCCACCACCTTCTGAGGTCACAGAACAATAGATACACAAAGTTGGAAGGGGCCCCCAAATGTCATCTAGTCCACCCCCCAAAAATACTGGACCTTCTGCATGCAAAGCAGTTGTTCTACCCCCTAGCTACCCCTCTTCCCCATGAAGGGTCTTTGCAGGCAATCACCATGGATTGCATCACTTTGCAAGCACCTTCAGTCAGCCAAAGGCTTCTCAGAAAAGCTGGATGTTTAGGAAGGATTTAAAGGAGGCAGTGTGCTGGGAGCAAGTTGCAGGACTGAGGGATAAAAAGGGGAGTGAAGGAGACAGCCTGGAAACCCTTGAAGGGAACAGGAGGCCTCCTGATAGCTTGGGGCTTGCTTGTCGACAAGCCATAAGAGGAAAACGCTTATCCCAGGGGTAAGGTGTGTGTTCCCTGTATGCCCCATAAATGCATAAATTGCCGCCAGCCGTTTCCACCTGGCAATGGCATCTCAACCCCGCTTAAGCTTTTGCAACCTCTCCTCCAGATGTAAACGAGTGCGAGATGGGGGCCCCCTGCAAGCAGCGTTGCTTCAACACGTATGGTACGTTCATCTGCCGCTGCAACCAGGGCTATGAGCTGGACCAGGACGGCTTCACCTGCAACGGTAGGTGGCTCTGTCTCCGCCCCATTTCTCCGCCCCCTTCTTCCTAGCTCCGCCTCTGCCCCTCCTGCTCTGGAGTTCTTCAACCTTGGGTTCCGTGGATGTTGTTGGACTACAACTCCCATCATCCACAGCCGTCTTAGATCTTAGGCTTCTAATGGCATGAAACCCAAAGTTGGCACAGGGAGGATTCCCAAATCCTGAGACTTGACACACTGCCCGGTTATGGAAGAGCAGATAAGGAAGAGGGCAACAAGGAAGCAGCAGAAATCCTTTCTTTTGGGGATAATTCAGACTGAAACTCCCAGGTGTCAGAAAATGTTATTTATGTACGCCACAACTGCGGCCCGTGTTTTGTTAGCCCCAAAATGGAAAACGAGCGAGGTCCCAACTGAAGAAGAACGGCAACTTAAGTTGACAGATTATACGCAGCTTGCAGACTTACATATAGAATAAGAGAACAAGAAGAACATATGTTTAGAGAAGATTGGAAAATGTTTATTGAATATATGGGAAGTAACTGTGTAGAGCTGAAAACGCTGGCAGCATTAAGATAAATTCAACAGTGTAAAGAAGTTTTGACGGAGGCAATAATGGAATACTGATTGGTATAGTTTTTGTAAAATATGCAGGGATTTATGATATGTAAAATGAACCATTGAAAGAGAAGAAGGGAAGTCATTGAGATCTTAAAGATGTAAAAACGAATACTTTAAATTGTAAAACAGAAAATTTAATAATAAATTTAATAAATTTAATAAATTTAATAAAAATTTAATAAAAAAATACATATACAGTGGATGCTTGGATTGCGAACGTGATCCGTGCGGGATGCACTTTCACAACCCACAGCGTTCGCAACCCGCAACGGCGCGTCTGTGCACATGCGGGTTGTGATTCGGCGCTTCTGTGCATGCACGACTGCTGAAACCTGGAAGTAACCTGTTCCGGTACTTCCGGGTTTCGGCGGTCCATAACCCAAAAAAACACAACCTGAAGCGTCTGTAACCCAAGGTATGACTGTATACCGTGGTACCTCAGGTTACATACGCTTCAGGTTACAGACTCCGCTAACCCAGAGATAGTACATCGGGTTAAGAACTTTGCTTCAGGATGAGAACAGAAATCGTGCTCCGGCGGCGCAGCAGCAGCTGGAGGCCCCATTAGCTAACGTGGTGCTTCAGATTAAGAACAGTTTCAGGTTAAGAACGGACCTCTGGAACGAATTAAGTTCTTAACCCGAGGTACCACTGTATATGTATTTATGTATATGTATACACACACACACACACACACACACACACACACACACACATATATAATTTTTATTAAATTTTCTGTATGTATGTGTGTGTGTGTATATATATATCTCTCTGTGTGTGTGCATTAGCAGCAGAAATCCTGAAAGCAAAAACAAGCCCAGTGACTCCAGAACCTGTCCTAAATCTTCTCCCTCCTTCCCAGACATTGACGAGTGTAGCTATTCCACCTACCTGTGCCAATTCCAGTGTGTCAACGAGCCGGGACACTTCTCTTGCGCCTGCCCCCAGGGCTACCAGCAGCTGAGCACACGCCTTTGCCAAGGTAAGTGTGGGGCAGGCATAGCTGCCTCGGGGTGGGGGTGGGGACACCCTCTGGCGCCTGAGCAGTTGTATATAGAATCCTAAGTTGTTTGTGCGAGGTTGTTAGACACAGGTCAGGCCCCTTGTGTGCCTTTAGCTAGGGGTGCCACTCGATTGAAAACATGTTAACTGATAAACAGGTCATGTTTTCCACGGTGGCTCCCCACTAGTGGAATGATTTCCCTAGAGAAACATGCCTGGCACCATCTTATTTATTTATTTACTCCCTCTCCTCCTTCCCCTCTACAACCCTAGACATTAACGAGTGTGAGACGGGAGCCTTCGAATGCACAGAGTCCCAGAATTGCATCAACTTTCACGGTGGGTACCGCTGCGTGGAGAAGAACAGCTGCCAGGAGCCATATGTGCAAGTCTCTGAAAAGTGAGTCTGGGCAGGTCAGGATGGGGGCTGGGGAGGGGAGTGAGGGAGAAAGACCATCCTGGACCTGAACAATAGCAAAATCAACGTGTATTTCTGTAGCAAGTCCTGGGAAACGGCCCTTGCTTGTATACTTCAAAGGGAAGAAGTATTATGTATGATACTTTTTTTAAAAAAAACACTATTGGTTCTGAAAGCGAAATGAAGCCTCCAGAGGCAGTCTACCAGATGTATGGGTGAAATTACAAAGCTAGGCTATTGGCCTCATACCATAAATAGGAGATCAGGGTTAGCGTCACCACCTGGACGCAACTGAGGGGATTCTTCTGTACTCTGCTTTCTTAGGAACAAAGCAGGATTCCTTATTTGCACAAATGGAGCCTGCGACAAAAGTTGCAGCGGCATGGAGTGCCCCCCCCCTGTGTGGCATAGCCTCCATCACAGCCAATAGCCATTGAAACCCTCTGTGAATTGGGCTGATGCTCTTTTAAAGCCTTCCAAGTTGGTGGCCATCACTGCCCGTGGAGCAAGTTCCACAGTTTGGCGATGTGCTGTGTGAAGGACTTCCTTTGGTCTCTCCTGAATCTTTCGACTTTCAGCTCTCCTGGAGGTCCACAAGTGTTCTGAGGGGAGGAAAATGTTTCTCTATCTGCTTTCTCCATGCCATGCATAAAACTTCCACCGTGTCAACTCTTACTCACCGTTTCTCTAAAGTCAGAAATGCTGCAACCTTTTGCTCTTGGCAGAGTCGCTCTTTCCCCTTCACCATTCTGTTTTCACTTTTCTGAACCATTCCCAACAGTAGTTCAGTCAGTAAGAGCATGTGACTCTTAATCTCAGGGCTGTGGGTTCAAGTCCCAATGTTGGGCAAAAGATTCCTGCATTGCAGGGAGTTGGACTGGATGTCTACAATTCTGTGGCACTGCCAGTTCAAACCCCATGAAGGTATATGTGAAATTAATATTTTTTGCCCTGCCGTGTGTCACCTTACACTTGGCTTACACTGAATTGTGCTTGTCGTTTCACCGCCCATTCGCTTAGTTTGGAGAGGTGCTTTTGGAGCTCTTCACAATCTCTCTCTGTTTTGACAACCCTGAACAATTCATTTCCTTTGGCAAGCTTGGCCACCTCACTGTCCTCCACCCACCCTCCCATAACCCAATTTGTTTCCGCTGTAGCCGCTGCCTCTGCCCAGCCACGAACCCGCTCTGCCGCGATAATCCGTCCTCCATCGTCCACCGATACATGAGTATCACGGCTGACCGAACTGTGCCCTCTGACATATTCCAGATCCAGGCCACAAGCGTCTACCCAGGCGCCTATAACACGTTCCAGATCCGCTCGGGCAACGAACAAGGAGAGTTCTATATCCGGGTGAGTCCCGCTTCCCAGCAGCAGCCAATCGGAGCGGCCCCTGCCCACAGCTGCCATCTTAACCGTTGATCTGTTATTACATATATATTCCAACATATCCCTTGTGCAATAAGCCAGCACCTCCACACACCTCTCTCTGTCCAGGGAAACAAGAGGGAAGATCAGAATTCATGGGCATATTCCACCCAAGGAGGGTTTGGATCACAGTTTGTAAGGGATGCGGTCAACGAAAGAGTCCGAAGGGACAGATAGAAGTGCCATTGAAATTCCACTCAATATTGATCCAGAGTAGATTCCAATGTATAGTTAGCAGAGTAAAAACTTAAGCTTGTTGCAGGATTCCCCCAAAATAGACCAGCAGCAATTGTATTTCATTCAGCAGAGCTTTACTGCTATTGAAGGCAAATGAGCATAATGGTCACAAATCCAATACATTCAGGATTGGCCCTGTCCATAAGAAATCCAGTTGCAGCAGTCTTAGCTTAAACTTACCAGGGCTATCGTCTGTCTGGCTCCGAAGCGCCCTCTCCGATTGCATGGAGCCCGGACAGCCCCGTGGTTTTCTTCGGAGCTGAGGGCGATGAAACAATCGCTGAGACGACTAGAGCATCGGTGGCAGAAAACTCACTCCGAATCTGACCGGACACAGGTTAGAGCTCAACGTCGAGCCTACCAAGTGGCGATAGCGACAGTGAAGAAAACTTTCTTCACCGCCTCTATTGCATCTGCAGAAAATAGTAGCAGGAGACTCTTTCAGGTGGTTCGCAATTTAACGGAACCACCTTTACCACCGGGGCCTTGTAAAGACCCCAAGATCTCCTGCAACGATTTTGCAAAGTTTTTGCAGATAAAATCACTCATATTCGGAAGGAGCTAGACACCACCGTGGGAGCAGGGCTGGGGCGGGAGAGTGCTGGAGCTCTGTCTGGTCAAGTTGCATAGAATCAATTTCAATCCGTTACCCCCGAGGACGTGGACAGGCTGCTGGGATGCGTGAAACCAGCCACCTGTCTCCTTGATCCTTGCCCATCCTGGCTAATAAAAGCAAGCTGGGAAGGGCTGGGCGATGGGCTCTGCGGGGTGGTGAATGCTTCCCTCTGTGAGGGAACATTCCCAGATCCGCTGAGAGAGGCGGTCATTAGGGACTTCCGGGGTGGCGCCATCGGCAATGGCGGACTCCCTCTGAACTGGAGGGACTAGCTCCGCGGGAAACGGGTCTTCTCCGCTACGGCAAAGCGGGGACCCTTTCAAAAATCACAGGCGGATGAAGCCTGTGACCATGGGACTCAGCGGGCACCTTTAGCGCCCCAACCCGCTAAGGAACCCACTAATGGGCTCCGAAGTGAAGAGGGGGAAGTGGCGCGGTGCTGTGAGTCAACTGCTATTTCCGTGGAGCGAAGCCGCATAGCCGTTGCCGGAGAGCGCTGTCTTTTTCCTGGGACAATTTGGACTCTAAAATAAGCACCCGTGAGTACTTAGACTTTGAACAACTGGACATTAGATGGGGACTTGTGAGCAGAAAGGAATTGGATTTTTAAAATCTATTTCAATTTGGTACGGAACGGGAAAGTCTAAACAGGAAGTCAGCCTTCCGTTCTTCTGTAGATAGAATAAAGCAAAGACAACGTAAACTAGAACTCAGAAAATCGCTTTTAAAGGATTGGATTTCATCATTTAAAATTGTTGAACCCCCTTCGACAGCAGGAGAAGAAGGGGATCTTTTGGACTGTTTAAAGTGAGTTTAAAGTAAAGCAACTTTCCTCCATCCTGATCCTGGAGCGGGGTGTCAGGACTGACGCTTGAAGTTCATTGACCAGAGACAAACGTTTTTGACAGATAGCTAAAAGAAGAGAAACATAGTGATTCCACTGTTTCCTTCGCATTTCAAAGGAACAAATATTGACAAGGTATCTCAAAAAGGAAACTTTGTTGCAAGATCAAATAGAAGTTTTCCCCCTAGAGGGAGACTGTGAAACTGTAACCAACTCCAGGGAGCCGGCAGCTGTTTACAGACTACAATCGTGGGAATAGGCATTTGACCTTGCAGGACAATGTATTCTGAAGCTTTGTTGTGTGCTTTCTACAAAACAAATGTCCTACTGGAACAGTTACATGAGAAGGTGAATTTGATGACGACTTCGACTAGAAATTTTGAACAGGCAGTGGGAAAATATGTGGAGCCCACCCAGGAATTAAATCAGGAGTGTGTCCTGACAGAACAGGCCCAACAGGAATATGAGCTTTTGGATTTGACAAATGAACTTGGAAAAAGCCAGATTTGGAAAGAAAAAGTTTGGTTTGGCTTGGAAATGGGGGGGCTGGATTGACCCCCCTATGCTGGGATGTTTGGACTTTTCAAATCTGGCAATGGGCCGTGAGATGTTTGGGATTGTGGGGGCTCTTAATTTTGGAGGGTCTTTGAAACATGCTTTAAATACCATATGGAATTCAGTGCTGAATATGGAAAAGGGGCTGATCTGTCGAGAAGGGTTAAAAATATTGCCAAGCTGGAGTTACCATGAGCAGGAGACAAGGGAAAATACAGTTACAAATATGAAGAAGAGCTGCGAAAGGGACATGGAAGAGACTTGAGGGCCTCGGATATAAGGTTGCCAGGTTAATGGGCCAGATCGATGGGATAATAAGGACTGACTAAACCTGGAACCAGGAGGAAGGGACGTTGGATGAAGATTGGATCTGTTTGTATTTCTTTTTTCTACCATTAGAACTGTTTTATAAAATTGATGAATGTCAGAAAATGTTGGAATGAAATTACTCGGCTTTAGTAAAGATGTTTAAAGAATTATGAAAGAATATTATGGTTATGAGAAGTTGGTAAGGATAAGATTTAAGTTATAAGCTTTAAGGTTTATTTCTTATATAAAGATAAGATCAAAACTGTTTAGGGTAATGTAATGACAGAATATTATGAAATATGGAAAGGATTTGCTGGGATAATTAATAACTAGGATACAAAGAAAGGGAGGAGGAGGAGGTCAAAGAAAGAAGGTAATGACAGTTGAGGATTCGAGAATAATGAATTTGTTTTTAAATGTTCTTAAATTGTATCTTTGTTTTTTCTTCTGTCTTTTTTTCTTTTTCTTGAATTTGTATTTGTATGGTTGGAAGGGTTTTTTTTTTCTTTTTCTTCCTTTTCTACTTTGTTAACTATTTTTATTTTGTATTTTCTTCTGCTTTTATTTTATGTTGTAACACTTTGAAAATTTCAATAAATATTTTATAAAAAAAATAATGAAAGAGGCGGTCATTAAACTGCTTCTTAAAAAACCATCTTTAGACCCGGCCAGTATGGCCAACTATTGCCCAGTCTCAAATCTTCCATTCTTGGGCAAGGTGATTGAGCGTGTGGTTGCTGAACAACTCCAGGCACGCCTGGAGGATGTGGACCATTTGGATCCCTTCCAATCGGGATTCAGGCCTCATCATGGGACTGAAACTGCCTTGGTCGCCCTGGTTGATGATCTCCGGCGAGCTAGGGACAAAGGTGAGAGTTGTTTCCTAGTTCTGCTGGATCTCTCAGCGGCCTTTGATACAATCGACCATAACATCCTTCTGGACCATCTAGAGGGGCTGGGAGCTGGGAGCACTGTTATGCAGTGGTTTCTCTCCTTCCTCCTGAGCCGTGTTCAGAAAGTGGTGGTGGGGGATGAGTGTTCAGACCCCTGGGCCCTCACTTGTGGGGTGCCTCAGGGTTCCGTCGTCTCCCCCATGCTTTTTAACATCTATATGAAGCCGCTGGGAGAGATCATCAGGGGGTTTGGGCTGGGTGTCCATCAATGTGCTGATAATACCCAGCTCCACCTCTCTTTCAAATCAGAACCAGTGAAGGCGGTGAAGGTCCTGTGTGAGTGCCTGGAGGCGGTTGGAGGATGGATGGCGGCTAATGGATTGAAGTTGAATCCTGACAAGACACAAGTACTGTTTTGGGGGGACAGGGGGCGGGCTGGTGTGGAGGACTCCCTGATCCTGAATAGGGTAACTGTGCCCCTGAAGGACCAGGTGCGCAGCCTGGGAGTCATTTTGGACTCACAGCTGTCCATGGAGGCGCAGGTCAATTCTGTATCCAGGGCAGCTGGTCTACCAACTCCACCTGGTACGCAGGCTGAGACCCTACCTGCCCGCGGACTGTCTCACCAGAGTGGTGCATGCTCTAGTTATCTCCCGCTTGGACTGCTGCAATGCGCTCTACGTGGGGCTACCTTTGAAGGTGACTCGGAAACGACAACTAATCCAGAATGCGGCAGCTAGACTGGTGACTGGGGGCGGCCGCCGAGACCACGTAATACCGGTCTTGAAAGACCTACATTGGCTCCCAGTACGTTTCCGAGCACAATTCAAAGTGTTGGTGTTGACCTTTAAAGCCCTAAACGGCCTCGGCCCAGTATACCTGAAGGAGCGTCTCCACCCCCATTGTTCTGCCCGGACGCTGAGGTCCAACGCCGAAGGCCTTCTGGCAGTTTTTTCACTGTGAGAAGCAGAGCTACAGGGAACCAGGCAGAGGGCCTTCTCGGTAGTGGCGCCTGCCTTGTGGAATGCCCTCCCATCAGATGTCAAAGAGATAAACAACTACCTGACATTTAGAAGACATCTGAAGGCAGCCCTGTTCAGGGAAGTTTTTAATCTGTGATATTTTAGTGTATTTTTGGTTTCTATGGAAGCCGCCCAGAGTAGCTGGGGAAACCCAGCCAGATGGGCGGGGTACAAATAATAAATTTTTATTATTTATTATTATTATTATTACAAGAAGTCTAAAACCTTAACACTAAGCATACCATGCACAGAACACAACACCAGAAGGACACCTATTTTTATAGTCAGCATGACCTTGACAGAAGAGATAAGAGAACCAGTTTAAGCCAGCTGTACTCAGCTTCTCTGAAGGAATAACCCAAACATCATGCTTATTTCTTTCACACAGAAAAGCTTCCAGAACCCTTTTGAATTAAGTCCAATAGGAAAGATCTCTGCACATCAGATCAATGCTTTCTGTACCTAGAAATGCAAACTGACGACAAGTGCCATTTTGCCCCTGGGCCTGAGGTCCCCCACCTCTTCCCTGGACCCTATATGTGGGAAGGCAATGTCTGTTTCAAGAAACTCCCAGCTTGAACAGCTACCAGGCCCATCTCGAACAGACTAGGCCCTGGCCTGGCATTCTCCCTCCCTCTCCCTCAAGGCTCAACCTCCTTTTCTCCCCCACAGCAAATCAACAACATAAGCGCCATGCTGGTCTTGGCCCGGCCAGTGACAGGGCCCCATGAGTTTGTCCTGGATTTGGAGATGGTCACCATGAACACCCTGATGAGCTACCGTTCCAGCTCGGTGTTGCGGCTCACCGTCTTTGTGGGAGCCTATTCGTTCTAGCCAAGCAGCAGCACTTCCCCTTGCCTGGCTGAGGAGGGGAGGGGTAAGTCTGGCTTTTGGATGGGCAAATGAACCTTCATCCTAGGAATGGGGAGGGGGGAGAAAGAGAGCTGACCCATGGGTGGGTAAGTAATGAAATAATTGGCTGGACCCCTAGATCAAAAAATGCAGGGCTTTACACACACTCTAGCGGGAGAGAGCCACCAGCAGAGTTTAGAAGAGTCTCAAAATTAAGTGGGAGTATAGCATGGGAATAATGGGCTGTTAGACCCTTTCATGTATCCTGTTCAGTTTGCCAACAACCCTTCTCTTTACCCCTCTGGCAATGAACAGACCGCACACTGCTAAGTAAGTTTAAAATGCTTTCCTTACAAAATCCAAAGGTCTGATTCATGTATTGTTCCATGCAATAGCAAGGAACACACATGTAGAATACTGTTGGGTACAAAATGCAGAAGATAGTTTCAAGCATGTGGTCTGAGCTTGGAGTACATCTTTCCTGGTTGGTTACATGGCACGAAGAGAGTGAGGAAAGGAAGAGAAGCTTCACTTCTTCCCTCATTGGAGGTGAGGGTGTGTGGCTTAAGTGAGTCTAGGAACCCAGCTCTCTGGTTTTAACCCTTTCCTGCACTAAAACCCTGCCTGAAACCCTGTAGAGCTACTGCTTAAAAGCACTCTTCATAATATTTCAGAGATTCCAGATGTGAGCCAGTAATAACAAGGAAATTCTGTGCTTTCAAGTTCAGCTCACAGCAGCTACCAGGTCTTATGGGGGAGGGGGCATCCTAGGTTGGTGCAAACCGCTCCCCCACCCCTGAGATCTTCTATATTGCAGTGCATGGTTACACTCTCTTCTTCCTCTCTCCATTGCAGAAACATCTGCTGGGTTGGGCTGTGTAAGAGAGGAACCGAGAGGCAAGAAGCCACGACCCCAGCGGCCAGGGAAGGGATCTGTCATGGCCTTTTGCATCTTCCCCGACCCCCAAGAAGCACCCATCATCACAACTGGATGAAGAGGGACCAGAGCTGCGACTGGGGGGCCAGAGCTGTGGCTTCAAAGACGAGCGCCACCCCCTCCAGAAGCGCCCTTTGAGCTACCACCCTGCCCGGCAGTGGAACTCGTGCCCCCTTCTCCCACTGCCCCCTGCATCTCAGAGCACAGAGGGGCCTCCACAACCTCGCAGCAAGGCTCCGTGTTTGTTTTCTGCTTAACAGAGTGAGGGAGAGAAAGACAAAACAAAAATTAGTAAAATGATTTTTTATGTGTGTGGAAAGGAAATGATTCAAATGTGTGTCTGGATGCTTCCCAAATGGACCAAGCGCTCCAGAATCTTTGGGGAATAAGCCTTGTCCTTTTCAGTCTCTTCAAGGCTCCCCAGCAGATAGGAAGGCTTTCCCAGCCAGACACCCATCCTAGATGCTAGAGCCGGTCTAACCCCACCTCCAAAAGGATATTGTACTGCTAGGAAAAGTTGGAGCAGCTCCCATACGAGGAAAGGCTAGAACATTCTGGGCTTCTTAGCTTAGAAGAAAGGTGAGTAATTGGAGACACGATACTTAACGCCTGGTGTTCGGCAAGTGAATAGGGAGATGTTTTTTCTCCTTCTCTCTGATACTAGAACCCAATGGGGGGGTTCATCCAGGGAAGGTGAATGTTGCAAGAATTAGGACAGACAAAAGGCCGTCCTTCGCAATGGCCATACAGTGGTACCTCGGGTTAAGAACTTAATTCGTTCTGGAGGGCCGTTCTTAACCTGAAACTGTTCTTAACCTGAGGTACCACTTTAGCTAATGGGGCCTCCCGCTGCCGCCACGCGATTTCTGTTCTCATCCTGAGGTAAAGTTCTTAACCCGAGGTACTATTTCTGGGTTAGCGGAGTCTGTAACCTGAAGCGTCTGTAACCCGAGGTACCACTGTAGTTAAACGATGGAATTTGCCTACACAAGTAGTAGTGATGGCCGCTGACTTTTTTTAAAAAAGGGGGGGGGTCAGAGAAATTCACGGAGGACAAGATCAGAAGGCTCCAAGTCGCTCCAAGATCAGAAGGCAGCATTTCTCACAAGCAGGAGAGAGCGCTACTGAACAAGTCCTCGCAGCCGAAGAGCTATAACTGGAACCTCAATCGTACCAACTTAGCTGCGATTCCTTCATTGCAGGGGGTTGAACTATAGATCACCCTTGGGGAACCTCTCACCCTTAACGTTCCGTGACTCTCAAGGCGCCGTGAATTTTCAGCAGGGACCACACATTCCATACAGTTAAGTGCCGAGAAACCAGGCGAAATGCGAATGTGCGCACCTGTTGTGCTCAGGTCCCAATTGTGGGCTTTCCCCAGAGACGTTTAGTTGGCCATTGTGAGAACAGGATGCTGGACTATTGCTTTGTCCTGCGGTCAGGCTCTTATGTAGCCGCATTCCCACCAAAAAGGGCAGGGGTGGATTTGAACCAGGAGCAGGGGACCTGTAGCCCTCCTGATGTTGTTGGACTTCCAGCTTCTGCCCTGCTGGACCACTGGCTATGCTGGCTGTGGATGGTGGCAACCCAAGAACATCTGGATGGGCCACAGCTGTTGGGAAGGACCGCAGCTGAAGGATGGAGCATCTGTTTTGTAGGCCCTCTGGTTCCATCACCAGCATCTCCAGGCAGGGCAGGGAGCGTCCCCAGTCTGAGACCCTGGAGAATCGCCACCACTAAGAAAGTTGGGGTTCCCCTCTCCTGATCTGAAGCAAGGGCCCATCAGCACAGCTTTGCACCTCTGAAGGGGACAGGCCAGATGACCCAGGCTGAGAAGCCCCAAAAGTAAGGCAGCACAAAGGTGAAATAGCCAAGAGCTTGACCTGGCATGTATTTGGCTCAAATCTCCCTTTGGCCACAGACTCACTAGGTGGGAGCCTCACATGAGGCGTTTGGTGAAGAGGCCAACAACGAAGCAGCTTTTACACAAACATGCCTTGCTTGTGCTTTATGGGCACTGAGGCTCGGGCGAAGTGACGCTCCTGTTATTTTTGCATTTTATAGTTGAAATTTGTACTTGTAAACTGTCCCAAGGAATTCTGTGAGTGGACAGTATTCTGTCAACACTGGAAATGAAGGAATAGCTGCCGGAAGTGTAATTGGGAGGGGAAGATTACAGTGGGATAAGGACTTTTCCAAGGCTTTTGCACCCTGCTGAATCTGCCCCCAACCTCCAAAACACACATTTTATTTTCCTTAGGGAAGTATGCAAGTCTTGTTAATATTTTCCTTGTAAGAGAAGACAAGAACACTGGTGAATCAGGCCAAAGCCCCGTCTAGCGCAGCATCCTGTCCTGACATTGGCCAACCAGATGCCCCTATGGGAAGCTCACAAACAGGATCTAAGTGCGACAGCAGTTTTCCCACCTGCAATGGCTTGTAGCCATTGCTAGGCTTATCAGTGAGTTTCTCTAATCCTCTTTTAAAGCTACCCGATACCTTGGGAGCAAATTCCATGGTCGAAACTATGCCCTGCAGAAAGAAGGGCTTTTGGTTGTCTTTCCTGAATCCTCCAGCATATTCAGCTTCATCAGAGGCTCCCTGCTCTTCCCAGCAGGCATAGGGGGGCACAAAGAAGCTGGAAGGTGTGGCAGTTTTCAGTGGGGAAATGGCACAAGAAGAAAAGACGAAGCACCTCCCCCCCGCCCCATGCTGGTCTTCTGCTTCAAACTGCAGCCTCAGAGGCTGAATTTCTTAAAACCAAATGGCTGTCTCCCCCCAAAAAAGAAGCACAGGACACGTTGCTCCTCCTATCAGGCAGGCAAAACCAGCCACTGGGCACAACTTGGTAATTCACCCAAAGACTGCAAAAAACACGCGTATATTTCCTCTCCCCTGTGTTTAATTAGAACAGGCAGTCTAAAAATGGACTGTTTCTGACTCTGAACTTTGGAAGGGGGGAAATCATAATATTTGTATTTAAATATTACAAATTCTTCCAATGATTGTGCTGAGGGGAAATACTGGAGACTGCTTCTTTCCCCGTTTTCTCCCATTAATTTCCACACAGAACACTTTCAGGGCATTTTGGGGGAGGGGGGTGGATGAGAATTTTAAATATTTGCCCAGCATATCTTTTAAAACCTTTTCAGTTGCTTCCAATTTACTCGCCTACGGCAAAAAACAAGAGCCTGCCCATGTCTTGAAACAAATTAAGAAGAGTCCTTAAGACCAAATCCCACTTCCAACGACAAAAGGTTTAATGCATCTAGCATCTGAGGTTCTGTTTAGCCTGCATACACACCATATATTTAAAGCACACAGCCTTCCCCAAAGGATCCTGCGAGTTTACAAAGCTGAAATTCCCAGCACCTTTAGACAACAGTTCCCATGATTCTTTGGGGGGAAGCCATGTTGGTGCATACGCAGCCTTAGGTATGATAGGTCATCATGGGATTTTGGAGTTGGAAGGCACTGCAGAGACCATACAGCCCCAACCCAGTGCTCAGCACATGACCCGCAATACAGGGTGCAACTCAATCCTGCCAGGCTCTGCCTACATACCTCCAGCCGGAGAGAGCCCAGCACTGCGCACAGCAGTCTGGTTCCACTCTCCAAAGAGTTCCTGCCATTACGAAACTTCTCCTAATGTTCCTAAGCAGGTCTCTGCTTCTTGGCAATTACTAACTGGTTGCAGCCCTGCCCTCCGTCGCTGTGGATTTGTCTATAATTCCCTTTTAAAGCTGTCCCTCTCTAATTCCGTAAGAAGGTGTGCGGTGTGAAAAAGTACTTTTCTGGGCACCTCAGGGGTTGAAGACATAATAAGAAGAGCCTTTGCAAAACAAAATGTTACAATTTTATTAGAATATCGACAGATTTTTTTTTAAATAAAAAAGGAAGAAAAAACCAAGAGGGATGAGACTTGGCAGGCCCTAATTTAGCAGCCAAAAGGGGCCCAAAATACCCAGTCGGGGTGCTCTTCCTCAAACAGTCTTGTGGGTGGTGTAAACGACAGAGTCAACCTGGACCCCTCATAAGTTTGTGGCAAGGAAGTGCATTTTGGGCTAGTAAACATCTGGCACATAATGCTAGAGCAGGGGTGGTGAACCTGTAGCTCACCAGATGTTGCTGAATGAAAAAGCTCACTGGCCCGGAAAGCCTCGGGTTCCCTGCTCCTGTGATGAGGCAATAGGACAAACCCATCCTTTCCTTGGCAACTGTGTTTTACAAGGAGCAACAGTGCTGGGTGTCTCTGGGGCCAGCTTCCCACAGCTGCTGGCTGCTGAAATACGGTAACTGTGATCACACAACAGGCCTTCCTCTAACTCTGGTGGCAGTGGGGAGGCGTATTCCACGTTGGCTGGTGAATCATTGGCACGCAGGCGCACCCACAGCCTCCCACTGATTCAAGGCAGAGGTCCTGATGTGCAGTACAACTGAGCCAAAGTCTTGCTCAAGGCAGGGCCCAAGTTCCTGAAGCAAAAGAGGAAGGAAGAGAGCAAAAGGACAGAGGTTAGGAGAGCCAACAACAGGACAATGGTCAAGGCAACGGGGCTCTCCGAGGTTCAGGCTACAGGGTTGGACCCTCAGGGTGTGGTTAAGACCGACCGGCCCCTCCCTCGGTACTTTTTCTGGCCTCGTTTCCCAAAATCCCACAGTGAAAAACCCGTTCTAGGCTGCTGACTCTCTTCTCTGCTAGATCTCTCTCTGTTGCCTGAGCTCCCAAACCCACATCCTGTGTGGTTCTTGCACAAGATGCCTTTTGCACGCCGAAGCTCCAGGCCTGGGGAGGGGAGGGGAAACACGCAGCTCTGTTGCTCACCTCTGCAGTTTGCCGCATTTGACATCGCTCAGCAGCTGCTCTTGGCACTGTGGCGTTGGGCAAGAGGCGTAAGCAGCCAGGAGGCTGAAGGGAAAGAGAGAAAGCGGGAGAAGGGGGTCATGGATGGCAAACCGAAACCCATTCAGATGGCTTACAGCAGGGATGGGGAACTTGAGGGCCTCTGGACGGTGCTGGACTACAACTCCCACCACCCCTCACGACTGGTCATGTTGGCTGGGGCTGATGGGAGGTGGAGTCTAACAGCCTTTGTATGCCCTGGCTCAGAGCAAGGAAACCTGCCTTGTGCTAGGCCAGGCTTATTTTGTCCTACTCTGATTGGCAGAAGCTTTCCAGGGTCTCGGGAGGTAAGAGGTACTTCCCCAACCCCTGCCACCTGAATCTGGGGGAGGGGGACACACGAAAGAGGTACACAGAAGTATGCATGGATAGGGGGAATGCCTCTCTTGTAATACAGTGGTACCTCTGGTTAAGAACTTAATTCGTTCTGGAGGTCTGTTCTTAACCGGAAGCACCACTTTAGCTAATGGGGCGTCCTGCTGCCGCCGCGCCGCTGGAGCACAATTTCTGCTCTCATCCTGAAGCAAAGTTCTTAACCCGAGGTAGTATTTCTGGGTTAGCAGAGTCTGTCACCTGAAGCGTATGTAACCTGAAGTGTCTGTAACCCAAAGTACCACTGTACTAGGGATCAGCCCCGCTGCATTGTGGGAGATTCAGGAATGGCAAAAGAAAGGCTTTCTTTATGCAGTGCATAGTTTAACTGCGGAACCGGCTCCCACAAGAAGTAGTGATGGCCACCCCCTTGGATGGCATTAGGTGGTAGGCTGCTTCAAGGAGGAGAAGGCTATCAATAGTTAGTGGCTATATTGTACCCTCCAGGATCTGAGGCAGCCTGGGAAACACAAGTGAGAAGAGTGCTGTTGAGCTCAGCTCCTTCTTTAGGGCTCCCCATTGGGGCATCTGGTGAGAATAGGATGCTTGATGGGCCTTTGGGCTGACCCAGATGGGCTCCTAGGTTTCTATATTAAGCTAGGCCAGGGTTTCCCAAACTTGGGTCTCTGGCTGCTTTTAGACTACAATTCCCACCATCCCTGACCACTGGTCCTGCTAGCTGAGGATGATGGGAGTTGTAGTCCAGCTGGGGACCCAAGTTTGGGAAATGCTGAGCTAGGCAATGCAGTAGAGGACAGCCTCCTCCATCACCCCAACCAGCCAATGACCTTGTGTCTTTCATAACCTGTCTCCGCACCTAGCTGGTGTTTTGTATCTCTCCAGGATGGCAGCTGCCTTGTCTCCACTGATGCCGCTGATCTGCATGAGTTGCCGTGCAAAGACCTCACTCACTGTTTGGGCCTGGGAGAGGGAGGGGTAAGAGAGTTGATAATAATAGTAATAGTAATAGTAATAGTAGTAGTAGTAGTTGTAGTAGTAACAATAATTTTATTATTTATACCCCGGCCATCTGGCTGGGTTTCCCCAGCCGCTCTGGGCAGCTCCCAACAGAATATTAAAAACACGATAAAACATCAAACATTTAAAACTTCCCTAAACAGGGCTACCTTCAGATGTCTTCTAAAAGTCAGGTGATAGTTTATTTCCTTGACATCTGATGGGAAGCCACTACCGAGAAGGCCCTCTGCCTGGTTCCCTGTAATCTCACTTCTCAGAGGGAACCGCCAGAAGGTCCTTGGAGCTGGACCTCAGTGTCTGGGCTGATCAAGAAAGGCGCCCCTACCTTCAATTTGCTCTACACACACACACACACACACACACACACACACTGGTTAAAAGAAGAAAGAAAGCAAGAGAGAAAAGGGAAGAATAGCAAGCACCCTTTCAGGATTGTTGGCAGCGCAAACAAGAGAGAACTTTGCAAATCAAACCCGCGAGGAGAGAAGATGAGGGGGAGACACGGCAGTGGCCTTTAACCACATGAGGAGTCATAGGATTGCAGAGTTGGAAGGGGGCATGGGGATCATCTAGTCCAACCCCCTGCAGTGCAGGAATCTTTTGCCCTAACGTGGGGCTCGAACCCACAGCCCTGAGATTAAGAGTCTCGTGCTCTGCCGACTGAGCTATCATTGAAGTATGTGGAGTACATTAGAAACTACCTTGTTCTTCACGGCCCCTTCATTAAACTCAGCAAAGGTCAGAAGCCGGCAGGAGCCAGCGCTGGGCTGCAGAGGGCGCTCCTGCTCCAGTTCCTCCTTGGTACAGCTCAGAAGGGTTTTGTCCTAGGGAAGACAAAGGAGGAACAGTCCTTAGCAGCTACAGGGCTCACAACCTCGTTCTCCTCCACTCTCCCCTTTCAGACTCACAGCACCACCTTTTCCTCCTTCTCCCTGCCTCCAGCGCCCTTGTATGGATGGCCAGCTTTTTCATTATAAACTCGCCGAACATTTGTTTCAGTCCTGGAAAACCCAAGTAAGCTCAAGCGAGCAAAGAACTTCTATTTCATTCACGCGACAGCTAAATGGGCTTGCCTGCTGAAGTTGTCGCTGGATTAAAAGGAACAGAGAAATCTCTGTTTTACTGAGTCGCATCAATGGTCCTCTTAGCCCTACGTTGTCTACAAACTTGGGCCTCCAGCTGTTTTTGGACTACAGCTCCCATCATCCTTGACCACTGGTCCTGCTAGCTAGGGATGATGGGAGTTGTAGTCCAAAAACAGCAGGCAACCCAAGTTTGGAAAAGCCTGCCTACACCAACCTTGGACTTTCAACTCCCATCATCCCTGGCTAGCAGGCCCAGTGATCAGGGATGATGGGAGTTGTAGTCCAAAAAATATCTGGGGGCCCAAAGTTTACACCAGCAGCAGTGGATTTTCAGGGTTGAAGGCAGGGTGCTCTCTCGTAGTCCTGCTGTAGGGATTGAACCTGGGACCTTCTCCATGCAAATAATGTCCTCTGTCAATAAACTATGAGGGTTTCAGACAGGGTCTTCCTTTCCCAGCCCTACCCAGAGATGCTGGAGACTGAACCTGGGGACATCTGTGTGCAAAGCTGATGCTCGACCACTGAGCTATGACCCTTCCTTGAAAGAAACCTTAATATGACGAGGTTTCACCAGTTAACTGAATCTCTGTAGAACAGATCAATCATTCTAAAAGGGGTGGTGGTGGACAAACCAGCCTCATCTATGCTTCCTGGTGATGCACAAGTACATGTGGAGGCCGATGCTCCCTCCCAAAAGAGGTAGAACCTACCTGTGTGATTCCAAACGCTTGCATTTTAAAAAATCTGACCATTAACTGAGTGGAGGTTGTTGTTTTTAACTGCCACTCAGAAAGGTATTTAAAAGCAATTAATATAACCTTAGCCGATTTAACATTGCGTTCCGATTATCTGTATACTGGAGGCTAGGCCTAGGCCTGGATAAATAAGATCCAATCACAACAATAAATCAGTAATAGTAAGTGTTCCTGAGCAGATGCAGAGTGCTGCGAACACAGCACTAAGTAACTCCCAACCAGTCTTGGCACATCTTGGGAGAAAAGAAGCAGGGCAAGAGCTTAAGTCAAATCTTTTAAAACCAAAGGATAAAAATACACAGAAGAGGCAGGCAGTTACAGCAGAGAAACAAACTAAATGTGCCACTCTCCTGGGTGAGAAGCCCCCCCCCATTTCACCCCGCTCCAAACTCGCCTCGTACAGTCTGGTCAGCTGACGCGTCATCAGGGTCAAATACGCTGCGGATTCCCTTAGGTCCCGAGTGCGTTTAACAAAGAAGCCATCCACCACCTGGGAAAGACAACGGTTATCTTTTAAAAATAAAATAAAAATAAAAATCAATTTTTATTTGTTTTCACAATCCAGTAAAATAGTATCTATAACAGAGAGAATTGAAAAGACAAGAAAGAAAACAAAAAAGGAAAGAAGGGGGGGGGGGAAGAACAAAGGGGTAAGAAATGTTAGAAAACTTCTGGTTTTCCGTCTGCCAGTTACATTAAAGGTAAAGGTAAAGGAGCCCTGACAGTTAAGTCCAGTCACAGAAGACTCTGGGGTTGCAGCGCTCATCTCGCTTTATTGGCCGAGGGAGCCGGCCTACAGCTTCCGGGTCATGTGGCCAGCATGACTAAGCGAATCAGAGCAGCTCATGGAAATGCCGTTTACCTTCCCGCCGGAGCAGTACCTATTTATCTACTTGCACTTTGACTTGCACTTTCGCACTGCTAGGTTGGCAGGAGCAGGGACCGAGCAACGGGAGCTCACCCCGTCACGGGGATTCGAACTGCTGACCTTCTGATCGGCAAGCCCTAGGCTCAGTGGTTTAGATCACAGCGCCACCCACGTCCTGGCCAGTAACATTAGAAAAGGGTTATTTGAGACATTTGGTCCATCCCCTCTGCTTTCTGTTACACCATATTGGAAAGACGACGGTTATCACGGCTGCTGGAAGCTGCCAGTCCCCTTCCCAGGTGCAGGCAGCTAAAGCCTTCCCTAACCCCCCAAATATGCAACCCTGAAGCGGTTGCCATGGCAGGGGACAAGTTAGGGATGGAGGCAGGATCCAGGGTGGCTGAGTGCTGGCAGAGCCTGGGGGAAGCATGCACAGCGGCAGCCCTACCTGGGCTTGAGGTAACACAGCCAGGTAGACTGAAGTACCGACTCTCCTGGGGAGCCCCTACCTGGGTGTTGGTCATCGCTTGCTGGAGAGTCTTTTCGGGCAAGCTGAGGTGTTGTGCGGAGCCCGATTCTTCCACCAGGTAGATGGGGTGAGAAATGCCACATTGCCGCAGACGGAACTAGGAAGAAGTGAGCAGTTAGTTATGAGCTGGGGGTGCTGCAGGTGTGGGAGTGGAGAAGCCTTCAGAGCTCTCCAAGTGCATGTTCTCTCTCTCACACACAAAACGACTGCTTTCCAGGGCTCTCGACACATGCTCAGAGGAACTCTCATCTAGTGCAATCACTTTCTGAAATGTTGCAGAGTGGCAGAGAGGGAGGGAAGGGAAGCAGGGCATCTCCCTCTTGCTCTGCTGAGCAACCAGCTCCCTTGGGCTCTCCTCCTCCCTAAGTGCCACTGAGCAATGGCTGTTCCATCAGGCTGTGGAGCAGAGAAGGCAAGCAGGACTATTCCTTCAGCTGTGATGGGACAGCTACTGCCTGTGGCTCTCATCGCGGTCACTGAGCCACGACCATTGCATCAGACTGCCTGATCCCAGTCCCTTCCCTTCACGGGGCTCCAGGCGACTACTCTCCCCACCCAGACACAGCGCAGCACCTTCTGCTCACGAAAGCGGCCGTCAATGATGCTGCTGCACAGGTCCGGCATCCGTTTCCGTTCTACCACGTAGTCCAGCACCAGCTCCCGAGTGGCAGGTGGCTGTGGCTGTCCTGGAAAACGAAAGAAGGGGGAGGAGGGCGACTGTTTAAAAGAACGTCAATTTAGTCTCAACCTGGTGAACCAAGGGAGAGATACAACCAGAGCCCCCTCCCACAGCGCCAATCAGCCAGCAACGCCAGCCACCAGAGGAATACAGGGCTCTCCAGGACTTCAGGCTCCCTACTTGAAGAATGGTGCAAAGTAAATGTGGGACCCCCTGCAAGCAAGGAAGATCCTCTGCCCCCGAGCCACAGCCTTTTCCCGAAGCATTGGCTGAGTTACTCAAGCTCATCTTGCTGGGGGGGGGGCGGGTTTGGATGATGAGATGACCCTCAGGTTCTGCGATTCAACAAAAGGCAACTTTCTAGACTTTAAAGCTTTTTCAAAATGGGTAATGCCCAGAGGCTCCAGCTTGGGCCCAAGACTGAGGGAGCCCCAGTGTCACATGACGTGTCTTGTGACGTCACATGCATGACATGCATCATGCGCACGTCGCCGAGAGGGGGCCAAGGGCATGGCCCAGTGCCCCTCGGCACCAATGGCTGCAGCTCCTCCACTCTCATGCTCAGGAGGAGCCTGTCACTGATGCTGCACCGTGTTTGGCCAAGGAATTGGCGCCTATGCTAATGCCCATCTTAGCCTCTGGCAGTAGAAGGAAAGGGTAGGTAGGTGGAACTGTAATGATCAGAGGACTGTCACCCCCTTCCCTGCCTCTGTCCTTTCACCACCTGCCCCTTAGCTCCTGAGAGGAGGTGTGGAACTGCAGAGGGAGCGCTGAGAGGCCTACATAGTCGCATGGATGGAGTTGGAAGGGGACCAGAGCAATTCCTCCCCTTCCCGCATCCTTGGTGCAGTTTTAGGTAATTGAAAAGGTGTTCAAGGTACCAGACCCTGTTTTCCTAAAGAAGTCATCACAGGGAAGCAAGGGCACCAGGGCACGAACCTCCCTGGGTGACTCTGGGAGAGTCACTGCCTCTCAGGCTAACCTACCTCACAGGGTTATATGCGGAGGGGAGAGAACCATGTACGTCAGCTTGAGCTTCTTGGAGGAAAAAGGGGGCACATAAATGTAAAAAAATAGATAAACTGACGCGGGCTATCAGTGAAGTGGCAGGTTCAGAGGGAAGGCAAAATCCTGACACGCTTTTCCAATGGACCCTCCTATCGCATGGCCCAAACCACCCACCACACTCACCTGCTGCAGGTAAGACTCTCTCCCTGGCCACCCAGAGGAAGTCCCCGATGTGAAGCTTCCGGATGCTGAAGGGAACATTGTGGCGCTGGAGCTCACTCACCAAATCTTGCTTCCGGGACGTGGGGCCACTAAAGGGGAAATAGGGGGGAGGGAGAGCAGCTCTTTAGAGCACATTTACACTGCCAACAACAACAGCAACAAATCAGAGAAGTGGCTATCCTGAGATGATAATCCTGGTTTCAACTGAACTCTTCCCTTTAAAAAAAATTACAGCTACATTTTATTGTTTTTATCACAAAGGCACTACAAAATTGACGGACGTAACACAAGCTTATCTCGTCCTAATGATAAACGTAATTTGTTATCCGAAATATGATTTTATGATCTACATAGGCAAGGAGACAGCTTCTACCGTCTTCGTCTGCTCTGTCAAACGCTGGTTATTTGCTGGTTATTAAGATCCACTTTTGCAGCACCAGAAACCCCCTGATCGGCACCTATATCTTGCATGGTTTCTAGAAGCTTCCTGACAGGCCCATCGAGCCAGATCTGTATTTCCCAACACCCCCATGGGCCAACTTTGACAGGTGGGCAGGACCACACACCTGCCAATTATCAGGTGACACTAGATGATGGATAGGTGGGTGGTCCTACCCACCTGTCTAAGTTGACCTGGGGAGGTGGAGTGGGGGCAAGAGTAGCCAAAGAAGCAGCACCAAGCAGGACTGATCTCTCACTCACCAGCTGATGAGCAAAGAGTTCAGCCCTGGTTCCTGCAGGGGACTGAGCAGGATTTAACCCGCTGACCATCAGCTGACGGGGAGGAGATTTTGCTGCTTTGGCTGTGGGTGGCAGTTACCAGAAAGGGAACCAAAGCATGTAAGCCCATGCAGAATTGAACCCCACCCATTAGCTGTCACCACCTGCCCACCACAGTGACGGCTGATTGACAGATTGGCGTGGTTTGGGGAAATTAGCCTCACAGGCCAGATTGGACCATTTTTGCCAGTGGGCTGGGGGATGCCCACCCCTGCTGCTAGGCAGTCAAAGCATACTCCTGTCACGCAAACTCTTGGCTGGTTCCTCTGCTGCTCTGTTTTTTACATGTCCAAACTGGAACCAAATTGGGAAAGGGGCATTTATTCTGGGTAAATGAATCCAGACATATGTGTTCTTGAGAGTGCCCCATCCCCTACATGTCAGAAACAGAGTCCCCACATCCGTGTGTGTGTGTGTGTGTGTGTGTGTGTGTGTGCTTCACTCCTGCAGCTGCCACTCACCCTGTGGTCTCAATGAAATCCACACAGAGGATAACATCAAAGTTTCCGGGGTGAAAAGAAAACTGGGGTTTTAAGAGCCCTGCCCTTGGCTCTCTGCAGCTTGACCTGGAAAACCAGCAAATTTATTTCGTTATTACATTTTAACGTGTGTTATCTATCATCTATCTATCTTTCTTTCTTTCTTTCTATCTATCTATCTATCTATCTATCTATCTTTCAACGTATTAATTGCTTCCTACATAAAAATTCTCTTAGCAACTTACAGAACTTTATTTGTAGAGTTTATTTGCTGCCCTTCAGCTGAAAAGGCCCCCAAGGCAGCTCCCAAAGGTTCAAAAAGAGCTTTTTAAAAGATAACAAGTATAACAACAATAAAATACGCCAATACATTACAATTAAAAATGTAACAAAAACCCATATAACAAATCCAGCAAAACAACAGCAAAAAAACCCTTTGACAGCAAAATCAACAAGTCATCCTAACGTGGGTTCACAAAATTAAAACAACAAAGCATTAAAAGTGCAATATTTAGCAGCTTACATTTTGTTCCTTCTAGCAGATGATGATACCATAAAATACAAATTATATAACCCAGCAAGATCCTATCTGGCGGAGTGAGCTGTGCGCTGCTCCAGCAGGGAGTGGATTCCATGGTCCTGATAACAGAGACAGATCTCTGCCTTTCCCTTCCTTCCTTCCTTGTTCCTTGGATGTGCTGCCGGCAAAGTGTGCCGGAGGACAGGGCTGGCATACCACCTGAAATTTTGGGGGTATGGGGCGGTGGTGCTGATTGGGAATCAAGAGGCAGCTCATGGGCAGAATTTGAAACAAAAGCAAACATGCTTGGCCAGGACAGAGCGCAGCCTGCACACTAAGCCTCACCTGGGGCAGCTTCACTGCCTCTGCTACTCCCCTCCCCGAGAGCAGAAAAGTAGCTGCTCAGGAAGGAGGCTACTTACCTGGGCGAGGCATCCCTGTCCGAAGATTGCTCGCTTTCATCATCTCCCTCCAAAAGCAGCAAGGGGTCTCCAGCATCAGCTGCCTCAGCTGCCAGCGAGTCGGAGTCCTTCTCCTTTGGCTCATTCAAAGCTGCCAGTTCCCGGGCTAAGGTGAGCCCTGCGTCTGTCAGAGAATATCTGCCGGAGCAGAGGAGGGTGAGTCAAAATGGCCTCCACCCGGCCTCCCCAGCCTCTTTCCCATCTGGTTGATGTTTCCAGAGTTAAAAGGCTGCTGCGCTTCAGCTTTCACTAGGCAGGTTCCCAATCCTAGGCAGGTTCATGCTAAAGATGGTCCCACCCGCTCTATACTTGACAGATCATTGGGCTGCGCAGGAGAAGGCCTCCTGCAGGTCCCCTCTGATGAGGAGGTTTGTTCCCCACAATGCAGGAATCAGGCCTTGAGTGTGGCAGCACCTCCTGCCTGGAACCCCTTCCCAATGCATATCAGACAGGTGATGTCTCTGTTATCCTTTTGGTCAGAGACAACGGCTGACACCACAGAACAAAGCAGGGCTTTCCACTGATGGGGCATGTAGGCAGCAGGGTCCCTGCCCATTTCTCTCTCTGTGTGTGTTTTTGTGTGAAAGATGCCATCCCTTCTGGAACCCAAAGATCCTCCGCTTTCGTCTTTCTCTTCTCTTAAAACTTTTGAGCACTTCATACAGTTGGATCGGAGCCTGTAAGCCAGGCATAGGCAAACTCAGCCCTTCAGATGTTTTGGGACTACAACTCCCATCATCCCTAGATAACAGGACCAGTGGTCAGGGATGATGGGAATTGTAGTCTCAAAACATCTGGAGGGCTGAGTTTGCCTATGCCTGCTGTAAGCAAATGTGTGGCTCATGCTAAAAGCTTGCACATCTCACTCCAATGCAAGCTATGTGCTATCTATGGATTCTCCCTTACCTCCCAGGTAGCTGGTGCAACATCCTTACCTGGCTGGGATATTGGTCTTGAGGACCAACTCCTTGCGAAGCAGAGTGCTGATTGCAGACCAGGCAGTGTTCTTACTCCCAGGATCAGCCTGTTGGGGGAAGCAGAAGCAGCAACAACAATATACATAATCTCAGGAGAGAAAGGAAGGCTGGGGAAGGCCACCTCAGGGCCTGCTGCAGCAGAACTTTCCCCTTCTTCCCACCAACCCACAAAGTTGGAGGGATCCTGATGCCTTTGAAGTGTTTTGCTGATTTTTTTTTTTAATGTATTCTAACATTTCTTGCAAACTGGTACCCGCATTATTGCGAGTGCAGGGTCATAAGGCAGACTAAGATATTCCGTAACCAGATTATCACTCCAATAGGGCTCCTCCAAACAGCCTGTTTATTGCGCATTCATTCCGATTTCCTTGTGTAAAACTGACATGGTGTTAAACTAGGTTCGGTCATAAGTGAGAACTCATTCCTACCTCTTTGCGGAGAGGTTAAATGGCAATGGTCATTCGTCCTACCATATTTTTCGCTGTATAAGACGCACTTTTCCCCTCCTAAAAAGTAAGGGGAAATGTGTGTGCATCTTATGGAGCGAATGCAGGCTGCGCAGCTATCCCTGAAGCCAGGAGAGTGAGAGGGATCGGTGTGCACTGATCCCTCTTGCTCTCCTGGCTTCAGCGATAGCCTCCCGAAGCCTCCTGAGCAGAGTGGGAGTGCTCCCGCTCTGCTAAGGAAGCTTTGCGTTGCTTTTGCTGAAGTCAGGAGAGCAAGAGGGATCGATCCCTCTTGCTTTTCTGGCTTCGCTGGAAAGCCGCTGCGCAGCTTTCCCTCTCTGCGCAGCGCCCCTTCAGCAAACCGGGAGGAGAAATGGAAGGGGCTCCCTTCTCCTACCGCTTTGCTGAAGGGGCACTGCTCAGAGAGGGAAAGCTGCGCAGTGCCCCTTCAGAGAAGCGGCAGGAGAAACGGAGCCCCTTCCATTTCTCCTCCCGGTTTGCTGGAGAGGTGCTGAGAAGAGGGAGAGAACATTTTTTTTCTTGTTCTCCTCCTCTAGAACTAGGTGCGTCTTATGGTCGGGTGCGTCTTATGGAGCGAAAAATACGGTCATTTGCTTGCAGGGTTTTATACGTCTTCCCATTAACCGTTCATCCCTCCCCCATTTTTCCATGCATTTCCTCATCACTTTTCCAACCACAAAAGGTCAGCTTTTGAATCTTAAAAGAGTGGATTGTTGTACGAGGGTGACAAAGGGTTCTAATGCATTTCAATTGCACAAACATAAACTTCTGGGACATGCTAGAATCCCTCCTGCAAAACAGTTAAGAGTCTGGAGGTATCCAAAGATTTTCTTAATTCATCAATCAATCTATATAAGTTTCTTGTTCTAGCCAAAGTGACAACAGTACCAATAAAATAATACAGATCATACAGGAACTCACAAGAAAAAAAGATTTCTCACACAGCGGCTGAGCTGCTCTCTGTAATTCCGGCTTTGTCAGGAAACCCCGGGAGTGAGGATTCTGGAAGAAGGGTCAAAAAGGCAGGATAGATTTTACATTTCCTCCCAGGATTCCCACCTCTTAACACTGCCCCACCTTTGCTGACTTCTTAAAGAGGATTCCAAAACAAAAGCCACTCCCACAATCCTCCAATGTTCAGGTCTTCATCATGCACCTGGGGTTTCCCCACAAGCCTTCTGGGAAAGGTGGGCTCTAGGTTCTCCCCCTCCCCAAATGTTATGTTTTTGAGCTTACTGTATTCTGCATCAGCTGTTATCTTACCACACTGTCCTGGTACAGAGCCACCAAAATGGCAAAGGCTCCAGAACGGGGATCTGGGAAGTACTTCCGGCCACGCTGGCGTGATACTGGTTGCGTCTTCTGAAAGGAAAAAGGAAAACCAGGTGTGTCTTCTTCAGGGACTCCACCAGTCTGAAGGACATATGAACACAAGGAAAAGCCCTGCTAGGTCAGGCCAGAAGGGGCCCATCTAGCCCAGCATCCTGTTCTCAGTAGTCATTCAGGTGCCTCAATAGGAAGGCAGCAAGCAGGACCTGAGCGCAACAGCTTAGTTGAAAGAGCCGACGCTGAGTGGGAGGGACTTTCCTAAGGCGGGGGGGGGGGGGACGACTCTAGGCTTGGAGGCCAAATGTGACACTCCAGGTCTGTCTCTCTGGCCCTCAGGGCTCTCCCCAGGCCACACCCCTCCCCAGCCCAGCTGAAAGCTTTGAGGTTTTTCCCCCTGGCCAGAACGTGGCCTTGAACTCTGATAATGTTTCTTGCTTGCCTAGATAAAAGATAGGGAGGTGGGGGGGTATAAAAACTAGCCTTCTGTACAAAAGTAAAAATTATTTGTTGCTCCGTCTACTTTCGCCTCTGGCCCCACCCACCACCAACTTGTGCCCCCTGCCAGGTGGACCAGAAAGGAACCCAGCTCTCCATTGAAAAAGGTTCCCCATCACTAGCCCAAAGTGACTTGGTAAGCATGTGACAGAAGCAAGAGTTAAACCAGGGACTTCCTGATTCATAGCTAGTTCTCAATGCCCTTCTATGGGATAAAAGTGGAAAATCGGGGTGGGAGGTGGGGGAACTGACCCAATACTGTTCCATGTTTTCATGAGCAAACCAGGCCGGCTACCTTCCCTGACTGCTACCCTGCCAGCCACAATGCCTCTTTTCAAAATTTGATGAAAGGTCTTTTATGTTGCAAGGCCTTTGACCATTCGGGGAGGAGCAGAGCGTGCGCTTTGTAGGAGAGCATTTTGACGGGCGGGCTAAGAAGCAAAATGGATAAATGTGCTTTCGGCACCTTCCACTGGGAAAGCTGCCTGCCCCAGGACCCATGGAAATATGAAAGGCAGCTGTGCGTGGGCACTACATGATCTTCAGCCATACCTCTCAGAGGTGCGGCATAGCAATGTGGCAATCAAACTTTTTTTGCAGGGGGCAGGACAGCAAAGAACCAGAAGGCAGTAGCTTTTAAAGCTTGCACCATGTGGTTTAAATTGCACAACGCAAGCTGTCCAGTTACACAGGACTCCATTTCAGGCCAGTGTTCAAGCAAATGATGAATAGATGAATTTTTACTTCTTCTGGTTGACAGCAAGAATGGGTATTAATCCATCCACGAAGCTGTAGCCCAAGAGGGAGTGAGAAACTCAGGCTTGGAAGCCAAATGTGTTCCTCTGAGCCTCTCCCTAAGCGACACCCTATTTATCTATCTATTTAGAAAATTTATATACTGTACTGCTGAATTATGACAGCATCTAAGGGGTGTGCAAGATACTCACCAATACAGTAAGTAAATCAGAATTCAGTCAAAATCCCAGCTGAAATGTCTTCAGTACGTGCTGGACATTCAGCAGAGAGGGGGCCTGCCTGATCTCAAATGGGAGGGAGGTCCTCAAAATCTGAGTCACAATGCTGAATGTACAGCTCCTGGTGGATTTGAGGTGGGCATCCAAGCCATGCGGGGGGTGGGGGAGCACTAACACTGACTCTACTGAAGACACCAATGATGAGGAAGGGATCAGGCGGTCCTTAAGGTATCCTGGACCCCCTTGTAAATTAAAACCAGAACCATGGGTGCTTTAGTTTGGCTGGAATGTGTCTTTAAACTGTAATAATGTCTCTTACTTGCCTGGTGGAGGATGGAGAAGAGTGTGGGTGTATTTATAGTATATAGAAACCACTAACTTTTGCATGGCTGAAATGCAGCCTGCTGTACAAAGGTTAGGAGTGATGCCCATTTGTCCTCCCGCTTTTGACTCTAGCCCCACCCACTTGTGCCTCTGGCTGCACCTACCACTGCTGGTTGCCAAGGAGAGAAGGCTTGAAAAGGTTCCCCAACCCTTGTTCTAGTCTATGACCTGCACCATCATTCAATGAATGTTTGGCAGCCCATTGTGATGATAATGCACATGTTGCATTCTCACCTTTAAGTGCTTGGCACAGGCATGGATGAGCAGACTTGGGTAATCTGCCAGCGCAGCAGTGGCTGGGACGATTCGTGGGAAAAGCTCACAGCATTGTCACCCTACCCCAAATCCACTCAGCCCCACTCCAAGAGACGGGAAGAGGAAGAGAGGGGAAGTGGGCTGCCTCTTGAATTTAGGAGGAACTCGCCCAGGCAGAGAGAGTTGAGACATAGCCATACTAATAGTTCAATTGCTTGTAAGGGCAAGATATTTACACGGACCTTTAAGCACTGTCCTTTGTTTTGCTCTGGCTCTGTGGCACAGAGGGCAGGCTGGAGCGCTCTGCTGCCAAGCAGCTCACCATCCGCTTGATCCTTCTGAGAAGAAGCTGTGGCTTGCAGACCTGGAATTCACAGTATAAACTCTGTTTAATAGATGTTTAGTGGAGACTAATGAAATTCCACAGCTGAGACCAATGAAGGAGATTTGCTCATATGTGCACTTCTCTCTTCCCCCTGCCTCCCCCCCACAGGGAGAGACAGAGAAAGAGAGAGGGGGCAAAAGAGCAAGCAGCCGTGAATGCATTAAAAGACTAAGCTTTCCAAATGCCAACGTCCTGCTTAGCTTTGGTTCGTTTAATGATATGTTACCAGTTTTCAAGTTTACATTTCACCATAGCCATAAGGACTAGAAACCTGTGCAGCTTTAGTGCAGCTTTAGTTTAATGAACACCCCCAAGGCCCAACCTAGATGATGCCAATTCCCATGCTGCCCTGTTCATATCAGCCCTAAACAGCCTTAGACTGCAATCCAATATGCAGCTACCTGGGAGTTAAGTGTGGGGCTGGCTTCTGCATAGACATGCACGGGATTGCACTGTGAGGCCTGCCTGCATCCATTGGAATTTCCCCTCATCACCTGACACCCTCCTTTTTATTCCATCCCTCTGATGTGCAGGAGTTGGCTACCCAAAGCACAACATTCACTCTGCCAGCATGTAAATGTGGAACTTCCTTCCAGGGGATACTCACCAGGCTCCTCCTTGAATATGACTTAAGTGGCAAGAGAAGACTCTACTTGTTTCAGAGGGGAGAGCCAAAACACAGTGGAAGGGTACTTTCTTTGCATACAGAAAATCTCAGAGTCAATCCCTGGCATCTTCAGGTAGGACTGTATGAAACTCTGGAGAGCTTTTGCAAACCACTGTGGGCAAGCAATACTGTGCTACATGGACAGATAGTCTGACTCAGTATAAACCAGCCTCCTATGTTTCTATTTAAACCAGCCCTTTATTCAGTACCATGAGGACTGGAATCTTACTTTCTATTTAAGGAACAGACTCGAGCACACATTGGACCTTCACACGGCTGCCTCACCACTCACCTGTCAATACTGTGCCATTCTGGGCTTGGCAGTGTCTCTCCAGCTGCTCGTCTAGCTGGCGGCAGATGTGCTCACCAAAGTACTGGAGGATCCGAGCCTCGCGCCCGCTTCGCAAAGGGAGTGGGTATTTGCGGAGAGAGCTCAGCGCCTGAACACAAGGAAGAGGATTTATTGTTTTGATAGTAAGGAGAGGTGCACATGGTTTCCCCTGTCTCTTCACTTTGACGAACAAGGAGAGCAGTTCAGGCTGGGGCCACAACCACTCTGTGAAATTTGAACTAACCCATACATATTCTCTTTGGTCAGTTCATAGTTGCTGATACTTAGGGCTGGATCCAGACTTCAATTTCAACCCGATACTCACTTTATTTGGGAGTAAGATTTCAGTGGGGCTTATTTCTCAGTATACAGTATATGTACAGGATTGCTTTGTAAGTGATACTTAGAAGATACATATTGAAATTAGTAACTAACATGGGTGGACTCCAAGTCAAGATCTTACCCATCATTTATGCATGTTTATCGATCCTGCTTGTTCAGCCAAAAACAGAGCTCCCATAGCAGCTTTATTCATAGGTCCCTACCCGAAGGCTTATAATTTTAAGGCATAGCACTAGAGGAAAATGTATTGGGAGAGAGGAGGAAACAAACAATTTCAGATGCAAGTTATCCTAATGACCAGCTGGGGAGAAAAGTCCAAGAAGTTTAATATTATGTGTTAGCATTATATTACTACATTATAAATTGGGTACTGAGGGGAATCCAACGAGCGCGAAGGGGGATATGGGCGGAGCAAAACACCCGGAGGGCGTGGCCTGCCACTAGAGGGCGTGGCTTACCCGTTCATAGGCGCGTTGGCTCCTGAGGCGCCCGCGCTCGGCGGCCTGGTCGCGCCACTCCTGGAGCCAGCGCGTAAATAAGGGGTTCGGGCCCCCCTGAGTGGGCTTCGGCATCTTCCGAAGGCGCCGGAAAGTTTCTCTTTTCTCTTTGACCCGGAACTCGACGGAGATGAAGCGGGGAAGGCAGAGCGGCCTGCCAGGCAGCGACTGCGCACGCGCGCTTCGCCCCCTAGAGGCCGACGGGCGGAACCGTAGACGCATGAAAAGGGAAGAGCGGCCGCTTCCGCGTTCCCGCTCTCAACCAGCCTTCTCTCCGGAGGCGAAAGTGAGAGAGGCGCCTGGGCAGGTCAAAAATGACAGCCGCTTTGCCCGCGAGTCGGTGGGGCAGGATGAGTCTCCCGTAGGCAACTGAGCGCTGGATTTGGCTCTGGGGAAGGTAAAAAGAAATACGACTCGCCTTTGCTCACAAAAGCCAACCAGACCCACCTGAGCCTCCCACCAGTAAGCATGGCGGACCTGTGAAGCCCCTCCTGCAATAGGGCATAGCTGTCAACTTTTCCCTTTTCTTGCGAGGAATCCTATTCGGAATAAGGGAATTTCCCTTTAAAAAAGGGAAACGTTGACAGCTATGCAGTAGGGGTGTCATAGCGGGCAACACTGCAGGGTTGTTGCAAGCTACTGTACTGTTTCAGTCTCAGCCCTACCTGCATTGGGGCCAATTACTACTGGAGTGCATTTTGAAGGGCCCTTGCAAACTACTCTCTCGGCTTCAGGCAAGCCTCCATTCTGCAGTACTCAGAAGACACTGCACCGCAAGGCTGTCGCAAGGCACTCCCAACTACAATCTCCAACCTGCACCATGGAAATAATGAGATGCACGTGCGTTTGTATTAGCTGGGCTACTTTATGAATATGTTGAAAAACTTCTTTTTTTTAAGGAAAGAGGTAGAGCAGAAGCGCCCCTCTTTGCTGCGATCTGTTTTGGGGTGTGTGGACGCACTAAGAGTTGTATCCAGTATTAGCCCTACTTGGAGTAGATGCTCTGATAATAATGAACGTGATCTCACTTCGGCCAATTTGTTACAATGGATCTACTCTGAACAGAGATTAGTTGGCAGCAACTCTAAACGCCCAGTCACAATTATGTGGATATATTAGACCAGGCTTCCTCAAACTGGGCCCTCCAGATATTTTTGGCCTAAAACTCCCATGATCCCTCGCTAGCAGGACCAGTGGTCAGGGATGATGGGAATTGTAGTCTCAAAACATCCGGAGGGCCGAGTTTGAGGAAGACGGTATTAGGCTTTCCCATGGATTACTATGAGCTGCTGCTTCTCCCCTCTTTGGACCTGGGATACATTTAAACTGCTCAATCCCTTTCTAACAGGAGATGCTACATGCCTTCTGCATGCAGTGCTGATGCTTTGTCACCGAGTTACAGTCCCTCCCATGAAAGGGAAGAAGCTGCAAATTATTTGTCCGTCTAGGCCAGTGGCATCTGCTTTGACTGGCAGCCGCTCTCCAGGGTTTCCACCAGAGAAGGATCTTTTCTTTCCCATCACCTGCTACTTTGATTCTTATAGCTGAAGCTGCCAATTATTACTCTGCTCCTAAGTGCCTTTTCATGTTTACATAACACAGATTAAGATTGCTGCCTTATTAAGAGAACCTTAATATGCACTGCTCCGCTTTGCAAATTTAAAAAGACATCTGTGAACCAGGAAGGGCCATTTCTCAGTGGTTTGACCACAATTTTTGCATTCAGGAGATCCCAGAGGCTCAATTCCCAGCATCTCCAGGTAGGGCTGGCAGAGAGTCCTGCCTGGAGAGCTGCTGCCAGTCAATATAGTTAGATGGACCAGTGGGTCTGATTCTGTATAAGGCAGCTTCCTATGTTTCAGAATAGATTCTCTCTATATAATCTCCAAGGTGATTGTCATGGCCTCTGGCTAGCACAATAAATTTATTGAAGGAGTGGACCTCCAAGGTGGCACATGGTTCATGAGACGGGGTTGGGGAGAGTAGATGGAGTAAGACTGAAATCATCCTTCCGCTCCTGCTGTCAGGTGTGTAGTCATCCTGTGTTCTTTGAAGATTGCTCATCAACAGGCAGGCAGAGGCACTGTATGTGCTAAAGGTGTGGTTACACCTAATTCAATAAGAGGCAAGCCGCGTGAGCAACAGAGAGGTGCTGTGAAGTCAGCTGCCTGCAATTTGTCATAGCTCTAACACACCCTGCATGTCTGCTTGCAGCTTCTGAAAGGTCTTCTGCATTTGGATGTTTTGTATAAGATTTTTTTTTTGGTGGTACTTGGTTCTTTCACTTACATGCACATTTATTGAATTAAATTAGAATGTGGAATCATGATTTATAATTTGGTACAGTATTGGGTTTTGAATGCGGAAATTGCATTGTGTTTCTTACACAGTGGGACCTCGGTTTTCGAATGTTTCTATTGACGAATGTTTCGGTTTACGAACGCTGTAAACCTGGAAGTAAATGCTTCAGTTTTCGAACACACCTCGGAAGTCGAACATGCCACGCAGCTTCTGCTGAGTGCAAGATCCTGAGGCCTAGCTGTTGGCACCCGTGAACCACAGAGGTGATATTTGGGCTTATTTGGTGACTGTATGCAATCAATCTGTGCTCATCTCATCTCAGGAGCTCTCTTGCAACCAGTTTGTTTTTGTGACTGTGGAACCCAGTGCATAAATCTGTATTCATCTCATCTCATCTCAGGAACCCTCTGCCAATCACCCCGTGCTGTGAGAAATGGATAAAAGCTGCAAAGCCAAGAGAATCCTTAACAGAATAACAATAGAGGTGAAGAAGGAAATTATTTCCAAACATGAAAGTGGTATCCGTGTAAGTGATCTGGCAAAGCAGTTTGGTATTGCCAAATCTACAGTTTCTAGCATCTTAAAAAATAAAGAAGCCATTAAAGGAGCCAATGTTGCAAGAGGTGTTAAAACACTTACAAGACAAAGAACACAGACAATTGAAGAAGTGGAAAAATTGCTTTTCATATGGATAAATGAAAAACAGTTGGCGGGTGACCGCATTTCTGAGAGCATGATTTGTAAAAAAGCTTTACATTTGCATGCTGACCTCATCAAAAGCACCCCTGGAACAAGTGCTGAGAGTGATATTTTCAAGGCAAGCAGAGGGTGGTTTGATAATTTTAAGAGGAGAAGTGGCATCCACAGTGTGGTGAGACTTGGTGAAGCTGCCAGTGCCATCAAAGAAGAGGCCAACCGATTTGTTTTGGCATTTAAAGATTATGTAGAGGCAGATGGTTTCCTTCCCCAACAAGTTTTCAACTGTGATGAGACAGGCCTCTTTTGGAAGAAAATGCCAAAGAATACCTACATAACAAAGGAGGAGAAATCATTGCCAGGACACAAGCCCATGAAAGACAGGCTAACCCTTTTATTATGTGGGAATGCAAGTGGAGATTTTAAGGTGAAGCCTTTGCTAGTCTACCATTCTGAGAACCCCTGGGTATTTAAGAAAAACAATGTCATAAAAAGCAAATTGCCTGTGATGTGGAGGGCAAACAGCAAAGCTTGGGTAACCAGGCAATTTTTTATTGAGTGGGTTCATGAAGTGTTTGGGCCAAGTGTAAAAGAATACCTCCAGTACAAAAATCTTCCAATGAAGTGCCTGCTTGTTATGGATAATGCTCCAGCTCACCCTCCAGGGTTGGAGGAAGAGTTGGTGGAAGAGTTCAGTTTTATCAATGTAATGTTTTTGCCACCCAACACAACTTCTCTCATCCAGCCCATGGACCAGCAGGTCATACCTAATTTTAAGAAGCTTTACACCAGAGCACTGTTCCAAAGGTGCTTTGAGGTTACCTCAGACACAGAGCTAACCCTCAGAGAGTTCTGGAAGAATAATTTCAATATCCTACATTGCTTACATCTTATAGACAAAGCATGGAGGGATGTGTCTCACAGAACAATGAAGTCAGCATGGAAGACATTGTGGCCAGAAGCTGTCCCTGAATGTGTATTTGAGGATGTTGAAGAGGATGCTCCTATTGTTGAGGAGATTGTGTCTCTGGGAAAGTCCATGGGCTTGGAAGTGAGTAGTGATGATGTTGAGGAGTTAGTGGAGGACCACAAGACGGAACTCACCACAGAAGAACTTCAGAACATTCTGAAGGAGCAGCAACAGGCGGCAACTGAGGAATTGTCTTCGGAGGAGGAGGAGGAGGAGGAGGAGGAGGAGGAGAGAAGAGACAGTGTTCCTACTGCACTGATCAAAGAAATGTGTGCAAAATGGGTTGAAGTGCAAAGTTTTGTTGAAAAATATCACCCTGATAAAGCTGCTGTAAGTCGTGCCACTAACACTTTCAATGATAATGCTATGTCTCACTTTAGACAAATTTTAAAACACCGGAAAAATCCTTTTTGTTCAGATTTGTAAACTGCTAAGGGGGTTTATGTTGAAATATGAAGTGGTACATAAATTAAGTAACTCCTCCTTGTGAAACTTGAAAGCCTCATTATCACCTCACTTGCCAAAACAAGGAGCATCTGCCAGTCACCCTGGTGCTCCAGCAGATGACACCATTGCTCCAGCTCTGAAAGAAGTCCCAGAGCTGGGTTCCCCGTGGTCCACCTCTATTATGCACCACCAGTGGGGGACAGGGTGCTGACCTTCTGTTTCACTGCCTGCTTCAGTGACTGGTGAGTTCTGAGTAGGGATCAAACATGGGGGGGGGACCCAAGCTAGAGCTGTGTTTAGTAAAAGGGAAAAAAAGACTGACGGGGGGATTATTGCAATGGTTTCATTTTTATTTATAATTGTAACCTGTCCTGGGACATTATGGCAAAGGGCATGTAAAAAATTAAATAAATAAAAGAGAGGCAAGGTTTTTGACGCAGCATGGCATTTGGTTAGGTTCATATGTCACCAGGGAGTAGGGATGAATTGTAGAAACAAGAGTCCACGAAAAGCCCAAGCCCTTGAAACTGATTGCAAAGTCAGATTGCAAACTTTAATCCAAGCCCTTCTTCAAGGCTGCCTTTAACAGCCTCACATCATAGTGTTTCCCCACAATAGCCAACCAGGTGACTCTGAGGCAATTAGGCAATAACCCACTCTCCCCCTTCATGATCCCTAGCAACCAGTACTTTAGGTTTACTGCCTCTGGACCCAGAAGCTTTATTTTGCAGCTAAATTTTAGCTACTCCTTACCTCCTGCTGCAAAGCCACGCAGCCCAGCACAGAAGGCTGATTTCCAAGACCGTAAGGTCAAGCCATCTTCTCACCAGCTGCTTTGCAGTCTAATCTGCTATTGCCAGGAATTTTGCCGCCACTATATGAACTCCAGGAATTTGTCAGCTTGTAAATTTATCCGGTGTGTAGACAAGCGGATGGATGGATGGAGATCCTTGCAGATTAGCCAGGCAAAATGGTAAAAGGGTGGAGGGGGCCAAAATGGGGAGTTTACAGGGGAGGAAAAACCTTAGTGCCCAATCCATCTAGACATCACTGCACGGAAAGACCTTCAGAGCCATTGGAATTAGGGTAGCCATGTACCCTATTTTAGAGGACAGTCCCTCAATTTAATGTTTGTAGGGCTGTCTGATCGAAGTCTGGTTAAAAAGAGAATCATCAGAAGTGCGGGGGGGCATGAAGTTGCCCATCAGAGCAGGCGCACAGAGATTGCTCCCCCCCCCCAATCTCAACTTGTTCCCCACTATGCTGAAACATGGGCATAGCTAGGCTTTTGTTGGGGGGCAGGCTTTTGTTAGGGGGGCAGAACCTCAAGTACTTTTATTGGTTTAGGGGAGGCAGCTGCCCCCCCTTGGCTACGCCCATGTGGTGAAACACTTGGGTTTACTATTATTACTCCTGCATTTTCACAGATAAGTAACAAGAACAAAACAACGTTAAATGGTAACATTCCAAGTCTTCTGTCATTACAGGTGTACAAATTGAGAGAGGAGAGGTTCATTTTTTATATAAAAAACTAATTGTCATACTTTAGTCCTTAACCTCCGCCCTCCAAAAAACAACCACCACCTACCATTTTTGTATTGGGCTGGAATGTAGTGATCCTACTTTTTAATGTTCTCATACAAAATAAAATCCCACCAATCTAAAACTCTGGGTCCACTGACCCGCTGCATAATTTCAACTGATGCATTAATCTTTCTGGCAGGGTAATTAAATACTGTATACATATATGTACTGCAGCAATAATCTATTGGTAATGTTTGCATCTTTCCAACCCTGAGGGATCACCTGTCTGGCTGCTGCTAACAAAATGTAATGAGTTCCCTTGAAGGTAAATTAGACTTGCCCCCTGAGAACACAGGTAGCAAACACAGAATAGTATCATCTACCACTTCATTGGCCTATGGTGGCACTAATTTCTTTGAATACTAGCTTTTAAAAAACCTCTCAGAGCTTCAATCCCTCTTCCCAGGGAATTCTGGGAACTGTAGCTCTGTGATGGGAATAGGGTCTCCTAGCAAACCCAAATCCACGAAATTAAAAGACGCCTTCTCCTTGGGAGAAAGGCGATGGCAGACAGCTTCTTAAATAGCAGAGACATCACCTTGCCAACAAAGGTCCGTATAGTTAAAGCCATGGTTTTCCAGGTAGTGATGTATGGAAGTGAGAGCTGGACCGTAAAGAAGGCTGATCGCCGAAGAATTGATGCTTTTGAATTATGGTGCTGGAGGAGACTCTTGAGAGTCCTATGGACTGCAAGAAGATCAAATGCATCCATTCTTAAGGAAATCAGCCCTGAGTGCTCACTGGAAGGACAGATCGTGAAGCTGAGGCTCCAATACTTTGGCCACCTCATGAGAAGAGAAGACTCCCTGGAAAAGACCCTGATGTTGGGAAAGATGGAGGGCACAAGGAGAAGGGGACGACAGAGGATGAGATGGTTGGACAGTGTTCTCGAAGCTACAAACATGAGTCTGACCAAACTGCAGGAGGCAGTGGAAGACAGGAGTGCCTGGCATGGTCTGGTCCATGGGGTCACGAAGAGTCGGACACGACTAAACGACTAAACAACAACAAGCAAATCCAAGCACCTGTTGTTGTTTTTAAAAAAACTAGTTCCCAGGATTCTTTGGGGGAAGCCTGCTTAAAGTGGTCTAATACTGCTTTATAGCGTCAATGGGGCCTAAGTAAGTTCCAGGCTCATTCTCCCACAAAACGCAGGCTCCCAAAAGTACCCAATTTACATTTGGAAATTACCCTTATGCAACCCTTCCACTTCTGCCACACCAATAGTTCAAAAGATGTTAATGAATTCCTGCATTGTAGAAGGCTGGGCCAGAAAACCCTTGGGTGCGCCTTCCAACTCTACAATGCTATGATTTTATGAATGGGTTGTTTGTTCAGCAATTGCTGGATTCCAGATAGAAATTTTTTTTGGGTGGGGGCAACAACACCACTAGGCTACATGATTTGACATTACTAGGCCGCTTGGGAAAATCAGTTAGGCCTCTTGATGTGTGTGTCACATGTGCCAATCAGGGAATTTGTCCTTCCACCAGATGAGTGGGAATGAGGCTCTAAATTTAATTAATAAAGGAAAGCCAGATGGCAGCAATTAGCAGAGCCCAGCCAGCAATCCCGCTGTTTATCTTACATCAGTGGAAAGAACAGGGCACAGGAGAGGCGGATGTAATGACTGGGATCCCATCTGCAGCTTCCCTGTTGGGTGTTGCCTATTGTGAAGGTAACACACGCACGCACACACGTGTGGAAATCTCCAGGGTTTCCCCCTCCCCCACTTTCCCTTTCCCTCCCCCCTCCTTTTCTTTGCACGGCTTTTCCTTCCCAGGAGAGAAGGCAAAAGGAAGCCCTGCAGTGCCCACCCACGGCGGCAGGGGGGCGCCCGCGTGCCAGGCGCTGCGCCTCCTCGCCGCCGCTCCACATGCCCAAATAAGGGCAAATCAGGTTGTGAGAATCAGGGAGGCGCTTGAGGGTTTGGCTCGCGCGACGCCTTATTTGGAAGCGAGAGAAGCGAAGAAGAAGGAGGGCGGGGGAGCAACGAGCGGTCCGGGCAGGGCGCGCGGAGAGGCAGGCAGCACCAACAGCAGCTGCAACGTGCACGCGCCTGTGTGTTGCAGAGAGGAAAAGGAGGGGGAGGAGGGAAGGACGCGCGCCCGGCTCGCCGCTACACAAGTCCCCCTTTGTCCCTGTCTGGTGCATCTATGCAAAGGCTTAGAATTGCGTGCATCAAAAGATGCTGAAGCCTTCCTTCCTTCTTTCCTTCCTAGAGATGGAGGGTGGGGGTGAAGGAGATTTGCTGCAATGCGGAGGGGTACTTCTCATTTCTCTCTCTCCCCCCTCCAAGCCTTCCTTGATCTCTGTTTCAAGTGCCTCCCCCCACCCTCGCAAACAGCAAAAAAGGGGCTGCTGCAGTGGCTATCTGATCCACGCTCTACATCCAATGCACATCTAAAGTGCATGCCTATCTCTCTATCTCCCCCCCCCCCGCCGCCTCCAAGAATCCTGCGAAAGTTACAGGATACTGGGAATTGTAGTTGTTTGAGGCAGAAAAAATTCCCCGGGATTCTTTGTGTGTGTTGTATTTTTTGCATGTGTTTTATATGTATGGTGTGCACCTACCCTGTGTGTGCCTGTGCCTCATCTTGGGGGTTCCACTTAAAACACAGTTTTGGCACAAACAAGGGGGTGTCAATAGCTGCAGGTGGGGGAGGCCTTGTAGCCCTCTCTCCCTCAACGAAGAACCTCTCTCTTTTTAATTAATTTTTGCAAAGGATAAGGAAACAGTTGTTGCGGCCTTCTCTCTGGCAGTGCAAACTGAGGCATGCCTACTCTGAAGTAAGGAAGGCCTATTTGAGTTTAGTGAGCTTTAACCCCAGGCAAGTTGGGTCCAAGGTGCAACACAGAATGAATCAACCGCCTCTCTCTTTGAGAATCTTTTTTAAAGGCCTTTTTGGAAATGGGAAAGAGCTATGAAGATGCTGCAACATGATCTAGGTGTGTGTGTCTGTGTTCAAATGTGTCTAGTCAGAAGTAAAGCCAATTGACAGCCAATGGGGCTTCCAAGGTATGTGAGTCCTCAAAAGGCTCAGTCCCAGCAAAAGCAATGGGTGCCTCCCAGCATCTTTGCCTGGCCCTCAGGACTCTCCCCAACCCTCTCTCCAGGCCTCACCCCTCATCAGTCCTTCCCCTTGCCCACATTTGAGTGTTTCTTGACCCCTGGAATGTGTTTGTGAAGAGTGGCAATGCCTCTTGCTGGCCTGGATGGAGAGGTGTGAAACCTGTGGCTGGAATGTAGTGCTCTGCTTTCCTTTGGACCACATCAATGATGCTAAGAGGAGGGTATTGCCGTCTGGGCAGTACAGGACCTCCATACACACGACTCAGGCTTGTGCCCCAGGGAGGTCAGTTCACTTCTTGTTGTTTAGTCGTGTCCGACTCTTCATGACCCCATGGACCAGAGAACGCCAGGCACTCCTGTTTTCCACTGCCTCCCGTAGCTTGGTCAAACTCATGCTGGTAGCTTCGAGAACACTGTCCAACCATCTCGTCCTCTGTCGTCCCCTTCTCCTTGTGCCCTCCATCTTTCCCAACATCAGGGTCTTTTCCAGGGAGTCTTCTCTTCTCATGAGGTGGCCAAAGTATTGGAGCCTCAGCTTCAGGATCTGTCCTTCCAGTGAGCACTCAGGGCTGATTTCCTTCAGAATGGATAGGTTTGATCTTCTTGCAGTCCATGGGACTCTCAAGAGTCTCCTCCAGCACCATAATTCAAAAGCATCAATTCTTCTGCGATCAGCCTTCTTGATGGTTCAGCTCTCACTTCCATACATCACTACTGGGAAAACCATAGCTTTAACTAAAGACAACAGTTCGCTTAGGTGCTGCTAATCATGTATCGGCTTGGCTTCACCCCTGGAAGTGCAGACAGACGGATGCCAACAACAGTATGAGAGTCCATTGCGCAACCACTTTTGCTTCTGGCCCTGGGAAGGTTGTATGCAATGGACAGTGGCCCTTAAAGTGAAATAGATTCTCTGCCCCTACTAATATGCAGTTTCCTGGGACTAAGACCCATTAAGTGCTATGAATTAATCAGCAGGCTGTTCCTTTGGGCCTCTCTCTTGGAAAAAGAGAAGGATCAGGGAAACTATTGCTCTTTGTAAGTCATTGGACTCCCAACTTCCATTAGCCCCAACCAGCATGCTCAGTTGGTAAGGGATGATGGGATGTGTAGTCCAGCTACATCATTGGAGCCTGCCCCCACCACAGGTTCAAAACATCCCCTTCCAACCAGCCCCAAAATACCGGCCCTCAGAGTAAGAAACAGCGATTAAACTGCAAAATAATAAACGAATGATGCATTAAAACCGCCACCATCTGTGCACTGTAGTAGGATTTCCAATCAATCAGAAAATAAAATGGGCCATTAGGTTTTATAAGCAGAAATCAAAATATTTGCAGATCAAATGACTATAAAAACAGGAACAGGAAGCAGTAAAATGAGCAGCAACTCTACTCAGTCAGCAATTCCATTGAGAGGGTCTAATTACCATAGGGCAGACCCACACCATAGGTATGCTATAGGAAAATAAGGTATAAAGCACATCCAATGCACATTTAAGCACATCGCTTCAACCAGAGAATCCTGGGGGCCTGCCTCACAGAGCTACAGGTCCCAGCAACTGTAATAAATTACAGTTCCTACCATTCTTTGGTGGAGGTCATGTGCTTTCAATGTGTATTGGATGTGCTTTCAATGTATGGGGTGGATCTGCTCGAAATCTACCATTTTAATGTAATTTCTTTTTCCAGGGACAACTTTTCTAAGCTTTGTGCAAGTGAGCCCTTTGTTTATGAGGCTATAAAGAAGAAAATTTCCTGTACATTGTAGGGCAGGACTGGGGAACCTCTTTGCGCCCCACCCCCAGGCCTCACCAGGCCTTCTGTGCCATTTCCAGCCTCGCTGGGGGAAAGCATTATCCCTAACCACTGGCCATGCTGGCTGTGGGGGGAGCTGGAGTCCCAGCAATACCTGCAGAGCATTTCATTGGCTACTGAAGTCCTCATGGAAATCCAACAATGTTTTAGTTTGAATTTTTCCTAACATACACATATTTGTGTGCAATTTTGCCCAATTTTTACAAAGGACTTTTCCCTTTATGCAATGCATTTTTGTGCACTGTTTTCACTAGTTCATGCACACTTTACCCCCATATTGTTTTGGAGAGTGTGCATCAGGCAGGTTTATCTAACAGTGCGAATGGAATGGCATCTCTCTCCCCCCCCCCCCACCTTCCTAGCACTGATGCCGTTGTGCCCTTCAAACTACCTCCTCTTTAAGCCGAGCTATTTTCCTGCTGGCAGACGTGGATCTTTTTTCTCCAGGCTTTTTATGTTTTCCTAAAATGGGCATATAATTTATGAGTGCCTACTCTGTCTCACTCGCTCGGCAATCGTCGGAGACCAAAGAATTTCCCTCGCCTTCTATTTCCAGAGCAAAAAATCTCTTCAGAATTTCCAGTTCGGTTTTCTCCTCTCTTTTCCCTCCTTATTCTTTTTAACCAAACCATGGGAAATTAAAACTGGAGGTGCTGAGGAGGGGTGGGGGGTGGTGGTTGGAAATCAAAGCACAGAACAAATGTGTTCCTTTTAGCTTCCCTCAGCCTTTCATTCCCTACACCCCCTGCCCCAGCGTGTGGCTAGGATCTCTGCTGTTGAGTTATGCACATTCTAGTGCTGCCAAGTAATTTGAACGTGGGTGTCTTGATCCTAGGCACCTCGCAGCCAGTCCCTTAGCTCAGTGGTAGAGCATCTGTTGAAGTTCCTGGGTTCAAACCCCTGTATCTCCTGTTAGGGTTGGTAGAGACCCTTCTAGGAAATTCTGGGGCCTTCTGCCTGCACAGCAGATGCTCTGCGGTGACCCCCGGCTCTTCCAAATCAAACAGGAACACAGGAAGCAGACTTGAACTGAGTCAGACCCATGGGTCCATCTAGCTCAGCATTGTCTACACTGACTGGCAGCAGCTCTCCAAAATTTCATAGGAGGGTCTCTACCACCTGGATTTTAATGCTCCTCTACCCCTCGTTTTGTTTTTATTTTGCTTTAATTTTCTTACTGTTTAAATGGAATTATTATTATTTTTGGTTAAATTTCCTCAGGGGCCCCTGTTAGGACCAAATGGTAGCATGAAAATGTTTTCATCAATAAATGCCCTTGCTCCAGCTTACTCTAGACACATGTTGCTTGAAGGATGAGGCCAGGAATTAGGCGTGCACAATCTGTAGACATTTGCCTCAAAAAGAATCCTTGACTGTTCAAGAAGCCTTGAATTCTATTAAACCCCCAAACATCCTTTCAAACGCACATTTTTTTTATTCGACCACTTGGACTCCGTCTCCTATCCACCCCTGTGGGAGACCTACAAGCCTGCCCTAGTGTGGCTGGGGGGAAAAAAGCCCTTAACTTCCATTTTTAAAACTTCAAACAGTTTGAAGAGAAACTGCAACCATTAAACTGCAAGAGGTTCATTGCTATCATGTGGGTTGAATGGGGAGGAGACAAAGCAGTTTTGAAACCCCACCACATGTCTTTATTGGCTTGCCAATGTTGGACTCTGTTAACATAAAAGCATAGAATTGTAGAGTTGGATGAGGCCCTGAGCATCAACTAGTCCGGTGTTTCCCAAAATTGGGTCTCCAGCTGCTTTTGGACCACAATTCCCATCATCCTTGACCACTGGTCTTGCTGTCTAGGGATAATGGGAAATGTAGTCCAAAAACAGCTGGGAAGCCAAGTTTGGGCAACACTGGCTAGTGTCCCGTACCCCCGCTGCAATGCAGGAATCGCAACTAGAGCACCCATGGCAGTTGGCCATCCAGCAACAACTGTTTTGTGAATTACCACTGTATATTACTTTTTATTCTTATTTCTTCCCTCCCCTTTCTCCTGAAGGAGTTCAAGGTAGCACACATTAGAAAACAGACACAACCAAAAACAAAATACCGTATTTTTTGCTCTATAAGACTCACTTCCCCCCCCCCCTAAAAAGTAAGGGGAAATGTGTGTGTGTCTTATGGAGCGAATGCAGGCTGTGCAGCTATCCCAGAAGCCAGAACAGCAAGAGGGATTGCTGCTTTCACTGCGCAGCGATCCCTCTTGCTGTTCTGGCTTCTGAGATTCAGAATATTTTTTTTCTTGTTTTCCTCCTCCAAAAACTAGGTGTGTCTTGTGGTCTGGTGCATCTTATAGAGCGAAAAATACGGTAAGTTAAAACTAAAACAGTCAAACTGCTACTCCAGCAGAAAAGGAATAGCAGGCTTATGACAACAATTGTCCTCCAAAGGCCAAGATAAACAAATGTGTCTTAAACACATGCCAAAATACTGACAGTGCGAAGGACAAGCATAAGCGATAGTATGGGTGAGCCACTTTAGGCTTAGCAAATATGGCCCTCCAGGCAAGACTTAAAGCGTAGCCACTTGTGGGACTAGTAGTGGTATCTTCAAGGGTAGCCCCATGTAGAATGCACTGCAGTAGTCCAGTCATGAAAGGCTTGCTGAAACGCAGCTGTCCTGGTCCAGGAATGGGGATAGCAGGCAAACCAGCCAGAGCTGGAAATAAACACTTGCTGCTGAAACCACCAGTGACAGCAATGGATCCATGATCATTCCCAAGCTATTGTCTTCCTCATTCCCAGATATAGGAATTGCCTGTCATTAGTGCTATTGCTGGCATTCAGTTGCAGTTTATTGGCCTTCAGAAAGTGGTCCAGCACTTGTACAGCCTCCCCTGATTTAGATGGAGAGATAGAGCTCCCAGGTTCCTGGAAGACTGCTCCCAACAGTAGCATAGGAGGCAAAATAGACGGACCCCCTGAGGGATCCCAATGCCCCCCAAACCATGCGGCCAAGATGCAGTTATTCCAGCTCTACTTTCTGGTAGGAGCAGAGCCACTGTAGAGCAGGGCCTCCAAGTCGCAACCCCAAATCGTTCCAGAAAGAAAGTGTAGCCAATGGTGTTGAAAGGCATGGAGAGATTGAGGAGAGCCAACAGGGATCTGGCTCTCTCCAGTCTCTCTCACAATAAAGGTCATCAGGCAGGGTGACCAAGGGTTTTCCATTGCCATAAAAAGGCCTGAAGCTGGATTGAAACAGGGCTAGATAATCTGCTTCATCTAGGCATGTTTGCAGTTGGTCAGCCACCACCCTTTCAACTACATAATTATCTGCGTCTCTGACCTCACTGATTGCAATACAAGCACACCTAAGCACACACAGGTAGCTCAGGATTACACTCCACGCAACCTGGTGCAGTGGACTTCAATCCACTATAGTTTGTGCCATGGTATATTTCTTGGTCTTTAACACATCACATGATCTTTGCTGGTTTTGCCACAGGAGACCAACATGGTTGGCCATCTGGAGATAATATTATCACACCAAGAAAGGGGAGCATGTTGGCCTCCATATGTTTGTTGAACTAAATCTCCCATCATTCCTGGCACTGGCTTGCTGTGGCTAGGGCTGATGGGAGTCTAGTAACATCTGGAAGGCCACAGATGTTACTCTCTCCTTCTTTACTCTCTTACTGTTGCTTCTTATTATTACTCAGTGCTTTTTTCTGGGGGGATGCAGGGGTATGTATACCCCTAAACATTTTGTGAATCTTTGTACTTTGTAGTGATGATTTTCTTGAGTCAAAATGAGAGTACCACTAAACACTTTGTTTAGAAAAAAGGACTATTTACTTATTACTAAATACAGTGGATGCTCGGGTTGCGAACGTGATCTGTGCGGGCGGCATGTTTGCAACCCACAGCGTTTGCAACCCGCAGTGCCGTGTCTGCGCCTGTGCAGGTTGCGATTCAGTGTTTCTGCGCATGTGCAAAGCGCGATTTAGCGCTTCTTTGCATGCGCAACTACTGAAACCCAGAAGTAACCCGTTCTGGTACTTCTGGGTTTCGGCAGGTAAAGGGCCCCCTGACCATTAGGTCCAGTCGTGGCCGACTCTGGGGTTGCGGTGCTCATCTCGCTTTATTGGCTGAGGGAGCCGGTGTACAGCTTCCGGTAACCTGAAAAAAATGCAACCTGAAGCATCTGTAACCCAAGGTATGACTGTACAACATAATAATTCCTAGATAAAACACAAGATCTTTCTGCTCCCTTCTATCTCTGTGACACTTACCCCCAGTCCTTTATTTCTGGAAAAAAGGTGGGGGAACTCAACATGAAGTTTGTTTTGTTTATTGCAGGTCTAGTCACAGTGCCCCCCCCCAACACGGACAGTGGCTAAATGTAAAATGTGATTAATAAAGTCAAGCAGACAATAATCTGGATTGGAAATGGCCACAACTTTATAGATTACAGCCATTGGGTGTGTATCTGTTCCTGCACCCCCAGACAAAAAATATATATTTCATTTTTAAAAGGTAAGGGAACTCAGTTCCCCCGAGTTCCTGCTCAAAACGCCTCGCGCTTGCCGAATGTGGCCCTCCAGAGGTTGACTAGACTCCAGCTGCCAGCATCCCCGGCAATCAGCCCAGGCTGGCTGGCATGGATGATGGGAACTGGAGTCCCAGCGGGCGCAGGTTCCCCCACTCCGGCCTGTCACAGTGAACTACGTTTCCCAGGATTCTTGTGGGGGGTGTCGGGAAAGGGAAAGGCCAGTGGAAAGGAGACGAGGCCTTTTGGGGGGGGGGAGAGAGAGGGGGGGAGGACTCGGTTTCCCATGGTACATCGCGCTGCCGGACCGGAAGCGGCTCCTCCTCGGGAGGCGCCTTAAAGCGGAAGCGTCGTGCCGGGGCGGGGCTGCAGTTCCTTTCGGGCCTCGCTTGACGCGCAGACGGAGTCGGAGCCGCCGCCTCGGAGAAGGAAGCAGCAGTCGACGCCGACGCCGCACCACCAGCAGCAGCTCCGAGCGCGAAGAGCACCGCCGACGCCGCGCACACCTTCTCTTCCTCCTTCACCTTTCCCTTCGTCGCCTGCAGCACCATGGTAAGACCCGGCGCGGCCCCTCTCCTCCACCGCCCCCCCACCGCCCGCCCCACACACCGGGCCGCCATCTTGTCTCCCGGCCGCCATTTTGACGGGGGCTCTCGGGGGCCCCTTTCTCCCCGCCCCACCTGGCTTTGGCGGCGAAGGTGCCTCTGTGGCTCGATGTAGCCCCCCCCCCCGCTTAGCCCCTCGCCGCATTCTGGCAGTCACATGGCCAGTCACATGGGGAGGAGCTATTTTCTGTAGTGGGAGGGGGAAGGGAAGCCCCTCATCCTCCCAATCTCCTCACCCTCCCCCCACCACACCCGACCTATATATCACCCTTCTGACGGGGTATGATACTGGATGGAATCTTCTTTTTTTCCTTTTACACCCCCCCACCATTTTGTAGAGCTGGATGAGAGAGGGTAGAACCCAGGACCCCCATAAGTGTGGGGTGTGCAAATGCCTTCCGAACCTACATTGCCCTTTCTTGCTTCTTAAAATGACTTAATTTGAAAGACCTGCGCAGAGGGAACTCGCTGCCCTTATCCTTTCCCGGTCCTCTGTTCTTTCCCTGCCGCCTCCGTCCCTCCCGCTCTTCCTCTCTCCCTCCCTTTTCCACAGCAGCTTCTCTCTACGGAGATGCAGGTTGAAAGGGAAGAGGGATATATAGAGGAGCCTATTGTGTGTAAGTCCCGGCGCGGGGAGGGGGGAGTCAAGACTCACGTGGCTGGGCATTGCAGCAGTTTTATCCCCCACCCCACTCAAAAGGCCTGGATAAAACTATTTGCTCCCTCTCCAAAGAGCAGGTTCTAAATGCTGGCTGAATGTGGCACCTCTCCTAAAATGTCTATCAAATGACACTCTCAGGCTTGTGGTTTATATCCTTCCTGCAGCGAGGAGCTGGCCTGCCAAGAGACTCCTTAATAGTGCTGGCGAGAAATTCCTGGGCTCTTGATACTCTCACCTTTTTCTCCTCCCCTTCCCCTTGCCAAAATTGCTCTCTATTGCCGGTTGTAAAAACGCACCCCCTTTTTCACTTCCCAAACTCTGAACTGGACAGGCTGCTTCCCTTGCCCGGGATTTGCACCCCTCCTAAGAGATCCCGTGTTGTTTCCCAGCTTCTGCTGGTGACAATAGATCTCTCCCTCTCTTAAGAAAAACCACAGTCCTGAGCACGCATCTCCTGAATGCTGCCACTTAACCTTCTCTCCTCTTCCCCCCTCCTCCCCCCCCATCCCCTGCGACACAAGTCTACTTCCTTTTCTGGTGTTGGAGGCAGGAGGCCAAGCACCTCCCTCCAGACTGGCGGCTTTGGGGCACCTGCTGTCTCTGCTCTTGCATTCTGTGCTTTTCCCACCCCAGAAAGCTAGTGCCAGATTCCCAGCATCTCTGCTCCTGGCCTCTCCTGGGGGCAGGCATGGAACCTAGGAGATTTTTCTTTTAAAAAAACACTCCCTAGTTGGTTTATTTCCAATTCTGGCTGTTAAATCGCCCATATATACCACTCCCAATCCTGCCTTCCATCATCATCCTAACCTTAACCTGAATCCATTTCCTTCTATCTCTTCATTTTAGTGATGGGAATTTCTGACTCTGTTTAAAAGGTCAATTGGATGGGCCCCTCTTTGTGTGTGTGTGTGTGTGTGTGTGTGTGTGAGAGAGAGAGAGAGAAGTCTGCCCCAAATTCACTGTCTAGTCATTTGAAGAAGTCCTTGTAAAAAAAAAAAAAAAAGTTTTATGTGGCTTAACTCCAGATGACTCTGTTGGAGTCAGTTTCTTCACAGAACCTGCTCTGACCAGGATAGGGAAAGGCATCTAGGTTTAGGCTCTGGAATCTCGTCCATAACTGCCTGGGGTCAGTAGCCGGCCAAAATTTGTGGTTGCCTTAAACCTTTTCCTCTTCATTTCCTGTAGGGATGGGGAGTTTGAGGCTTATCTCTATTGCACATGTGCTTTGAAGTTGCCTCTGCAGCGCAAGATCAGGGAGAAAATCTCTGCTCCCCAGTTCTGAGCTCAGGAAGAGGGTGGGGGCTGGTCTGTGTCATGCTCTACTTCCGAAGCACTCAGAAGGGGGGGGGGAAGAGCAGTGATGGCTCATGCTTTACAGAGTTTGAAAGGATTCTTATGGCAAGTGAGTTTGCGGATCCATTTTTGAGCCTTTGCTAATTTGCATGGGTAAATGTAAGTTCTTCTGGATTAGCCTGGATGTCATTCTGAATAGCTTAGTTTGTTAGATCATGGAACTGATAACGCCAAGGTTGCAGGGTTCAGACACCGTATGGGACACCAGCATATTCCTGCATTGCAGAGGGTTAGACTATATGGTCCTCAGGGTCCCTTCCAAATCTGTGATTCTATGGATCAGACCAAAGGCCCAGTCAGCCCAGCATCCTGTTTTTCCACAGTTAAGCAGGCCATGAGGGCAACCTGGTGTTTCTCTCCAGTGACTGATATTCAGGCACAGTTGCACCTCTGAACATGGGCGGGTCCACATAGTCATCATGTGTGGGAAGCTAGTAATATTGTCTAATCCCTTTCAAAGCCATCTGGGCTAGTGCACATCACCACATCAAGTGGCAGCGAATTCTGTAAATGAATGATGCACCACACGAATAAGTATTTTCTTTATCCGTCCTGATTCTCCTGCCATCTGGTTCATTGGATAACCCAGAGATCCAGTACTATGAAAGTGGGAGGGAATGCATCTTATTCTCTCTCCCACATGTGGAGGCTTTGGTGTGGCTATTGGCTGACTCCTTTCCCTTCTCCCTCCCTCCCTCCCTGGGCAGGCATCTGGCGTAGCCGTCTCCGATGGAGTTATCAAGGTCTTCAATGACATGAAGGTGCGCAAAGCATCCACCCCAGAAGAGGTGAAGAAGCGCAAGAAAGCTGTGCTCTTCTGCTTGAGCGAAGATAAGAAGAACATCATCCTGGAAGAGGGGAAGGAGATCCTGGTGGGGGATGTGGGGGACACCATTGATGACCCTTACCTCTACTTCGTCAAGATGCTGCCGGACTGTGACTGCCGCTATGCCCTTTACGATGCCACCTATGAGACAAAGGAAAGCAAAAAGGAGGACCTTGTCTTCATCTTCTGGTGAGGACTCCCTCCTAAAAACAAAACAAACTAAAGCCTACTCTGGGGCTACTGCCAGGCCACCCCATATCCCCTGCCCCCAGGCTCCCCCCCTTCCCCGTACTCACGGAATCATGTTGAAGAGTAGTTCTTTTGGCCAGAAAAATGCTACCAAGCAAATGCAATCAGAGCAGAGGGTCTGGTGTGTTTGGAACCCTTTGTTGGAGGTTACTTCCCTGGCTACTTTTTCCGAGCTGGACACGGATTCTATCTGCTCCAGCCATCCCCCTCCCCCAGTCTAGCCTTGCTTCCAGATCTCATGAAAAGGCTTATTCACGACCTGTCTTGCCACTCTTCTTCCTGGGTGTCAAACCAAGGGCTGTTGATGCCTTGGAAAGAGTTGAGAGCAACCCGCTGGAGAAGATAGCAAGTGATTGAGCTTGGCTGAGGGCTCTAGGATTTCCATGGCAGAACTCGAGGATTTCACTCCGGGCACCTTAGTTCTTTTCAGAGTTGACAATGGGGGCAGAGCTGCTTTGATGTGGCTTACCTGGAAGTCCTAGGGATAGGGGTAGATCGCTGCCTCAGGCACCTTCAGTGCTTCCTGGCACTGTTGCCATGATAACGTGGGGTTAAAGTCCTTTTAGGGAAGCATCCCTCCACATGTATGCACCCGCCTCCCGTATACCTGGGATGCGGAGAATAGAAATCCGTTGCCAAGCAGTTCAGTTTGTGCCCATATCAAATTGTGGCATGGCAACAGTACAACCATTTTAAACACCCTGTATATCTCAGGTAAGGGGGGGGTATAAACAACCCAGGAATGAGAGGCAATTGTTGCCCTACACAGTGTGCAAGGAAATTTGGGCTGTCCTGTTGTAGTCTTCAATTTAAAAGGCTGTAGGTCATGGAATCTGTAGCACAGAACTGGGGAAACCTGCGCCCTCATGATGTTCCTGGGCTAAACTCACCATTGGCCATGCTGGCTGAGACCGAAGGCAGTCCAACAACATCTGGAGGACCACAAGTTCCCCCACCCTCTGTTCCAGCAGGTGAGGGGGGAAATGTCTTTGTCCCAGGATTCCGTTTGAGGAAGTGACTCCATTAGGCATATGGATGACGTGGCTGCTGCTATACCCTTAGGCATCTTCCCTCCTCTATCCTTGTCCGCTCCTTGAGCTGTTTTCACCCTGTTCAGACTAACAAGGGAGGATATATATTTGTTATTCCCATGGGAATTGGGGCTGGTCACGCTCCTGATGTTGAGGTTGCTGTTTTGTCTCCCCGCAGGGCGCCTGAGTGTGCCCCCCTGAAGAGCAAGATGATCTATGCCAGTTCTAAGGATGCCATCAAGAAAAAATTAACAGGTGAGAGCTGGTGCGGTTGCCTCTTTCACACCAGGGGGATAGGAGTTGGGGACTGGACTGCTGTAGCTCAGCAGTAGAGCACATGCCTCTTACGCAGATGGCCCCACGCTGGAGGTAGAGCTGGGAGGGGAGTCGTGTCTGAAATACTGGAGAGCTGCCAGTCAGTGCCACTGTAATTACTGTCTGTGTAGTGATTATTGTATATGCTTGTGTAAAAGCTGACTTTTTCAGAACATTTTTTATGCTGAAAAAGCCCCCTACGGCTTATACTTGAGTGAGGGTCCCCTTTGCTGCTGTTGGCAGCGGAGGAACAAGCAGCCCTTTTGGGCTGCTTGTTCTTCCTCTGCCGCTGCCACCATTGGCCTCTGCCTCTCAGCAGCACGCTAAATAGGCAGGGGGACGGTAGGGGCTGGGGGGGAAGAGAAGCCCCCTCTGCCGTATGCATGCGCACGCACACACACGCACTCCGGCCCACCAGGAGGTTTGTGGTGTGGTGAACTAGATTATACTCGAGTCAATAAGTTTTCCCAGTTTTTTGTGGTAAAATTGGGTGCCTCGGCTTATATTCAGGTTGGCTTATACTCGAGTATATACGGTAATTTTGCAAGATGCTTTTCTCTTGTGATTGCCTCTCTGCAACCATCTTGGAGGGGCAGAAACTGACCTTGTGAGAATCAAATTGACACTGGCCTCTGCTTTCCTGTGCCATGGTCCCATCTGCAATAAGGCTTCCCCCTCTCCCAAAATGGAGAGAAGGCCTTCACTTGATCAGAAGTGGCAAGTGGTAGGGCCCAAAGTTTAAGACTTGGTAGTACTGTGCTCAGAGGCTCATAGAGCAGGGATGGCCAGGCTATGGCCCCCCCAATATGTTGCTGGACTGCTATTAGCCACAGCCAGCATAAGCAGGTATGCTGGGAGTTGTCCAGGAACAGGTACCACCCTTCATTTAGAGGTTTGAGCCTCCCCAGCAATGTTTCAGTTAATATCATTGTGGGTTGAATCCAGAGTTAAGTTGGCAATGTTGAAATCAATGGGACAGATTTAGACATTGATTCAGCCCTATGCATCTTTGAAATGCCCTTAAAATGGCTGTTAACAATGTAGTGGTGAAATATTAATTTAATAGTAATTTATTATTTATACCCCGCCCGTCTGGCTGGGTTTCCCCAGCCACTCTGAGCGACTCCCAACCAAATATTAAAAACATGATACAGCAGTAAACATTAAAAACTTCCCCAACCAGGGCTGCCTTTGCTTCCTGAATAAACAGTTGATTGGGCTGAAACCCTACTTTTGGTCCCTTCTATGTTGCCTTCTCATTCACCTTCACTCTCATTGTCTGAAAACAGCATGCTAATTCCCACAACTGTTTCCCAACTTTGTACTGGCCCACACTTCTCTCCACCTGAAATTGACTTGACCGCTCTCCCCAATCTGACCCTCCTCCCTGCATCTGAATAGCAGCTAAGCAGACTGAAAGACTTTTCAGATGCTACAAATGGAGCGTTGAGACAAAGAAGTCCATCACTTCATAAGTTTCTTGGGCAGCCTTCGCTAGCCTGATGTCCCACAGATGTTTCAGGATTGCAGCTCTCACCAGCCCCAGCTTGCCGGGGACTGTAGTCCACGATCTTCTGGAGGGTACCATTGGTGGAGGCTGTTCTTGAGAGCTTTTTCCAGCTGCCACCCGACAGTGACTTTGGCTGTGCAAATTGCCAGTGCAATTTGTGCCTGCTACAAATTGCAGAGGTGGTGGGTTGTTGAGACTGGGGAGCTGTGGTGGTGGACCAAATACAGAGATTGGGATTAAAGGGGTGGATAACAGATGTGTGGGGGGGGGGAGGCATTGTTGTTCTTCAGCCTTTGTTCTATCTCTAGTAGCTGCTAGTGGGGAAGGGGTGCTGTTTGATCTGGGGATCGGCCTGTTGAATTGGCTGGGCAGGAATACATGATGGAGGTCTGCAAGAGCCACTCATGTCCCCACCTCTTCCCTTGCAGGGATCAAGCACGAGTTGCAAGCAAACTGCTACGAGGAAGTCAAGGATCGCTGCACCCTTGCGGAGAAATTGGGCGGCAGTGCCGTCATCAGCTTGGAGGGCAAGCCCTTGTGAGCCACCCCCTCCCCCGTTGTGCCAGCGTCTTCGGAGCTTCCATATTATTGGCCCTGTGCTATCATTTTTTGGGGGTTCGGTGGGTGGGACGTGGGGTGGGTTCTCCGTTTTAGTTAGGTTCCGGTTTTCTGCCTTCTCACCTTTTTACCCCCTCTGGTGCTCCCTTCTCATGAAAGCAGCTGCAGCCCAACCTTGCGGCTGCTGTTAAAACTTGCCAAACCAGCTACAACTCCTTCTCCCTGTTTCCCGGCCCCCCAAACCTTCCTCTATCCTTCCTCCCCCTCTCCAAGCCTAGACTCTTAAGGTGGCATTCCTTGAGGCCCCACTTCTTGGCTGCTTCCTTCACCCCATGGGACCATTGGTTTCCTCCATTCCAGCTTTGGGACCACTCTCAAGCAGGATTCCACTCCTGGCCAAGGCTTGAATATGGTGTGGGAGGGAGGGCAAAAGGAAGGGGGCACCTAAAGGCAGGGGTCTCCATGGCCCCTCATTCCAAAATTAGTCCATCATTCCCAGTGTGTAATTTTTTTTCTTTTTTTGGTCTCTGTATGTGTGTTTTTGGAAAACAAATGTGGAATGGCAGCTGTGTTCCCGGCCCCCCCTCCCAGTGACCCACAACCCCTCCCTCTTTACCGCCATAGTGGCTTTGTGCTTGTCTGTAGTACTGTGTATAAATGAGATATTGTGGAGAAAGTTGCACCCATCTCAATGTTGGGGGTGGAATTAACAAAATATGGAAGCAGCACCAATGATCTTCAATAAAAAAATTAAATAATGCTACCTCTTGGGTGTGTCTGTCTCTCCCCCCCCCCTTTTCTTTCTCACTCAACCTGAGCCTTGGGGGTTAAGCACAGGGCTGTGTGTACTTGGTGTTAAAACTTTCCTAATTCTCTGCCAAGAAAAGCAACCCATTCAACCTGTGAGTTGCGCCAGGTCACTAAATCTGCTTGTTGTTCTGACAAAATTCTACCTCTGCCAGAGGTCAGACGGAATCCCCCCTCCTTTTCCTCCATCAGTACTAGAAACCTTCATCCACCTGTTTGCTTCCAGCATTAACCAGGTGATGCCCACATGATTTCCGCCCCATCTTTCTAGCCACAAGAGCTAGAAACTTGGGTTTCATTTTAAATAAAACCCGATTGATCATGAATCTAGAACAAACACTTAAAGGTTCCGTCTCATCTAAGACTCCTGAAGCAGAATGGATGGAACATCGCCTTTCCCTCCAAAATCTCTCTTGAGGAAATGGAGGAAATTTAATGGAGGAAATGTTCGCCTCTCCTTGTGACTTGCTCACTGCTGGCTTAAAAAGTTAATAGCTTACCAAGCACTGCTGGGGAAACTTTTAGTAGTTAAACCTCCTCTTTGTAACCTTCAAAATATGCTCTTTCACGTTTCACAGAAGTTCTTGCCTGCTGGAAGTATTCGTGTGTGTGTACATACATATATCACAAGCTGAATAGAAAACAGGCACTTCCTCATTTATAACACAGGCCTATCATAGAAGGCTTTTAAAATAGTCTGGTGCTTGGACTTTGGTCTGTCCATAGGGTGTGGTGAAAGCACACTGGACGAGCTTTGTGCTTTTCTTTTGCTGCGTTAAGTCTGATGCAGAAATGATAACATCAGGAAGGTGCTATTGACACTTCACGGAGGAAAGTGAATTATATAGGCCCCAAACCCAAGTTACGAGAAGGGATTTTGCCTAAACTTTGGGAAGAACTTGCAGAGGGTATTACGTAGTTATTTGTGGGGAGGGGGAATTGCATCGGGAGATGGGCTGTTTGCTTACAGTGTTTTTAAGCAGAGTCTGCATATTCACCTGCTACAGACACTAGGAGCAGATCGCCTCCGTTGTCAACCAGTTGTGCTCCATGACCTTTTGGATCCCTTTCAACTCCTGGGGGTAATCAGATTTGTAAGAAGTGGATTGCCTAAAATTGTGACTTGGCCCCAGGCTGAAATTTTTTGTTCTTTTTGATTGGTAGAGCATGAGACTTAGGGTCATGGGTTCGAGTCCTTTGTTGGGCAAAAGATTCTTGCATTACGGGGGGTTGGACTAGATGATGCTTGTAGTCACTTCCAACTCTATATAAATTCCATTTCTGGCTCTTGAAGGCAGCCTCTCCTAACCTGATACCTTCCAGATGTTTTGGACTACAACTCCCATCAGCCCCTGCCTGTGGGGCTAGTGCAGTATGCACTTGAGAGCACCAATCCCACTAAGAGGCAGGATTCTGTGCCCACCTAAGCCCTTTGCACATTGTAGTAATTGAGACTCCTGGAAGAGCTTCCTCCAGCCCCTGCCTACAGTGTGGGCTCAGCTGCCTACTTGCCTGCTTAGATCTCTCTCCTTAGGGTGTGGCTGGCCCAGTTACCTGCTGTCGGCCAAGGCAGACCAAAGTCCTGGGTGGGGTTCGCAGCTTTCACTGCCATCTCCTGCGCCTCCAGCATCCCTGAAGCTGCGTCATACTGGCACTGCTCAGTCTCTCCTTCCCAGCTGGGCGTCAGCCAAAAGAGGTTTGGGGCTCGGTTCAGAAAGGCAGCGCAACACCCAAGCTTCGTGGGGGAACGGGTGCTAGATTCTCCTTTGCCTCCTGCTCAAATGCTGGGGAAAGGCTGTAACTCAGTGGTAGAGCACCCCTTGGCTTACACCATGGGTAGGCAAAACAAACCCCGGGGGCTGGATCCGGCCCAATCGCCTTCTAAATCCAGGCCGCAGATGGTCCGGGAACCGGCATAGAATGTGCCCTTTTATTTAAAATGCATCTCTGGGTTATTTGTGGGGCATAGGAATTTGTTTTATTCCCCCCCCCCCAAAATATATATAGTCTGGCCCCCCACAAGGTCTGAGGGGCAGTGGACTGGCCCTCTGCTGAAAAAGTTTGCTGACCCATGGCCTACACAAAGCTCCAGGTTCGATTCCTGGCATTTCCAAGTAGGGGTGGGCATCGTCGTCCCCCTGAACCCCTGCGGAACGGCTGCTGGACCACTGAGCTGGAGGAACCAGTGGTCCAGTTCTGTAACAGCTTCCTGGCATTCCACAGGAATCCTGTCCTTCATCTCCACAGCAGGCCCATGAGGAATGCGGCTGGTCTGAAAGTGTGTTGGGCCCAAGGCTGTCCGGAGCCATCTTAGCCCGGCACTCAGCGTCACACCGTGGCGCAATGATTATTAGAGGCTGGATGTAATGGCCTTTCCACCCTTTTATTAGCTGGGCATGTGGCTTGCGTCACTTCCTTCAAACGTCGCCGCCTGTGGAGCTTCTCTGAGGGAGGCCCTGGTCGCCAGGCCCAGAGTCCCACCTTGACGGCACCACCTCTCGACCGTGGTTTCTATTACTTTCATTTTAAAGCAAATTTCACGGGGAGGCTGTTTTCTACCTCTCTGGCACTGAAGCCTGGGAGTTTGCCTGCCTCTTGCACGCTTCCCAGAGGCATTTGGTTGGCCACTGTGAGAGGATGCCGGATCTTTGGCCTAATCTGGCAGCACTGGTTTCTAAGTGCTTGCAATTTGTACGATGTTTAAGGACAGAAATGACCGGGTGTGTGTGTATTTTGTTGCTTTTATAGCTGCTGGTAACTGGGATTATTCATAATTTGTGAGAGTGTGTTAAATATCTGCCATCGAGTGTTCATTTTTCAGACCAGGGGTGGTGAAGCCAAGGCAGCCTTCCCATCAGCCCCCTGCTGACATGGCCGATGGATAGGGATGATGGGAGTTGTAGTTCATCAACATCTGGAGGGCTACTGGTTCCCCATTCCTGGTTTTAGGTGTCTGTCAGCGTTTGCTCTCAGTGGACAGGAGATAGCTTGCACATGCTCAGAGGCACTGCTGTTAGCTTCACATTTTCAAATCTGTCCTTTTAAAGTTCAGAATCTTTTTAAGAGCAAGTTGCTATTGATGGCTGTACATTGCTCAACTGAGACTAGTTTCCTGAGCGCATTTTGAAAGACCAATTCCCCCCCCCCTCCTATCCCTTTGCCCTAAAGCGAACTTGTGGTTAAGGAGTCTCAACTCTTCTTGGTCTCTATTCTTGATGACGCATATCCTTTTTTTCTCTTGCTGAGTGGTAGAGGTGGAGCTTAACTTCTAAATGAGTCACACAAAGACCCAGGCTTTTCGTGGGTGGGGCAGGGAGGATGACCCAGTTTTCTTTTTAAAAGTGTCTCTGAGCTTGCACAAAGTTCCTTCAGCACCAAATAAGTCCCTTGGTGGGACAAGGGTGTATGGCATAGGTGCCCCACCCCAATCCGCCACCAGACTTCTTTCCTGTTGGATTATTCTTCCTGTATTTTAATCACATGTCTCTTCCTGTGTAATTTCAGAACTGGAAGGGGCAGTGTTTTATTTGATTCCCCCCCCCCAACACCCCTTTTTCGTGGTTGTATGACTTGAGGGAAAAGAAGTGCTTCTGTGTAATACAAAATATATACAGTATATTTTATTTATGCATGTGTCTATTGGATGTTTAGATGAAAATCAGAAAGGAATTGCTTTCTCTTTGATTCCCAATCACTACCGGTAACAGTCCGTTGGCACTAAAACAAAATCCATTGCATGCTTATTTGAGAGTAAACCCATCAAACCCAGGAGAGCCTATTTCTGGGTAGGCCTGGCCATTCTAATCTGAGGTAGCTAGCTCTGGTGAGAATGGTTTAGTTGGTTTAAATCCAAAACACTTTCATCTCTGCCTCCACCCATGGCTAGCATGTGGCCCCTAACAGATTATCCCAGAGGGAATGCAGCCCTTGATATATATATTTTAAACAATTTTTAATTGTTTTTTATTGATTGTCTGTCCCTGGGCGGGGCTTTAAGCTAAGAGGCTGTGACTAAGAAGGTCTGAGAGTAGGAGAACCTTGTAATTTTGGAAAATAACTCATCAGTGCCCTTGTTTGTGTCAGGTGCATATATATGGATAAAACACAGGGCAAAGCATTTCTCCCACAGAAATAGGAGTGTGCATGTTCTGATTAAGCTCCTCCCCTTGCCCTCCAATTATAATTGTCATGGTAACTTAATTAGAAATTGGAAGAATTCGTTGCTCTTGAGAATGACAGGCAGAGCTCATGCAACAGTCAAAAAGTGGGCTCTGCTGTCCTCTGCAGGCCAAGCATGGTTATTGCATGACTTTTCAAAGCAGCTCTCAAACCGCTGAATTAATTTTTTAATTTTTTGTCATTGGCATCCATCTGTCTCAAGAGACAATGGAGCGCACCTCTGGAGGTGAAGTCAAATCGCTGCATTAGCAGTGCCAATGTGACCTGCCTAGTCCGCCGAGGACAAAATCGGGAAGTTTGTAGATAATCCAGGCTAGGTCCTGGAAACCAGACATCTTTCTTTCTGTTTGTTTTTTTGCAAGTTTTATTATTATGCACAGTTATTCCCCCCCCAAGAAAACCCCCCACAGGGTGGGTGGTAGGAAGAAGAGAGATTAATTCTGCAGTTCATTTGTTTTTTAATTAAGTGGATAAATTTACAGCACATTTTTGCAATGCATTTAAATTTTGCGATAAGGTGATTTCTGCTGCAGCAGAGAAACCCGGTCTAGCTGCAGGTTCTTCATTTACAAAAGGAATAACAATATTCCCTGCTGCATTTAAACCTATCTGCCTTGGCAAAGCCTCTGGGTAACTGTATCTGGTGATGAGTCACTTTTTCCCATCAGAGCAAGGTTCCACCCTGTGTTGATTCTGCAAATCAGGGCTGGGGAACATTTTGCAGCCTGGGGACTGAATTCCCTTCTGGGCAATTTTTTTTTTGGGGGGGTGTGTGTGTGTCACATGCTAGTGATGGGTGGGGAGAGAGGGAGAATCAGGTGGAGATACACATGCCACCCTTGTACAGGAGGCTAGTTTCCACACACACACACACACACACACACACACACACACACACACACCAGTGCCTGTCTGCCCCCCCCCCCAGGTGAGCAAGAGGCATTAGCAGAATTCCAGGACATATTCCATCCAGGCAAAAACACTCAAGGAAGATGCAGAGCAGGGCCAATGTGGGGTGTGGCTTGGGGAGTGAGGCTGAGGCCCTCTTCTCCACTCCTGGTTTCTCTGGCTGAGTTGTTCATGCCTTTGTTCCAGGCTGTATTTTTTCCCCAGGGGTTCCAGTGTCACATATTTTTTTTTTTAAATCAAGCTTTACAGGCACTCTCTTCTCCCCTATGGAAAATAAACTGCTTCTTTAAAGTCCCAGTTTACCATTACAAACAAAACAGAAGCGGAATCTCTTGTCTGTATATAAAGTCTGATTACTCTTGCAGCTTCCTGCATTCCCTTCTTCCCAGGACAGAAAATGGAAGTTATTCCTGACAGAAGAAACCTCCTCAAACTGGAGAAATGAGATACTGGGGTCTTGAAATATTTCTGCCTCCTTGCATACACTTTTACAGTGGTGCAGTAGAGAGCGGAGAACACTGGTAAGCAAAGCTCTAGGAATCCCCACCCCCCTGAGCAGAACTGTTGACATCATCTGCCAGAGTGCCACAGTAACCGGTGGCCCCTCCCAGCTCTGGCAATTGAATGAGGTGATAATAAGGCTTTCAAGTTTGTTTTATAACAGCGGGGATGAGGAACCTTTCGCCCTCCAGATGTTGCTGGACTACAAATCCCATCATCCCTCATGATTGGCCACGTTAATTGGGACTGATGAGATTTGAAGTCTTAACTGCAACATCCAGAGGGCCAGAGTTTCTCTCTCTTGGGCATAACTTCCTCCTTCTGCTATAACTGAATAAAATTTATCCGTCTTATCCTAAAGTTATCTTGGCTTTGTTTACCTTCCCTGAACCTAAGGTTTGCGTATAACATTAAACTACGGTTTGGCATTGTGTGAATCTAGCCCAACAGTTTAAGTATGGCTTTATTTGACGGTGATCAAAAGTCACTCATTAACTAAGCTTTGTCATTTGCTTAGAAACCTCGGTTCATGTTAACCATAGTTTTGTGGTACATGCAAACCCTTAACTATGGTTAAGATGCTGCCACTGCCCCGCCCCTCCAATAAAAACGGTTCTGAATACTCAGCTGCTCCCGCTGGTGCTTTTAACTATTCTGTGCTGTAATCAAGGCTTAAGTGAACATCTTCTGCAAGATGCCTCAGCGTTAACTGTGGCCAGTGACTTGTCCATTAAAGCAAATTCATTGCATTTCTAATTAAAAGCCTAAAGGTTTACATTTTAGGTGGCTGAAGATCTTTTAGCAGATTTCCGTTTGTTGTGCATGTTGAAACCCAGGCATTCGGCAGCAAGCACTGCTGAGATCTGCATAGCCATGCTGAGTTTAATAAGCTGAGCATTGTGGTTCTGCTACTTTTAATGGATGGAGTGGGAAAATGGAGCAGCATAGCTGCCAATACTTATGGACCCTCCGTGGGCTATGGCGGCCATCATGGTGAGCTCCTGCACCACAGACTTGAGCACCATGCCATTGTGTGCTACGGATGGGGAATTTCTGTGTTCTGTTCTCATATAGGACAAATCTCCCAAGTTCCAATTGCTGTGAACGAATATTGGGGACAGCCACCTCTGAAGCCAAACTGGTGTTTAGGATGCACTCCAAGCTAGACGTAAGAACATATGAAGAAGAGCCCCACAGCTGGATCAGGCCAAAAGTCTGGGGAAATGAGCTCCGGTTCCCATTTAGCAGTTTTGCAGAAGTCAGCCCTGGGTCATTTGGCTCTTTAATTAGTTCTCTTTTCCCTCCTAGAAAAACGACACTTTCTTTTAAAGTTTAAAGAACAAATAACTTCTAGTGCATGCACTTGCAGTTGCAGATTAAAATATACAAAACAGGCAGGTGATGCTTAAGTTGCTAATATGCTCCCCTGAGTTTACAAAAAAAAGTTTGAGTTTGTTTAAAATCATTCAAGGTTTATGATTTCTCTATTTCCTTCTGAGGAAACTGAATAGTTCAGTGAAACGA